CTCCAAACCCAAACCCAAACCCAAACCCAAACCCAAACCCAAACCCAAACCCAAACCCAAACCCAAACCCAAACTCCAAACCCAAACCCAAACCCAAACCCAAACCCAAACCCAAACCCAAACCCAAACCCAAACCCAAACCCAAACCCAAACCCAAACCCAAACCCAAACCCAAACCCAAACCCAAACCCAAACCCAAACCCAAACCCAAACCCAAAACCCAAACCCAAACCCAAACCCAAACCCAAACCCAAACCCAAACCCAAACCCAAACCCAAACCCAAACCCAAACCCAAACCCAAACCCAAACCCAAACCCAAACCCAAACCCAAACCCAAACCCAAACCCAAAACCCAAACCCAAACCCAAACCCAAACCCAAACCCAAACCCAAACCCAAACCCAAACCCAAACCCAAACCCAAACCCAAACCCAAACCCAAACCCAAACCCAAACCCAAACCCAAACCCAAACCCAAACCCAAACCCAAACCCAAACCCAAACCCAAACCCAAACCCAAAACCCAAACCCAAACCCAAACCCAAACCCAAACCCAAACCCAAACCCAAACCCAAACCCAAACCCAAACCCAAACCCAAACCCAAACCCAAACCCAAACCCAAACCCAAACCCAAACCCAAACCCAAACCCAAACCCAAACCCAAAACCCAAACCCAAACCCAAACCCAAACCCAAACCCAAACCCAAACCCAAACCCAAACCCAAACCCAAACCCAAACCCAAACCCAAACCCAAACCCAAACCCAAACCCAAACCCAAACCCAAACCCAAACCCAAACCCAAACCCAAACCCAAACCCAAACCCAAACCCAAACCCAAACCCAAACCCAAACCCAAACCCAAACCCAAACCCAAACCCAAACCCAAACCCAAACCCAAACCCAAACCCAAACCCAAACCCAAACCCAAACCCAAACCCAAACCCAAACCCAAACCCAAACCCAAACCCAAACCCAAACCCAAACCCAAACCCAAACCCAAACCCAAACCCAAACCCAAACCCGCAAACCCAAACCCAAACCCAAACCCAAACCCAAACCCAAACCCAAACCCAAACCCAAACCCAAACCCAAACCCAAACCCAAACCCAAACCCAAACCCAAACCCAAACCCAAACCCAAACCCAAACCCAAACCCAAACCCAAACCCAAACCCAAACCCAAACCCAAACCCAAACCCAAACCCAAACCCAAACCCAAACCCAAACCCAAACCCAAACCCAAACCCAAACCCAAACCCAAACCCAAACCCAAACCCAAACCCAAACCCAAACCCAAACCCAAACCCAAACCCAAACCCAAACCCAAACCCAAACCCAAACCCAAACCCAAACCCAAACCCAAACCCAAACCCAAACCCAAACCCAAACCCAAACCCAAACCCAAACCCAAACCCAAACCCAAACCCAAACCCAAACCCAAACCCAAACCCAAACCCAAACCCAAACCCAAACCCAAACCCAAACCCAAACCCAAACCCAAACCCAAACCCAAACCCAAACCCAAACCCAAACCCAAACCCAAACCCAAACCCAAACCCAAACCCAAACCCAAACCCAAACCCAAACCCAAACCCAAACCCAAACCCAAACCCAAACCCAAACCCAAACCCAAACCCAAACCCAAACCCAAACCCAAACCCAAACCCAAACCCAAACCCAAACCCAAACCCAAACCCAAACCCAAACCCAAACCCAAACCCAAACCCAAACCCAAACCCAAACCCAAACCCAAACCCAAACCCAAACCCAAACCCAAACCCAAACCCAAACCCAAACCCAAACCCAAACCCAAACCCAAACCCAAACCCAAACCCAAACCCAAACCCAAACCCAAACCCAAACCCAAACCCAAACCCAAACCCAAACCCAAACCCAAACCCAAACCCAAACCCAAACCCAAACCCAAACCCAAACCCAAACCCAAACCCAAACCCAAACCCAAACCCAAACCCAAACCCAAACCCAAACCCAAACCCAAACCCAAACCCAAACCCAAACCCAAACCCAAACCCAAACCCAAACCCAAACCCAAACCCAAACCCAAACCCTTCCAGTTTTATCTGAACAAATGTTGTTTGCTCCACCCATTGTTTCACAGGCTACAAGGTGACGTACTAAATTCTGATCTTTCATCATTTTCCTGACACTGTAAGCCAATGCAATAGTGACAGCAAGTGGAAGACCCTCAGGAACTGCCACAACAACAATCGTTAAGGCTATTATAAAGTATTTGACAATGTCCACAATATTGTTCTCCTGCCATACGTCGTCAAATACCCCAAGGGTATCAACCCAAGTTTGGGTGTAGATTAGCTTCTTTATCCAATAAGCAAGAATGAGCACAAGTAAGGTTGCCACAGCAAAACCAATTCCAACCTTCCCAACGTTTCTTGCAAGTTTGTCCAGTTTCTCCTCCAGTGGTGTAGAACGTTGCTGATTAGCTTCCTTCAGACTCTGTAAAGTTTTGCCCCACTCAGAATGAACGCCTACACCAGTAACCAACATCTTTCCTGATCCTTCTGCAATGGTGGTACCACTCAATAAGAAGGGCAAATCTGATGTGTTTTTCTTAATTAGATCTGACTCTCCAGTCATGACAGACTCATCTGTTTTGAGGTGGTTTGATTCAACACATAAACCATCAGCTGGTATTCCATCTCCCTGCTCAATTTCTATTAGGTCGCCAACTCTTACATCATCAGTCAAAATGCTAAAATTGTCTCCATCACGAATAACTTTTACGAGTACTTTCTTTGATTCTTTACTTAAGGACTTGAACTTTTTCTCTTTTGAGTAGTCATTGACAGTAACTACAATTGAAACAATAGCAACCGCAATAAAGATAGCAAACGAATCAATCCATCCCAAACGTCTATCTTCTTCACTCTCTGGAAAGGCCAGGCCCAAAACCATCGAAATGAAAGAAAATACCAATAATATAATGTGAGTCTCATCACTAATAGAGTCGAGGAAGATCCTGAACAAACCTCTAGAGGGTGGCTCAGGATAAACATTTTGTCCATAGATCGTTGTCCTCTCTTCGAACTCGATCAAGTTTTTTTTCCACTGAATGCCCTTCTTGAGGTCTGTTTTCAAAATTTTGGTCAGTCCTGATATACCCAAAAATCTTTCGTTCAATATCTTCAAATTATGTGTCTGATGCATTTCAAATAACTCCTCAGCTGTTGCAGAGAACGCTTGCATCTGATCCTTGACAGAGTGGTGGTCGGATGTCATTTCTTGGAAATTGGGAGTGGGAGTTTGCTTGTCAAAAAAACCAATCTCATAAATATCCTTACGGACGAAAAGTACTTCGTTCTTATCGTCGTGAACGAAATTAAACGTTTTCATCTCTATTGACTCTCCTACTCAATATAAATATCAACAGAGAAAACTTTAAGAAGACAGACCCTTTCACGGAATCTTTGCCAGTGGTTGTGGATTTTGTTTTTCTTGAATCTGAAGAATCAACGGGGAGTAATACACAACGACCACATCAGATGAAATAAGGCAACTCCAAAGGGCGCAACTATCTACGGAGTCCTTAACGTGCTTTCGGTTTCGGTTATGGTGTTCAAAATGTCCTTTTTCGTTGGACATAACAAGATTGGAATTGAACCAACCCATGATGGAAGTACCCACCATAGGTAACCAATTCTGTTTGAGGTTTCATGACGGTTGGTATGGATTGTTTGACGTGGTGTGAAACATGCTTCGATTTCAAGACAAAGTAGGTTATAGTAGTCAAAAATCATTCCACATTTGAACAAGCCATAACAATAATTAACTCAGACATCATGATTCCAACTGACAAATCCCTGAACAGCACGATTGAAATCAAAAAATATACAAAATAATCAAAATATAGAATCAATATAGGTTTTATACAATAATATATAATAAAATATAGAATCATAGAATAGAATTCCGAAATTCGTTTAAATTCAAAGATTTCACATTGTTTTCCTGATGAAACGATTTTTTTTACTTTTTCGAAACAATCCAGTTCTGAATTTATCTTCTTGTTTTGTTGGCGCTGAAGCTTTTAATCATCTCAGCCAGATCACTAATAGCATTTTGAATTGCTTCTTGTTTGGTAGTAAATTCTTCAGAACCGTCAAAAACTTTGAGTTGGATTGAATAATATTTGTAATCTCCATACCACAAACATATCCAATGAATGAGAGGGACATTAAGTGAAATGAAAATGAATGTATAAACATTGTTCGTCGATAAGTAGTACCAAAAGACTGAAAGACCAATGATGATAAGAACAATAAAGGCCACCACAATCTTCACAAGCGCTTTCACTTTGGATAATGAGAGATCTGTCTTTCTTCTCTGTTTACTCTCATCAATTCTTTCGAACATTGCATCTCTAATCATATTCAATCCTCGTTCCACCTTTTGATTTCTCACATGTCTATAAAAATCGTGAACAACTTCAAGTGCTTGTCTTTGACTTGTAGTTTTTTTCAAATGCTCCTCAATTCCAGATGCTGTTGGTCTTTCAGAAATGCTGTCACTTGTCATCTTACTCAGTAAATGCTTGAATTGAGGTGATAAAAATGAGTTGCTACAAAGCTCTCTAATCATACATCCCAAGCTATAAATGTCTGCAGCAGTTGGACTTGCCAACTCGGGTGCAGTTTTTGGCGTTCCTTCAATGACACTCTGTTTATCTCTACACAGCGAAAAATCGGAAAGGACAACCTTGATTTTCCATCTTGTAGTATATTCTTCAACAAGAATGTTTTCACTTTTGATGTCGCGGTGAAGGACACCAAGTTCATGAACATAAGATAGAGCTTGCGATAATTGACTTAGAACTTGAATTGCCACAATTTCAGGCATGTTGTTGTTGGGAAACAAGGTTGACAATGATTGTTCATAGTACTTCATCTCCAACCCAATGATTGTTACTTGTCCAGATATCTTCTCCTCGAAAACTTCATTAATCTTTACAATGTGATCGTATTTCAAACTATGTGGCTTCTTTTCATTTTCATACTTCTTCTTGCTGTCTTTTCTCACCATTTTCACGGCAAATATTTCGTCATCTGCTTGTACTTTAAAAACCATTCCATAGGTCCCTGACGCAATAAACTCAATGGAAACCTGACAGTTTGGATATTTTGAGTTGTATTTTCTTTCAAGCAAATCTTGAAGGAGTGACTGATGTTCATTCACATCAAGATCTGCAGAGGAACCATAAGCATAAGATGGCAGTGCTGACGAAAGAATGGGCAATCTATCACTTGCTGGGTCGGTTTTTGACGGTTTAATATTCATTTGGATACCTTGTGAATTGAATTTTTTTTTGTGTTGCATTTTGAAATATGACAAGTGGTTCTTAAAGGAAAGCAATTTTGAATGACGAATAATTATTGCCACTTTTAAATAAATGAGCAAGAGGTCATCAATTTCCAGCCATATGTTGTTTGCGGCCGGTTTGAAAGTTTGTAAACAATGGAACGGCGTTTTGTTCTCAGAGTTAGTTCTTGAAAATCGCTTCATAAATGTTGACATCACATGAATTCACCGCGCAGTCTCATTTTACTGACAAGTAAACATTTTTATGCCCAATCCTCACAAAGCGCATGCATTCACATCACCTCAATACCGATGATGAGTGTGTTGTGTCTGCTGCTGTTTATTTTGATCAACCCATGAAATAATTTCCTTATAAAAGAGAAATCTGAGTTTTTCAGAGCTAAAGGAAGCATCGTCATCGAGTGAAGTAATCTTCTCGGTGGCTCTAATTCTGTTGATCATGGGACTTGATCGAATGAAGGGATGATTGAGGGCATCCTCAAAGGAGATTCGGGTTTCAGGATTCCAAGTCAGGAACCGCTTAAGTAAATCGATCGCTTCCGAAGGAGCAGTGGGGAAAATTTGTGAAAAGTCATAACCTTGAGTGGGGAAATTTTCAAGTAACTGTTATTCATTTCGTGTGAAACATGTTGAAAGAGGTGGACAGTATTGTAGATCATTATATAAACATACACATTATTAATTTTGTTCATATGAGATGTAATAAGATGAAAATGCAACAAGTCATATCAAATGAAAGTAACAATGAAAACCTGATGAGTTATGACATTTCAAAAACATACCCTTAATAATTCTCGTACATGTTGTGGATTACCTTTGAGATCTTGTGGATTGGGTCGACCTAGAAGTGAAGCCATCAAGTTCAGATGTTCGTAATGATTAGGTACTCGAATTTCATTGTCTTTTAAAATCACAAAGAGAGGTCTTCTCTTTGGTTGTGGAGGGAGCATGTACAAGAGTTCAGCAAATATGCCTTTGATATTGAACATGTGCATTAACAAAAACATGGAAAACAATTAGAAGGAGCAGTTGTTGACATACACGTCAGTTTCCACAACCGAGTTATGAATTTATACACAATTACTTACATCCAATGGACCAAGAATCGATTGCCGATGATTGAAAGTCATAATTGAGAACTACTTCAGGCTGGAGTAGTTTTAATTCAAATTGAAAATTGACCATGAGATAATAATTAATATTGTCATTATTAAAAAAGCACACACTCTTTAAGCAATACTTACTGGTCTATAAATTTCTGTCACCACTGCCAAACTTTGTGGATTGGTAATTTGTTGATGTGAAACATCACTCCTACTCATTCCAAAATCACTCAATTTGAGCTGAAAGTTCTGATTAAGCAAAATATTACTTGGTTTCATGTCTCTATGGAGAACTCCAGCACTTTGTAGGAAAAACATGGCACTCAAAAGTTGACCCATAATATCTCGAATATTTTCGACAGAAAAGCTTTGTTTGCATTTACATATATTGGACATAACACGTCCCAAATCCCCTCCGTTCATGCATTCCGAAACGATATACAAATCATTGAATTCTCCAAGTGTGGTACCTGGAATAAAAATGTCAATTAAGGTAACAATCTAAAAACATTATGTTACATTTTGGTTACAAGAAATGTCATGTTGATGAATTCGGAATTGTTTCACATCGATTAATATTATTAATACCTACATTTGGGTGACCTCGCAAATGTTTCATTATTTTAACCTCTATTAGCACATTATCATTCCAAGTGTTTTGCGTGTGTATGTTGGAACATCAGACCATCATGTCAAGTGTGGAAACACAACATCAGAAATGTAACGTTCAATTAAGAACGAATGGAAAAAATTCACAATTATTACTCACCTCTCAACATTCGATAGGCTGCTTTGTCAAACACTTTCGGTACTTTCTTTATGGCGACAATTTGTCCATGTTGTTCCAAGTCTGCGCAAGCAATTACTTGACCATACGCTCCACGTCCCAGAAACACCACTTCTTTTTGCATGTTGTCTGCTGTCATTGTTGTTGAGGAGGAGCACGGAGATGATGATGACGATGATGGAGGCACCATTCTCAACAGTGGTTGATATCGATAGGGCAATGCAAAGTCACATCCTTCAAATTGATAGTGATGATATTGACGCTGATCATTGAGTGGAATGTGCATGATTCGTTCCAGTTGAGTTTGTTCATCATCTATGATGGGTATTGCTATTGTTTGTGGTGGTTGTGGTTCAACAAAATCATAAAGAGTGGTTGCTTGTTGTTCTTGTTGCCGTTGTTGTTGTGCAAAATCACTATTGAATTGCATTAGTATGTGGTTGAGATCATCCAATTCCGATATATTACCATTATTGTGGTTCATGTTGGAACGATGATTCAGATGGAAATCATCCTCGTCGTGATGATTATGATTGGATAAAGCCATTCCCGAGTCCATCATCATGACTCCATCTTGTTCTTCTTCTGAAAATTGGCCAAAACCACTCGATACGATCACCACGGCAGAGTTGTTATTATTGTTCGAAAAGTTAGGGTTCATGTTGTTGTTGTTATTGGAATAATGAGGATATTGTGGAGGCTGCTGTTGAAAACCAGGTCGGAATGTTTGAGAGGAAGATTGTGTCATCAGATGAAACAAGCCTTGATTTTGCAGAGAAGGCTGCTCGAGTGATGAAGAGGTTGCTGGAGGATGCGCCCACGAGGGACATCCAAACATTTTCTCGCTTTCGCCACCTACATGACCATTCGACGTGGAGGAGGAAGAAGACGAAGAGGCCATCATCAATTTTCGTTTGTGTTGGTCTCTGCTGTACATTTTTTTCCTTTCATCATTCGCTCTAATTGGCATTTGCAAACCACGAGCGCATAATGGAAGTTATCGAACGTGAGGATGGATGACTTGTGGTTGAGTGCAAATTTGCGTTTGTTCACCGAGGAATCTATATCTGTGGTTGTGACCGTTGAGAACTCAGTAAAACGGTTGCGGTTTCATATTTGTCCAAATTTGAAGCTTAGCACATAAAAACACCCAAGCGGTGATTATTAGTCAGGCCGTTTTAAGTCCAGCAATTCGCGTATGTGGCGTGCTCCTAATACTGTTAGCACTTTATTCCTTAATAAACGGGTGTTGCAACATTTGTTTGGCTGTGGCTCTTCTCTCAGGCATCATTTCAAGCATAGGCAACAGGAATTGAGAGAATTGTGTGGCTTCCTCTTCTTCCATGCCGTATTGGTCGGTCAATTTCTGTTTTAAGGAAGTGGGCTTGAACTTTTTTATATTCAACATTTCTCCTTTTGAGGCGTTGAAGAATTTGGTCGTCTTGGAACCTCGAGAGAGCAATTCGTGTGGAAAGGGACCCAACAACTCAATCATGAGAGCCAAATGGTCCTCATCACGATTATAGGTTCGACCTGATTGTGGATCGAAGAGGTATTGACCGGTGGCCAACTCAAAGGCCAAACATGCTGCACTCCACATGTCTGCTGCAGAAAAATAGCGAGCACCAAGGATGACTTCGGGAGATCGATATTGACGTGTTTGAATATCGTCAGTGACTTTCTTGTCAGAAAAAACAGAATTTCCAAAATCTGCAATTTTTACACGAATGTTCTCAACATCGATATGATCGGGAGGTGCATTTTCGAGCAATATTTTAAGCTGTTTGGTGGTGGGATCATTTACAGTGTCGTCACAGGCATTAGCTGACCCTTCCTTTTCGATTTTTTCAATTTTCTCTTCCAATTCATGTAGCTCCTGTAGTCGATTCTCGTGTTTGAGTTTTTGTTTCAACTTTTTCAATTGTTTCTTGTTGAGAGTTGAGACATCTCTCTCTTCGAGTGGTACGTCAAAATCTGGCACCTGATAATGGTCTATATATATATATGGATGGGCAGTGTTAAAATTCAAACAAACCACAACAACACGCCCACACATATAAAAGATCAACACAGCAGTATATAAATGTTCATCATGTCAAAATGGTATCCATTGAAATAAATGCAGTAAAATCACCAATTAATTAATAGAATCAAATAAAACAAGAAATAACAATGCACAAGAAGGTAATTGGTTGTGGAAACTGTTGAAACCAATCATATCAATCTAAACATACCCATAATATGTTGAATCTTGTTTGCAGGCTTCACAATCAAAATATTTTCTGGCTTAATGTCGGTATGAATGATTTTGCAATGTGAGTGCAACAAATCGAGACCTTCCAAAACATCCCTCATAATAATTTTCACTAAACTAAGTGGCATTCCCTTATATTCGTATTGCTCGATTAATTTCAATAAATTATGGCCTACCACTTCAAAAACCATGGAGACGTGAGTACCATTAACTCCTCGCACCAAAAAATGGTCAAACATTCCTACCACTCTTAATTTAGAATAGTCAACACTTGTACGTTGTGACAAGTATTGATTATTCACACAATTACTATTCGTTGCTTCATCTTCTACTATATTACATGCTGTTGCTTCTTCTCCTAGAGTCACAACGTGTTCCTGTTGGTTATTATAGTGACTATACAATTCTGAAAATTTCTTCATGACATGATCCAATAATTTAATTTCATCCATGGCTGCATCTGAGAAGTCTTTTTGACTTTTCTGAATTTTCACAGCTCTGAAAATTTTTTCTACCAAATCATAACATAACCAAACGGTGCTAAAATATCCCCAACCCAATTTATGAACAACAATATACCGATCGTTGCCCAATCGATCTCCAATTGCAACCGGATGATAACCTCCTTTTTTATATTCGCTTTTTGGTTCATTTTCAGTATCGGAATAATCATTATCCTTGGGTTGTTGCGAGGATGATGATGAAGTGCTTGTTGTGGAAGCCTTTTTTTGTACTACTTTAACTCCTCCTTTTTTCTCTTTAATTCGTTTCATTAATTGTTGTGCAATGAATGCATCGGAATGGGTATTTGAGGATGAGGAGGAGGATGAAATTGATGAAGTACCAGCGCTGGAATGTTTCTTTTTTGAAGAGCCCGAGGACTGTTGTGTCGTTATTCTTGAACCACTTGGAGATTCCTTTGTGATTGTTGGTTTCAATGGTGATGATGATGCTGTTGCTGTTGGGCGAGATATCCCTGTGCTCTCTATCGGGGTGGGTGGGACCTCCAAAGGGCTTTCTTCAGTGTTCATTTTTTTCATGAAAAAAAAAAGAGCCCTTAAAAAATGACTGACGATCATCCCTCGTTAACCACTAAAATTGCGCACCTTGAAAAATATATTGAATACCTACAATCTACCATGAATGATCTCACTAAAGAAATTAATGATATGATTGAAAAGCAACTGCATGAACCTACTTCTAATCTTAAAATCAATGATAACCCTCCAAATGATGAGTCAGTTATGTCCACTCCAATATTCCCCCAAACACAAATACAAGCACCATCTTCTACACAAACACATACACATACACACACACCACACACACTTACACACAAAAAAAAAAGAACAAATTCCTATGAAGAACAAATACCAAAGCCGTAGATTCAACCAAGAAACAACAACCAATATCAACCTAAACAAGAAAAATCTCTCTTCCAAAGATAACTCGAACCCTAAGGTAAAAAAACCTCAACCAAAAAAACACCAAACCCTACTGCGCAACCAACTTGTACAAAAACAAAGAGGCACTTCAATTTCTCCTCAATCACCTCAAGGCCTCCAAACTTGCGAAGGATCCATGGGTCCCCTCTGAAAGACCATTCATACTCCAAATTGTTCCGTCCTCATCAAGCTCAAGGGACGAAATCATCAAGAACCTCAATACCGCCAAAAGTCAAACAAACTTTAAATACTTTATCTCTGATATGTCTCTCCAAATCACAGAGTTCACCGCTCAACATCTTACTGGAAACGATGAAAACAATATTCTCCATATGATCTCCTGCCTATGCAATTGGCATGAGAAATCTAAAGGTTTAATAGCTATGAGAATTAGTAAACCACCAGACTCAAGCTGCTTCAAAACCACTGTTACAGTTAAGAATTTACAATCACTACAAGAAATCCTCTCTAACACCGAATGGTCTCGCCTCAAAACTTATACTCAACTAGCTGAAGATTCCCGTTTTGAAGTCTTTATCAACCTCTCTACAGATTTTGAAGACCATGAAATCGTAAACGTCGTTAAAGATATCACCACTAAACCAGGAATTACTATTCACCCAAACTCTATCAAAATCGATGAAAAGGCATCTCCTTTTTAATCCTGAAGAATCATATTATAACATCATAGTGTCTCTTAAATCTGATACTGAAGTCGATCGTATCTTAGAAGTGGTCCATCCTATTGAAACCAAGCATGGCAGAATCATCACAAAATCCTTCAAGTCCAAAGCGCAGTTCTTTAAAGAAAAAGCTATCTCCAAATCAAATCAATCAACAGAGAAAGAAAGCTCTAACTTCTCAACTATTACTACTCCAAATAATTATGAAGCAAGATTTACCAGCCTTGAAAAAAGAGTCTCCAATATGGAAAGCAATATATCAAATATTGCTAAAAATATGGAAACTCTAATGCACAGCGTTAAAAGACTCGTCCAAGCTGGGAAGAGAAAGGACATGCATGATGAAGATATTGAATGACTTTTACTATTGCAACCCTTAATGTGAATGGAATCCTTCCAAAGGATCCCAATCAATCAAGTAGATTGGACAAAATCATACGGCTTATGGATATCTATCAACTTAACTTCATGGCAATCCAAGAATCACACATTAACAACTCACAATACACACGCACTTTTCACCAAAACCTCTATCGATATTATTCTTTTCTCAACAATAATAATTCTCATGATGGAACTTTTGTCCTTACCCATCAACGTCACAAAAAGAAAGCTATTCATCAAATCCTTATTCCAGGACGTCTCCAACTATGCACCATCCACATCGGTGGATGCTTATTGAATATATTTAATATTTATAACTACTCTGGAAACAGAAATGAAGAAGAAGAAAATATTTTACTCGAGAAATTATCTGAAACCCTATCAACCCTAAATCACCAACCAATAATAGTGATTGTTGACATGAATTTTAGTTCGGAAGGAAATGCTTACAAAGACACCAAGTGGAAAACATTTATGGACCAACATAACCTAAAAGAAAGAGAAACAATAATTCCATCCTACATCAGAAAATACACATCACAAAACAAAATATTAGAAACAATCTCAAGACCTGACCACCTATTCCACTCGAGTCACATTGAAATAGAACATGAACAAGCTTTACCACTCGTCACAACAAATGACCACATACCAATCATGTTCAAATTTAAATTATTAATTCCAACAACCTGGAAACGAATAATCAGCGATGAGCAAAGTGTTGCAAAAAAACTCGAAGAAATTTTGAAATCTCTTCCCGTCAACAACAGTGAATTGAAAAAACTCAATCATGAGATCAAGAACCAATCTCATAAACCACATCCTATTAAGGGGTTTAAGGAATCTGAAATCATTACCAATTTGAAACAACAGCTCCATAATCTCCATGAACAAAAATTATCCGAAACAACCCAAGATGAATCCACTATCAAAAGATCTATAAAGGAAACAAAGAAGAAACTCAAAGAACAATATAACCTTGAATTTGCGGAATATAGAAAAAAGTTCATAGATTCCATTAATAACAAACACACCAAAGGAATCTACAACTTCGATCACCATCTCAAATACAAGGAAATTGATTGGAATTCAACCAAAATAACAAAATAAGGAGCTGTGAACTACTTTAAAAACAAATTCACCTCAAAACTAGATGACAAAACAGAAATTAAATTTAAACCAGGTGAATCAACAGTTAAAGAAGGACCGTCCAACATTACAATAACTAAAGAAGATGTTACGGACGCGTTGAAAAGAATGAAATCAACAACACAAGGGGTAGATTTCACAACAAAACAGATATTTGAAAATATCAATCCCAATATATTAGCATCAGCATTTAATGACATGATCCAAAATCAAGACATCCCAAAATGCTGGAAACAAGGATGGGTTAAATTAATCGGAAAAAAAGATATAATCACAGACTACAAAGATCTAAGACCAATCACAATCATGAATATTGGATATAGACTCCTATTCAACATTATAACATTCAAACTTAAAGATTGGGCCGAATCAAATATCAACATTAGACAACAAGCATTCACCCAAAATCGAGAAACAACAAATCACTGCATCCTCATACAAGCCCTCATTAACAAATTCAAAAAGAAAGGATTCATTCTAACCAATATAGATATTGCTGCTGCATATGATTCCATTGAACTCAAAATCATTGACATGGCGCTCACCCACTGCAAATTCCCCCAAGAACTTAAAAACTTCATCATTAATGCTTACTCAAATCATCAAATCCAAATAGAATGGAATCATACACTATCAGAAAAATTCATCAAGACAAGAGGAATCCCACAAGGATGTCCTCTAGCTCCTCTAATCTATAACTGCATCTCCCAAATGATTATTGATAAAATTATTGAAAGAGAAAAACTCCCAATCACTCCACAAGATCTAGACATTGATGATATTGCCACACTTTGTTTTGCCGATGATATGTCAATTATCAATTCTAACATTACTCTCCACAACAAAAGACTCAAGAAAATTAACAGATGGTTCAAACAAATATTCCTAGAAATTAATCCATCCAAATCAGTTACAACTTCACTCCCTAAACCAAATGAGGCCTTGATTAACAATACCAAAATTCCAAACCAAGACAACCAAAGAATCCTCGGAGGATATCTTTTTGAATCTAAATTATTTAAGGAAGAACTAGAAAAAAGGAAACATAAGATGATGAATATCCTTAACATCCTCCCAATTAATCTGATTCAACCATATAATCTCAAACAAGTAGTCACATCTAAAACCTTATCCCAAATTACACACCTTGCACGCAGTAATTCAATAAGCCAATCCCAAATAGAATCATTCGACTCTTCAATCAGAAACCAAATCAAAAGAAAACTAAATATTGATGCAAGAACACCTAAAGAATGCCTATACTTACCAAACTACCAAGGAGGAATGGGTATTCCATGCCTTGAAATGATGACTGATATCATAACCCTAAAATCATTAATTAATATCTCATGTCACAATTACCAACTCATGCAAGAAGCGGTAAATGATGCTATCACATCAACATTCAACACCAAAAAATCCAAAAACCTAAATATATTTGAAAACTTCCACCACATAGCAAGGAAGTATGAGCTTAAAGTTGATAACTGCAACTACATACCTCAACTTGTAAATGAAGAATCACTAAAATACCATAAGAAATGTAAAAACTTTGAAGTATGGACTGATGGATCTAAAACTGAACAAGGAACTGGATTTGGTATTATTTTACAATCCAAAAATATAACAACTAGACACAAATTCAAACTTAACCCAATCCATAGCAATAACTTAGCTGAACTACTAAGTATTGTCTACACTCTCCGATTATTACCAACAAAATCAAAAGCAAAAATCTACACAGACAGCGAAATAAGTATCAATTTGCTATCAAACCCTAAATACCGAGGACCATTTCTCCCCCTTAAAACTGAATTTGAATTCCTCAAGAAATCTAAAAACCTACAAATCACCATCATCAAAGTTAAAGGCCACCAAAATAGTGGTAACATTCACGTAGACAAATTAGCCAAAAAGGGATGCACATCAGGAAAATTGATAATTCCTCACAGACAACTTACCCAAAACCAAATTATCCTCAAATCCAATAACCACTGGATTCCAGATATTGCAACATTCATCAAGAACAAACAACTTCAGAAATGGAATGAATCAATAACTTTGAAGAGCAGGAATAAGTTTAACCCTTCTTGCATCTTCCCAACAACATTCAATTTCATGAAGTCAAAGAATATCTCTCCCCAACAAAAATATGCAATCTGGAGAAACATGCACAATGTTCACATGAAAACATTTAAACAACAAACTCACACCTGCCCCAGATGTAATTGCACCGGAACTATTGAACACTATTCCACACGTTGCACATTACTATCGGAGGAAAGAATGTATGCTAAACAACAGATGAAGAGGCTTCTAAACATTGAATTGATTCCCCATGACCGAAATGAAATTCTAACCTCCTCCAAATTCCTTATCGACAGCAGAGGAATCATTCTTAACTCCGACACATATTTTACAAGAAGAAAACAGGACATCATCAAGTACTGGGTAGACATTCAAGCAATTCTATCGCTCTTGATGGGTAGAGCTTTTAATCAATACTGGGAAAACGAAAGACCTGAGGAACCGAAGGGCCAATAAATATTTTTTCAATTTTTTTCATGAAAAAAACACACAAGGAAAAGAGGCAATGACGATGTTGTCTCAAGACATCTTCGTTTTGAATGAATTTCACACAAATTCACATTCAAAAACTTCGTCATACATGCAGAAAATTTGAGCTTGGAAATTCTTGAGTTTGGTTGAATTGAACATGACGATCACATTCGGAAGAAGAAACTTGGTTGTTTCAGGAAATGCATGCAAGGTATTCAGTTTGAAAACTGTGTATCGGAATGACAAATCCAGAACTTGGATTTCATCAATTACTGATTCTTTCAAACATTTAATTTTGAAAAAAATGTTTCGCAACAAATTTTTCTCGTTGTTGTCGTTATCGTTACTTCTCGCTTTATCATTCCTCTTGTTGATTCTTCTCGAGTTCAGTTCGGGACAAACCGCTCTGGATCATCAAGTTACTTATTTGCCTGGTTTTAATGGTGCTATCAAGTTCAAGAGTTATACAGGATATTTAAAGGCTAATGCTACTCGAGGACATTATTTGTTTTATTGGTTTATGGAATCTCAGAATAATCCGGCAACGGATCCGGTGGTTTGGTGGACCAGGTGAGTAATGGAGAGAATTGGTTTCATTTCTAAATTTGGAAATTTATTCATCATCATGTCATGTTTTTGTGATTCAATAATAATAATACGAACTGAATTGCAATGACGGATTTAAAATTTCTTTGGTTCGAATATTGTTTGATTTATTGTTGGTCAATAATTGATGATGACAATTGTCATCCATTTGCATTCGAATTAAATTTCGATAGGTTGTTCCTCCATTGACGGAATGGTCTCTGAGCACGGTCCTTTCGTTGTTTTACAGGATGGAAAAACAGTGGTAGATAATCCTTATGCATGGAACAAGAGAGTGAATATGGTTTTTTTGGAACAACCAATTGGAGTTGGATATAGTTATAGTGACACTCCTGCAGATTATCAAACAATCAATGATGATGTGGCTGCTGCTGATATGAATGGAGCTATTCGCGACTTCTTTACAAGATTTCCACAATATTTGAAGAATGATTTTTACATTGCTGGTGAATCGTATGGTGGAGTTTATGTGCCAACTGCTGCTTTCAGAGTGATTCAAGGAAATCAACAAGGTGAAGTACCAAAGATTAATCTTAAGGGTATCATGGTTGGAAATGGTGTCACAGGTAAGTCTTTCATTTGGTTGAAATAATGCTTTATTATATGATCATAATAATGCATTATTTTAATTTAATATTATGCATTTTGCAAACAATTGAATATTACAAACAATATTGAATATAATCTGTTAAAAGATGCTGAAAGTGATGCCAACTCAGTGCCATTGTTTTACAAGGAACACAGTTTAATTACTGCTGAGGATTATAATAAGGGATTCGTTGCTTGCAAGAGAAATTTCTATGCCAATCAGAATGTGCCAGATTGTTCAAACTTTTTACAATTAGTTTCTTCATCATTGAATCATCTCAATCCTTATTATATTTATGATTCGTAAGTAGTTGTATGAGCAGAATTTTGGGTCGTAAATATGTATCACCATATTCATCACTTAATTGCGATTTTGCTGCGACATGTCACTAATGATTAAATATCACACATTTTTCACAGATGCACTTGGTTAGGTGATAATGGATTAACCAAGAAGAATTCCAAAAATCATCCTCTCTTTGAATTGTACAAGCAACGCCCAAAAACAAAAAAGCCATTCATTGTGGGAGCTGAAAGTGACAGCCCATGTGTTCCTGACCATTCAATCATTTCATACTTTAACAATCCTGCTGTGAGAGCTGCCATTGGAGCCACTCATCCAATTGCCTCACCATCAGGATGGCAAGTTTGTTCCACTTTTATCAATTACACACAAATTTATACAACATTATTGCCATTCTATTCCAAGTTATTGCCAGAAATTAGAATTTTAGCATATTCTGGTGATGTGGACTGTGTATTGAATACATCGGGAACTAAGGCAGGTCTTGACAAGTTAGGGCTTAATGTTTCTCTTCCTTACACAAAGTGGATTCATTACGATGAAAATAATGACATTGTTGTGGATGGATTTATTAGAAAATACTCGAATGGAAAGGGTTTGACATTTGTCACAGTTCGTGGAGGTATGTTTTTTTGATTCTCGATGGGTTGTTACTTATTTTGAAATTTGGGTTTATGAAAAAAGCTGGTCATATGGTACCTCAATATAGACCACAACAAGCACTGAGAATGTTGGACAACTTTTTGAACGACAAATGGATTACTAAAAATTAATTAAATAATTTCCTTATTCATAGCACGATACCAATTATTCGTTCAGTCTCTCAGCCAGCCTTTTAGAGGAAGACATGATAACTTTCTGTCTATGGTTTCTTAATCGGTTTGTTTAATTTTATGGGTTTACACCAAGAGACCACAATTTTGACAGCACCAAACAGAACATGTAACCCTTTATCCGACTTTTCTAGAGACAATTTCCATTTGACAGACGAAATTTCACAACAAACAAAAAAATGTCTAAATTGCAACAACGATTGGATCATCTCGTTAAATCCTATTACGACTCTGATTTGAAAATCACTCACACCAAATATGAGGAAACTTGTGACCGTTTGGGCCTCGCTAAGAAGGATTTCCTTCATGATATCTCTTTGTATCGAGACAAGGTTTCATCACCTAATACTCTCTCCATCTCAATGATTCAAGAGATGGTGCAGCAGGAATACATGAAAATTCTTCCAAAAGAGGAAGCTGAAAATCTCAAAAAACGAAAACAACAGTTGAAAGAAAAGCGAGATTTGAAGAGAAAGAAGGCTTTTCAACAAGATCGAGTTTGTGATAAATGTGGAAATTCTGAATTCTTTTATATTGGAGCCCGAAGTTGTGATAATGGAGAATTGATCTTTCCGAGCGGAAGACAGATTGAAGGGTATTTACCTGTCTTGCCTTCTATTTGTGATTCGGATGGAGTGATGATGTACTTGTGTCTTGAGTGTGGAGTTCCATTTGGATTCAATAGTGCAGAGGTGAAGAGAATTTTGGCAGAAAGGGAGCAGGAACGATATCCTCCAGAACAAGATGATGATGTGGATGAAGATGATGACGAGAATGAAGAGAATAGTGGTGGATCTGAGGAGGAGGATGAGGAATAATAAAGAAACGAATTAAGGAGAATTCGACAAACCAAAGTAGAGCTAACATAAATTTATTGATTAATCGAGGTGTTATCGAGGTAAATTATTGACGAACAGTACGGGAAGATTTACATTTTCTTCGTTGACATAAACACACAGGACATCCAAACTTGTCTCTCTTGAATCCAAATTTGCAATATTTTGCACAGGAGAACTGACGACATGGACGACGTCTGCATTTACATCTTTTTTGACATCCACAACGATCCAACAAGAATCCATGTTTACAATTTCTGATGCAACGGATTGTTTTACATTTTGGCAATACATAGGTCAAACGAGGGAGAGGAGTCACTGAAGTTGCATGGTTTTGATTTGTGGAACCCTGTCGACAGTGGACAGTGAGGACGAGAGACGCCAAGACCACAAGAACAAGCAAGAGGCATTGACGAGAGGCACTGATTGAAATGCTGCAACAGTTTCTACTTGATTTGAAATCCATTGTTTTTTTTGTTTGTTGTTGGAATGAGAGTGTGAATGAATGAGCCGTATGCAATTTCATTACGAATCAAAAAGGCAACTCTCTAAATCAAAAAAGTTCATCATGAGAGTTCTTGGCTCAGTTCTATTTCGAATCTTATCCCAAAACCATTGAACTATGAATGTGTTAACCAACATTCATCTTCTAAATATGGAAAAGAGTAAACTAAGAGTATTTCCTTTTTGAATTTAGATTCACCCAGACCTTTAATAAATGTCAACTATAGCTTCAACAAAGTTCATTTTGGCTGAATGATAGTCATGAACGACAATTTGCGTTATTTTTCTAATGGTTGGTGATATAGAATCACATTTTGAATGAAATGCTTGTGCTGTGAATCCATCTCTGCTTCCACGATATAAAATGAGAACAATTTGCAACATCCAATTTCAGACCTAGGTTTGTGGATATGGAGGAAGCTGCTTTAGAATTCAAAATTGTGCTTGAATAGAACACACTTTCAATTTTTTGATTGGCTTGTTTCTCCGTTTTCCGTTCTTGAGACACTTTTTCATTAGCAAGTTCCTTCACCAACCTAAAGAGATGAAATTCTTTTGCATGCTGAATGACATTCGCTTTCAGTGTTTCATTTGTTTTACATGTTGCAACTGTTCCAAATCTCAACCAATGATAAATTTCTTCAAATACCACCGGATGACAATCCAAAAAGAAAACCTTGTCTGTAAATTTGTGACAACGTGTTTCATACAATGGATCTTCTCCTGTGAGCATTTTCTCAAATAAATTCTCAGGTTCTCTTTCATTTCTTAAAAAGTGACAGTCATAATTTTACCACCCACATTCAAATGAATGGGTTTGTTTGAATTTTCCAATTTTTAACGAGATAGTTTTTCTTGTTGAAATTTTTTCTTTCCAATTCAAATTGTTTTTCTCGTTCCTCAAATTGTTTCATCCTTTCCTTCTCTTTTTGTTTCAATGCATTTTCAGCTTGTTCTAAATAGAGAGAATTTTCAATATTCAATTTTTTCAGTCGTTCCTCCAACTTGGCACTTTTCTCTTCAAATTGTTGATCCAAACGATTTTTCTGTTCTTCCACTTGATACGCTTCATGAAGAGGACAATATTTCTCTTGATGATCCTTCAGTTCACCTCGATTTACAGCATTCTTACACATTGGACAAAATACTTTCAATTTATCCAATTGATTTCGAACATTTTTGGCAGCAGGAACGATATAATGCAAAATCACCTTCGCGACACATGGGACATGGTTTCAAAGGATCTGCACATGCACTGCAAAACGTATTTCCACATTGAGCATGAACGACTGGTTCATAATATGGGAATTGACAAATGGGACAAATTAAATCATCTTCAATCTTGTCGAGATCGATGTAATTGAAAGAACTTGAAGTCAATGGCAGAAGCTCGAGTGATTGTTGTTCTTGTTGAGAAGAGGATGGATGAGAAGTGTTTAAAGAGGGAGAGTGAGGTGGAGATGGTTTGGATTTTTCATATTTTTTTGGGTCATACATCTAAATGGTCGAAGATTATTGGTTGGAGATATTTTGATGGTGTCAAGTTGCAAGTTTTTACAACGAGTATTGTTTTGAATCTCTCGAAATCTTGAATTAGAGATCTTGGTAAACTTCAATTTCTAAGGAAGAGCCAAAAGTTCAATAAATGATTAGAAATATATTCTAGTATCATTATGCAGTCAAACTCTCCAAAAAAGACTTTTTCGGAGATTCACTCATACCAGATCCAATTCTCTTCTTTCAAAAAGTGTTGTTGCAGGATTCCAAACATGTTGTTCAATTCCAATCAAACTTCTTCCCTTAATTCGATATGTGTGATATCGTGCCATTTTGAATGGTTTTTCCTCATTCACATACGTGGAACTTCCATTATCAATAACAAGCGTCTCATGACTGCTTCCAATTCTTCCCAAATAGGGCACATGTGTGTGACCATGCAACAACAAGTCAATCTTTTCCAAATCACAAAACTCGGCAATTCTTTGTTTTGAATTCTTATCGAGACCATCCAAATATTCTCGGAAGGAATTTTTAGCTCTCTCTACTGGTGGATGATGCATCAATAGCACTTTGAACAGAGACTGATTCTCCTCCCCAAAAGAATTATTATTTTGTTTCGATAATAATTCTTGAAAGGCAATTTCAATTTCCTTAATGAGCTTACTTGCTTTTTCTAATTGTGTTCTTTCAATCACACCTCCAGCAACAAACGGTTTTTGTGGAATACTCGATGAAAGTGAGAGTATCAATACATTTGTTCCATCTTGAACGTTTGATAAAATTTTCACATTTGGAAATAAATCATTCATGGACAATGATTCGAAAATGGAATTTTTGAGAGCGTTCAAATGTTGGTTTTTCCCACGTTGATCCAGAAAGAAATTTGAATTGTGATATTGATGTCCATTCAATGCTGCAGAAAGATTGTCCTGTTGTTGAGAGATTAAGAGAGCATCATAGAGACCAATGGTATTTCCAAAATAATAACCAAAATAATTATTTGTGACACTTGAGGGAATGTAGGCATCATGATTTCCTGTGATGAATGCAATCAGTCATTAATTAACAGTTTTGTAAGTATAATTAAATATATATTTGAGTAATTAAAATAAAATTAATTTACGTATATAACCTACCTGGAATGATTGTACAATGTTCATACAAACGATCCACATGAAAGTCTTCTCCTCTTCTCATATTCTCCACAAAATTCTCATGCAACATTGTTCTTGCTAATTCAAACTCTTCCGGATGTGAAATATTTGTTACGTCTCCAGTAATTACCAAATGCGAGAATTCCTTCATCGTGTTATCATCATCTCCACACCTTGCACCAATTTCTTGTAAGGCTTTTTTCAAACATGAATATTGATACAAATTTGGTCCTCGATTATATTTTACATTTAAATATCCTTGAATTTGTTTCAAATCTCGGAATTTATTTTGTCGGAAGAGAGAAGAGAGAAATGGGAGATTGAAATTTTTCGGGTTGCCAGATATGAAGATCAGAGAGATGATGTAATGAAATACCACCACTGTTGCTGCTGTGGCTACGGTTAGCACTCGTATTGATGGAAGAGTGGATTAATGTGGAAGGGAAATTTTTGCGAATGATGAATTTGTGCATTTTTTGTAATTGCGATTTGTGTCTGAATTGAAAGTAATGCATTCAATGTCATTCTGTGTTAATATCATTATTATTCAACTTGTTAAGGATTTTAAAAAAGTTCGTGACATCCCAATTGTGCATTTCATGGTTGTGTTGAGTCGTGTTCATTGCCAATTTTCTCGCCAGTCGTGTCATTATGAACCCATAAGGTTCCAATTCTGCATCTGAATACTTGTCAAAAATTTCTCGCGCCTGTCGAGCTCCAAACTCAAGGAGAACTTGGTTTAACTGTTCATTGGACTCTAAACGATACGTAGTGAACCAATAACAAGCTTCAATAAAATTGTCGACACTTAATTGATGTTTGAATAATTGAATGGAGTGTCGCTTGAGTGAGGTGATTTGATAGAAATTGGAATAGGTAAATAAGGTCAGGATTTGTGAAACTTCCAAGTGTGGAATAGTTTCAATCTGTGGTGTCGGTTGTGATGGTGACTGATTGTTGTTGCTGATTTTTCTGGTCGCAATTTTTCCAAAAGTAATCCTCATCGAAATCGTTAGTGCCTTGTAATTTTGAATTTTCAATTTGCAACGCATGATCCAAAATTCAATAGCAATACTTTAGTAAAATAATTAATGCAGTAGATTTGATTTGTACGATATGTTGTGAGTTTCCTTGGTGTTCCATCGAATTCAATGGATTGAGTTGCTCGTTCCAAGGATCTTGCAATACTAAAAAATCATCTTTTGAAATGTCACTATATGGAGATTCTTCGTTCAGTAAAATTTCGAAAAAGGTACTTGCGTTGGAAAGAATGGTTCTGTGGAGATGAAAGGTTTGTCCGAATACATCGACCTTAACATCACTCATTTGAGGATCATTGAATAGAAGAGTGAGCCCAGAGAGTTTTGTGGCTCATGTTGGGCCTGTTGAGATTGTTGTTGCTTCGTCAATTCGTTATTCATCCCATTGATTTCAAGATATTCATTGATTTCACGTAAAAATGGTCCCAATTGCTCACTGTTTTCTTCCGTTTCGCATTCTTTTAAAAATTGATAGCATTCTGTTAAATATTTTCTCAATAGAGTGCTGTCTGGATGATCAAGCAAAAAATTACGGATGTTCTCAACTAATGAAAAAACATTTTCCATGGAAATGCTTTCTGAAAAGGATGTTTCAAGAAGTGTGGTCAGTTCCGGAAACTCTGACGCGCAATAATGTAAAATACATGCCAGTGAAAATAAATCTCTACTTTCAAATTTTGATTTTCCATACATTAAGCATGCCATCAACTCGTTCAAAACCAATAATTCTTGTTGTGACAGGAATGGACATTCGAGATCTTTTTCAATAACGTTATGCCACAGTTGTGGGTAATATTTAGAGATAACTGCTTTCACACATGTAATTCTTCCACGTTGATGCTGATCTCTAGCAAATATTTTTAAATGACAAATGGGCTCAATACAATTTTCAATTTCTTTCCTGGGTGTGTATTCGAAAAGAGTTCTCTTCCATTGATCTTGAATTGCTATCGTCAACAAATATTGGACGCTAAATGTAATTTTAAATAATTTCAAAGATGAGTCCAAACAAAGAAAGTCATTCTCTGTTGAAACTACTTGTAAGAATATATGTGGAATTCTATCCTTTTGAATTCTTTCAAGCTTGTACAAGTCAAAACAAATTAATGTTCCAGAACAATCCAAACAAGAACAAATTCCTAATTTTTCGTTCACAATATGGGTAGCCGGATATTCTATTGTTCTACTTGATTGAAATTTCAGTGCTCCTTTCGCTTGGTGACACTTTTTTAGAAATGGTTGATAAGAATATACATGTGCACAACTTCGAATCCTTATTCAATAACTTGACGATATGTTGATCTTTTGAGATGTTCATTTCAATATCTATTACTTTCTTTTCCACAGGTTGATTTGAAAATTCAAAGATCTTTATCAAGCTCCATTGAACAGTATTGTCCAATGTCAAATCCTTTGTGCAATGATATAGACATCTCTCTCCACTTGAATGATCGCTCGAACTGCACGATACAAAAGCAACAGTGTGATCATCCAACCATTTAGCAAATTCAATGTAATTTCCTGAAATAATAATGTCCTTTTCTATTTTTGAATTTCGAGTATTCACAATTTGTAAGTGAGCAGATGGTAAATGGAATTCAAGTTTTCCATCCACATTGCATGAAATCAGTAATGTACTATTTGTAATTTGTTGTCTTTTCGAAATAATTCCCGTCTTTATGCTAAATCGAATGTAATCCTGTGTATCACACATAGTATCCTCGTTCGGTTTCAAGAGACAAACAAAATTCTCGTTCATGGCTATTCTACAGTTTTTGTAAAACTGATCGGAAAGACTTAAATTGGCAATCGTTTTAAAATCGAAAATTAATTTTCTACTGAACAATGAAGAAAATTGATCTTTTGTTGGTGACTCGATGGAATGCGATGCAGAGGGTACCGTCATGTCATCCTTTTCATCTTCACCATGAGACTCATTATTTTCTTCCGATTTGATATCTTGAGCCCATTCCTTATGCACATACTTGCTCACGATAAATGTCTCCATTAATTTCGATGAATCACTATTAACAAAACGTGATCTCGTTTCGGAATCAAGTTTTGCCTCTAACTTGTTATTCACAATCACATTTCCGAGAGATTGTACGTGTTCATACTCTGTGTGAGTCCACCGATCTAATGTCAATGATTTTACTCGGCAGATTGAAACGGAAATATTGCTTCGACGGATTCCAGCACATTTGATACAAATAAAAACTCCTTGTGTTACATCCACCCATTGAGGTTTCGAAGCTCTGCAATCGGCACACCATTGATTACCTCCAAATTTTGAGAGTCTGATGAGATCTTGCACCGGTGATGGAGAGTTTGAGTGTTGCTTACTGGACATTTTTTTGTGTTGGGTAGCTGCCCGCATATGGCCGAGTGGTTTTTCTGGAACTGTGGCAGCCAACTGGTCCAGCGTTCGAATCCCAGGGGTTGCTGCTGTTATCGTGAGCAGTTTAAACACCTTTACTTCCGGGGTGCCTGCTAGGAAGTCACTACGTATCTTACGTTCGGCTTGTAAATAATGTACATAAAACCATCGAACAACGTTTATCATCGAATAAACCCATCCCTGAATTTTTTTTGTGTTGGGTAAAAGTTTTCATCATCCACCATGACGAAGTAATGATTCGAGATACTCAAATACCCGACCTTAAAAATTTACCAAATATTTACCAAAATTGGCCTGAAATCAATTTATTATAATTAACTATTGTGGTGAGTGATTCATCCAGAAGAAGGGTTTAAACCCAAATGCAAAATCAAACCTACTTTGTGTGACCTGATAAATAATTACCTCACAAGCCCGATAATGTTTCATACCATGGTCCACCTTATTCATTATACACAAAGTTGACTGAAAATTGTTTAAAGTTTTGAAGAGTGGGTGGTAAATTGCTAGTGCCATTGAAGAGTGTCGATGGCTTGGCGAAATTGAATTCAATTCTACCAAAGCTCAACATCATGGCAAGACCAAAGCCAAAGCTAGTGTGGAGACCCTTTGAGAATTCTTCCTTAAACTCTTGAATACCCTTTTCACTGTAATCGTTCAGATTGGCCACATTTCCTGCATCAAAGAATGCTTGACAATGCAAGCCAAGTAACTGATGAAGGAAAGAAATTGGGAATGGGAAAACAAGTCTTCCGGTTGCTAGAGCCTTCACATTACCTCCATAAACTTCCTCGGAGCGTGGATGAACCAGTCCTACCGCAGGGAATCCACGAACGTTCTCCACAAATCGGTCATTGAGAGAAATAAAGGTATCGTTTTGTCGATCGAGAGGAACTATCGTGCCAATATTGAGTTTTAAGGCAGCAGTAAGAGTATCGGTAATGAGTGGAACGAACACTTCACCATTCATGTCGACCGAGTAGTGTTTCACATCACCGCCCAATCCTGCCAATCGATGAACTAATTTAAAGAAGGCTCCTTGTGATGGTGTGGCAGCAGAGTCTCTTGTATCATAACGATAAATGTGACTGAGTGATGATTTCACACTGCGTTCTCTCACTTCGGTCCAAACTTGACTCTTCACATGAGAGTCATCATGGTCAAGAACAGGTTCCGATTCTTGAGTCTTGGTATTGAAAAATGAAGAGAAGAATCGATTAAAGGAGCCCGATGATGATGCCTTTCTGAAGATGGCATTCACATCTTCATTTCTTCTGAGCTCGAAATCATAGGAAATGGTGTGTCTATCATTAATTTCAGCTCGGACCGAAACACCATTCGATTTCTCTTGCAAGAGATTTGTAATTCTTCTACTTCCCAGCAAATATCCACTCAAATAGAGAGCACCATCGTTATTGAAACTTTGTGGAAAGAAGGCATGACTCACAAAAGTCAAGCCACTCTTATCGAAATTAGCATCAATATCCCACCTATCGGCTACACCCAACAAGTTTCGATATCCGAGTGAAACCTCTCCCTTGACTTGGCCCTTGTCATTCACTGTAGAACCCACAGAAAAACGTGTTGATTGTTTCTCCTTACAGTCCAAAACGAGTACAACATTTTTGTTCTCATCCGTATCAAGAATGACATTCAAATTGTTCAATACATCCAATTTACTACATCTCTCCAAACCAACACTAATCGCTTCATTCAATTCATTTAAATTTTTAGCCTTCTTTGTTTCTTCAAAAGCGTTCTTCAATTTGGATTCATTGGTACGTTCCACTCCCCGAACCAAAATCTCCTTCATTTGAAGGCTTTCTTTTCCAGCTTCGGGTTGGATTTGAAGAATGGGATCGAGAGGGTTATAGCTTTTGGGTCGCATTTTTTATTGTTTTGATGAAATATTTTGATTGCTCGCCACATGTCTTTCAATGGCCATAGGTCTTTAGGTCTTGTATAATAAACACTGTTCAGCTGAACTTGTTGTTCACGTGAAGTAAGAGATCATTATAATGGGCTCGTGCTTATTGAACACATACCTGAGAACGTGAATTTGTCCTTATTAGGTATTTCGAATAGAATTACAAAATATTTTCAGAATGTGATCTCAAATAAATTGCAATTAGCTCCACTTAATCATAATCCGCACCAATTCACAAAAAACAATCAACAGCAATGCCATCCAACACCAAGACTGATCACTATCGTAACCAAATTTATCTTGACGATGATGATTTCATTTACGTTTCAGATGAAGAGCTTCAACAAGTGAAATCATGGGTCACCAAGAAAGGAACTGCATGGACCATTAAAAAAGGAATTTCCAAGATGATTGGCATGCCTTCTTGGATTCTGACAGCCATTGAGAAAATGGGACAAGTCCAGGGCTATGTTTCGAACAAGATGAGAGAGAAGAGTATCAAACAAACGAATCAATGGGTTCAACAAGGAAAGATGAGTGAAGATGAGGCCTATGATTATGTTCTCGATAAGGATTTGGATTATTACTAATAAAAAGACTTGACAAGGAAGCAGATCAAATGATTTTGAGTTTTTGTAAAATACTTATTTGGGAGTAAAAGGGATTCAACAATGTTTTAACGCTTGGTTTTTGTGCTTTGAAGTCCTCTGTTTTGACCAAGTTCATGATGACCAATATAAAGAGGATTTGAGAGAGATTACAAAAAAAAGCACACGGTATTAATTGTGGGGTATCCTTTCAACAACAACACCCGAATATTTAATCTGTTGTTGAATTGTTTTCTTTTCTCGAGAATACGATCGTTGATACGAGTAGAGGAGGGTAGCTACTTATTTTTATGATGATCATCGTTGATGAAAAAGAATAGTATTATTATATGAATTCCCAACAACACTCGTAAACAACTCATCATCATCACCAACAAAATAATAGTATTGATAGTAGAATTTTGAAAACCAACATAACAACAACCTCGGAACCACTCCATCATCATCAAAAACATTTCTTGTAAATACAAAATTACCAGCTCAACATTATCAAATGATAAATTCAGAATATACAGAGGAAGATGAAGAGGAATACATTTTAGCGGATCAGTCCGATCAAGCTTCATCCGTGGCCACTACAACCTGCAGCAACAACAACATACGAAGACGGAGGTTGTGGTCCATACCGAGCCCATCCTCAGGAACGTCACCATCTGCACGATGGGGACATTGTAGCGTCATGCTGAAGCATCCTAATATCAACTCCAATCATCCAACGCTCATGATTCACGGAGGATTTGATGGAGCCAATATGCTCAATGATGTACATTTATTTGATGCAGTCACGAATACATGGAAACAACCTGTAAAGACGTTTGGAAGTACGCCGAGTCCGAGATCTGGACATTCTATTACGGTCCTTTCGGAAGAGAAGGGTAGACTTTTGTTTATTGGAGGAGGTAATGGAATGCATTACTTGTCTGATTTGGTAGTGATGGAAATTGTCACAGAAAATGATGATGAGTTTAAAAAGGAAATGCAATTACTTTCAACAACGAATGACTCGTCGATACAGTGCTGTAACATGTTTCGTTGGACTCGACCCAAAGTATCGAGTCGTGTTCGAGTCTACATTTCTGATGACGACATTATTTTAACAGAGGAAGAATTTCACAAGCTTCAAGAAGAAATTGCAAATAATAAGAATAATTCTAGCGGAACAGTGGAGAATGAAGGAGAAGAAAACAAAAATCCACTCGTCTCATCAAAAGTAGTGGAACAATTTATTCGTGCAAATCAATCGGGAACTAAGGAAGACTTGATTGGTTTCGGAAATCCCTCTCATCATGAACAACTTGATTCCTTAAATTTCACCATGAAAGAAATATATCCTGCTCCACGAAGTAGGCATACAGCTGTTGTCACAGAGGATAGCTCTCGAGTGATACTATACGGCGGAGGAGGAAAAAATAGAATTTTTGATGATATTTGGGTTTTAGATGTGAACGAAATGGAGTGGAGCCAACCATCTGAATCTGAAAATAAGCCTTCTGCTCGATGGGGACACTCTGCTTGTGTGCATTCTGGAAAGATGTACGTCTTTGGTGGTGTATTTAAAACGAGTATGCTCAATGACTTATACATGCTCGATTTGACGAGTTTTGTTTGGACACGAATTGAATTGCCAGATTCTGGGCCATTTCTTGCACCTCGAGCTGCTCATACAGCCAACATCATTTTAGGTCGACATTTATTGATATTGTGGGGAGGAGATGACGCTAAATATTTTGAAGATTTATTCATACTTGATTTACAGTCACACAAAGCAAGACGTATTGAATTTAAGAGTCCAAAAGCGAGATGTGCCCACACGACGTGTCTCGTTGACAACAATTATTTGTACGTGTTTGGAGGAGGTGGAGGCAATCATCGATTTAAAGAACTCTACTTGTTTGATATTAAGGCAGCATTTGAAAAGGTGGGAATTTATGAAACGTATGGTTATGAATCCGATGATGAGTTATTATTGAGTGATACAGTCGAGTACTCGAAAGGCCAATATCTGTCGCAATATTTAGACAAGTTGTCACAGACCTATCTCGAGCTAAGAAGTGATGTGAAAATAGAAGGAGGTCCAGAAGAAAAACAACGAAGTGACACTATTGGTGGCACCACTAAAGATCTGACAGCCGTTTCACATTTACCAAACGCTAACGAAAGTACTGATGTCACATCGACCAAAACAAAAACCGCACGACGAAAACGAAGCAGTGCCAAACGAAAAACTCTCAGTACTGGAAATGGAGATCAAATGTTTGGCAGTAAGGAAGTCAAAGAGGTTACAAATTGGTTGGTTAATCTTGGACTTGGTCGTTATGCAAGTATTTTTCTACAGGAAGAGATTGACTTGGAGTGCATTCCACTGCTCACCGATGCAGACTTGTTCAAACTGGGAATTTCAAAATTTGGGCCTCGAAAGAAAATTCTTGCAGCGGCCAAATTAATTCCCACTTCGTACATGTCTCCACCCAATGCACACCACTCGTTCGTTGAAAATTCCTCTTCACAATCCGGAATGCTAGCAAATTCATCATATCAATCCTCTCACCAGACTAATGACTCTCATGGAGATGTTAACACTCAACATTCCACCACGTCACATCAACGCTCAGTTTCATCCTCATCGATTACCATGTTACCTGTTGACCCCAATATTGCAGCAGGATCATCCTCAGCCTACTTTACAGAGACAGCCAATAATATTATTCAATCAGTGGGAAATCTGACCAACACATGTGAGGGTATTAAGGACAGTTTGAAATTACTCTCCACCAATCTCTCCAATCTCACTTTAATGCTTTCGAATCCATACTATGGATTTCGACACCCGGCAGCAGTTGCCATTTCCATGCATCATAATCAAATGCAGCAACGAATTCCTTCCAATACGAATACGAATAATAGTATTAGTAACAACTCAAACTCTTCATCGTCAAACTCTTCGACATCGTCATCATCCAATATATCCTACTCCAATGTCAACAACCCCAATTCACATCTTCACCACCAACAAATTTCAACTGTCCCTGTCTCTCCGAGACAAACCAATTTTTCAATGCCTTACAATTTGGAGTATGGTATGATTCCGCCGCCACCTCCACCCACAAACATTTCACCAGTTGTTGTTGTGGGGAGTGGTATTCCTTCACGACCAAGAAATGTGTCAGGAGCAAGCAATGCATCAAATTCATCTTCTTCTTTCAAACGAAATCCACTTCTTCCACCAGTTTCAACAACACAAACTATTGGTGAAAGTTCCAACCATATTCCAGCAGTAGCGAGAAGTTCGTCACTCCAAAATTTGGAAAGATCGACCAGCGGTCGTGAGAATACTACAACAAGTTCGTCAATGAATAGCAACACCACTGCTAATGGCATTGAATCAGAATTAATTCATGCAAATAGCAATTCAAACCCTTCCACTGGTAATAATCAAACGAACGCTGCCACAAAAAAGAAAAGTCGAAGTAGAAAACCCAAGAAGAATGGATCTTCGTTGTCACAACAGGATCAAGTGAATGTTGCAGATCTTTCACCCGAATTCACATCCTATAATGCTGGCGAGAGTTGGTTCGACATTACAGAAAGAGATCATGAATCAGATTGAGGAAATGGTCTGTAGTACAGCTGTGTGTGACATTTTCAAATTGAGAAAGAGAAGGTATTGTATTGAGTGACATCAGTAGCTCAATAATTAACCTAATTTCCATCAAGGTCTTCATTTATTGTTGTCATGTATCTCCATGTCATCATGCATGGTCATCACCTGCTGATGATGATGTTGATCAATATTTCGTGTCAAATAAAACCACACCACCCACATGACAAACACCACCCAACCAATACAAAACATGACCAATGCAAACAAGTGTGGTTGTTTCAATCCAATAAAATCATACAACAATGGAGAAGGTACCATCACACCTAATGCCTGTCCAGCTCCAAATCCAAAACATATGTCAAAGGCAGTAATTCGTCCTAAAAAGTGATTGGGTGTCAATTGTTCAATGGCTGACATGGAATAAACCCAAATAACACCTCCTGCTGAACCCAAAATGAAATTTCCAATGACGAACATGGAGGCATGCACTGTGAAGGACATTAATAAAAATCCCAATGGAATGAATAAAAAGCAAACAAGAATGACGAAACGTAACCAAAAGGCACTCCGTACGGATCGTCGAATTCGATTTCCCAACAACAATTCACACAACATGGGTGCTATTCCACTTCCAACCCCGAACAAACAGTATGCAATGGTGTTGGTATCTTCTGGACTATTTAAAATGGTAATAGTTGGGAATTCTGAAATTTTCACGTTAATAAATTCAACAGAAGCCCAAATAAAACTTCCCACCAATTTCATAATGGCAAAGCTAAACAAATAACCCTTTCCTCCAAATAATAATTTAAATCCTTGAAACAATTCGACAAAACTGTGTTTCATGAGAGCAAGTCCTTTCAGAGTGTTGGCAGGTTTTGGTGGATTTAATTCAGGAAACCACATCAACCAAATGGTCAACAAGAGTGCTGCCACAAACAAGAAACCATTGACCAAATAGACTGTCAACAATCCAAAAGCAGCCCTCACAAATCCTCCAATGGCAGCTCCAGCATAGGAACAAAACAGCCAGGTGAGACTATCGAGTGCGTTGCATGCAATGAGATCATGATGATCGACGACAAGTGGCATTAAGCATCCTCGACATGCATCGTAAAAGGCATTAATAAAGAAAATGAGAAACATTTCAAGATAATAGAAGGCAAATAAGGGACCATTTCCTAAATTTTGAACGAGAAATCCGAATGGTAAACAAAAAGCAACAATTCCTCTCAAAATATTTGCAATAATTAAAACTTTTCTTCGATCGAAGAGATCACTGCAAACTCCGGCGAAAGGCATTGCGAGACAGGAAGGAGCAAAGATGGAAATGAATAGGGCACCTGTGGCAAAACCAAAGGTTGCTCGATTCTCCACTTCATAAATGACTCCTAACATGAAAATGCCAAGAAAGTGTCAAATCCAAATTTGGAAAAATATGTCACCAACATGAGTTTCAGCAAGTTGACAACCATAAATACAGTCAGATCCCATGTGCACACTCTTCAACAACAACACCACTTACCAATTTCTGAAAAATAATTTCCCATTCCAGACAACACTCCTGCCATCCAAATAATCATAAATCGCTTATTATGAAACAACAAGGAAAGGTATGGATTTCTTTTCAGTACAGGTTTTGAACTCTCAGCATCGAGTTGTCCATATTCTCCCATCATGATGGCAGAATGATTTGAAGGGATACCATTCCCTGCACCTGTTCCAATCATCATGATGGATTGAGACAATGAGGATGATGCCAATTCTCCACCACTGCCATCATCCATGACATGATCTCGATGGTTCATGTCGTGTTCAACGTCGAGTTGTGAGGAAGAGAGATCTAGAGAGAAATCTGATCGTTCCGATCGTTCGTTGAGGTTGTTATTCTTGAGGTTGTTGTTGTTTGAAGAAGTGATCATGATGCCGCCGCTGTCGCCCCCTCCTCCACGTGAAGGAGTGGACATGAAATCTTCTTCTTGCATCATTTTCGAAAAGGATCAGTGTGGAGAGAAGGTTGGAATGAGAATGCATTAAAAATTCCAAAAATGGGTTTATGATGGGTTTATTAGGAGAGTCGATCGTTGTGGTGACGATAATTGTTGTTGTTCTTGTTGTTGTTGTTGAGAGAGAGATGAACGAGTTTGATTCGTTTTCTTTTTCATGAGAGGAAAAAGAGGATGAATTTTTAATACTCTGTATTTTCGTCATTATTTCCTTAAAAGTATCTCTCAAACTTTCGTCCAATTCTGGCAATGTGACTCTCTTAAAGTATCCAAAGAGCAACCATTCAAATGGAAGAAATTAGAATTTCTTGTTGCCTCCAACATCTTACTCCATGAAAAGTCAAGGAATATCACTGGACAACAGTTTCCAAACGAATTGATGACAATTTGTGAAAACAGAGAGGTGTGTTCTCAAATTTAAGAAGGTCAACAATTCCTTAGTCATGTTTGCAAACTGGATCGTAAGAAATTCTTCAATCTCTATGGTTAGTGTTGTTACTGTCTATTGGCAACTGTTCGAATCCCGACATGATATTCAAGGGTTTAATGACACAAACTGCGGATCCATTCCTCTTTTGTCTTTGTCAAGTACATATTCTCGAGTTCAGGAAAGAGTTTTAATTCCCAAAAGAGATTCCTCGGTTGGCGCCAACTGTAAAATAACGATTAAAAAAAATTGTCGTTATTGAAAACGTTCGTCGCCATCATCAGAGTCAAATTCTTCTACTGACGGATACTCGTATATCTCTAGTGATCTTTTCATCCATATCGGTAGTAATTTATCTCAAAATATTCTTTTCTCTTTGATTTCCTTTTTTTCTTTGAATACAAGAAGACACTCCCCTCATTCTGAATTAGCTCAACCTGTACATATACAAACCTCAAAAACACATATTTCCTACAAAAATCTCTTGATACCTATTAAATTCAAGATGGGCTCTGGATTATCAGTTGGAAGAAGGTCCTCCTCAAGCAGAAGCAATGTGGATAGACGAAAGAGTACAGACTCTAGAAAGAGCATAGACTCCAATAAGTCCGCTAACAGAAACACCAACCGCAAAGACCAGGATAAAACCGTCGTAAACGATCAAAAGGCCACCGTGCAGAATAGCAAGAACAATGGGTCAGCTTCCTCCAAAAATAATGTTGATTCTGCAATGAAAGATCAGCAAAAACAATCGTTTCATGAACAACCAAAGGAAATGCAACAACAACCAAAACAAGACTCGATTCAATCAAACAAAGGTGATAAAACCTCCTCTCAACCCAATTCAGAAAACAATGGAGAACAAAAGCCATCCTCGGAACCAAGTGAAAAACCAAGACCTCAAACGACCCTGCTAGGTCGAAAGAAAGCAAATGTGGACGATATTCCAGAATTTGTATTCCACTCGGATAAGGGTAAGTATTCATCATGATTGTGATCCACGTTTGGTACTGAATTACATTTTGTCTGAATCATTTAAACCTTTGATTGTCAAACCACATGATAATTCTTAATTTTCGAATTCCATCAACAACCAGATCTCCTTTTTGGAGCTGATATTGCAATGCCATGGAAACCAGGTTATGCTCTTGGTGTTCATATCATTGACGAACAACATAAAATACTGGTCAAGCTTATTAATGAGTTGGCAGAGGCTGTAAAAGACGGGCATATGAGATATGAAATAGGAAGTGTGTTTGATAACCTGGTGGAATATACAGACTTTCACTTTAAGAAAGAGGAGGATTTAATGCAAAAGTATCACTACGTGGAGGAGGATGAAAAAGCGCACAAAGAAAAACACGAACTTTTCGTCAAAACCATCTTCAACTTGAGAACCGACTTTATTAACATGACCGTGGAAAATATTGGTAAAGGTATGTGTTGTGTGTTTATGTCATTCGCTTACATTTTGAATGTTTTATTAATCAGACCTATTTAATTTCCTTACTGATTGGTTATTAACCCATATTTGCCAGATGGACAAGAAATTGTGTGACTTTTTAATTCAGAGAAATGTAAATGAATAATAAAATTTTGAACAACGTTTCAACCTCTACCACCATGAAATATTTATTTTTCATTCTGGTGGGAATATGTCGACATTTAATTTCAGCAAATGGACAACCCTTTTAAACACCACAAATCCAAGATCCCTTCTCATAATCAAAATGTAAATTGTTCACCTGTGAAATGTCAATTTCTGGAAGAGAAGTGAATGCGTCAATTTGAGCAAGTATCCAAAGCACCTCTTTCACCTTGTCTGAACGAATAATCGCATCCTCTGAGAAATATTCGCCAATTTGAGGATGTACAAAGAGCGCTCTAAAAATCTCCTCGAGCTTTTTCTTATTAATGGCCATGCACACAAATAAGGCAAATTTCAAATCGTTTGGCTCTTTTGAAACGAGGGTAGACATTCTCTCGTTGGTATTTTGATACAACTCTTGAATTAATGTTGTCGTAGCAGTACTGGAACTCTGTTTTGGAGCAACTTTTTCCAGATAAAATTTTAAATGATCCCAGAAGAAATATCTTCCAAAGAATTTAAATTGTCGAAAACCAACTTCACTTGTGAACAATAAACCCGCTGTAAATTTGATGCGAAGTATTTCAGATATGGACTCAGACTGTTCATTGTCTTTGTTGTCACTACTTGAAAGCTCTCGTCGACGAATTTCATAGAGTACTCCTTTCAGTCTCTCCACTGGAGGGATGTTCAGACACTGATGACTATTATGATTATCCATCAGTAAAAGTTCCACAACTTCCTTTTGATGGTCTACAACAGTTTCAAAATCAGCTAGTATACATTTGAATTTTGATTGTTTCTTCACTAAGAAATTCAAGTCCTCACGTGAGTCTGCGTTTGAGACAAGAATCGACGAGCTATCATGGTGCTCTTTCAAAAAATCCAAGGCAGAACAATAATAATCCCAAAATTCTTTCGTAAACACTCCATAGATGTATGAATAGAATATAAAGAGCAGAGACAAGGTCGTATATTCTTTTGCGGATTCCAATGATTTGACATGTTCTAATTCAGCAAAAGTTTTTTTAACGTGTCTCAGTTTGGCAAAAAGTTTTTTCGATCGTTGCTGTGCCTCTATATCATTCTGTTCAGCTTTGATTTGAAAGGACAAGCTCTCTAAAAACTTGGGAAATACTACATGGTAAAATCGAGACAAATCTCCTTTTCCAATAATGCACTTATCACATAAAATACATGCGTACTGTTGTACAAGTGCAATTAAGAGGTCATCGTTGAGAGGTAGAATGTAGTGTTTCTTGTCATCTTGAGGAAATTCGCCCTTACTGCCTTTTTTGTGAAGCTCAGTCAAAAGATAGTCAATAAGGTCAATTGAGGCTGGAGTTGGTTTCTTGTTGGCCTTACTTGGAAGAATGGCTTTCTTTTTTTCTGTAAGTGCAGTCTTGTCTTCCACAGGAGTGGTTTTAGTTGTATCTCGTCGTTCTTCGGTTGATGATGGTAAAGAGTCGACAGAAAATTCATCAACCATCTTGTCGGCCTTATTCATTGTGGACATAGCAATTGTATCATTGAGAGGAGAAATATTGATGATAGTAGAATCCATACCAAGTGGAGAACTTGCTTGATCCATATGAGCATCATCAACTGCTGACTCGCTAACTTTGGACATGCTATTTTTCAACTTTTCTTCCAATTGAGAACGTTTTCTTTGGAGGTTTTGGATATCATTTTGCAATCTCTTCACATTCTCCTTCTCAACTCTCAGAATTGTCTCTTCCTTCTTGACAAGTGCTGTAATGGTGGCATGTTCTTGCTGTAGCTCCTTCAGCTTCTCTTGTTGAACGATCTTTTTCTGTTCTGCTTCCTTTAATTTGATACTCTCTTCATGAGCTATACACTCCTCTTTTTGTAATAATTCTTCCAAATCATGCCTTTCTTGCTGCTTTTTGTGTAAGGACAACTCTAAATTCTTAATGGATGTGGTCTCACTGTCATGTTGTTCTTCAAGTAGGCGATGTGTGTGAAATAAAGTGTTCAGACGAGTTTGTTTTTCAGCATTATCTCGCTTCTGTTGTTCTTCTAATTGTTTCATTTGGTCGATTGCTTGCGCCAATTCGAACTCTAGCTGTTCTCTTTCTTTCACTTTTAATTTCACTAACTCATGTATTTGGCTTATTCTTTCTTCCTCGTCTTTTAACTTCATTTGTTCTTCCATTTCTTGAGACTTTAATTTTTCTTCCTGCTCTTTCAATTGGCGTTGCAACTCCAAAAGAATTTCTGCCTCTCTCTTGGAAAGCTCCTCAGCTTGTGACTCTCTCTGGAGTTGTGTCTTCTTGATCAGTTCCTCTAACTCTTTAACTTTCATCAAATTTTCTTCCAATTGTTCTTGACACTGATTCATATCTTCCATTACAGTCATCTTCATGCTTTCGAGTTGCTTTTTTTGTTGAGAAATGAGTTCGATTTGCTCCAGTGCTTGATTTTTTTCTGCCTCCTTTTGTTCAAGCTCAAGTTTGAGATCATTCAGTTTCTGAAGCTCTTGCAAAATGATCGATTGGTCTTTCAGTATCGATTCTAAATCCAAGTGTTGCTGATTCAGAAGGGTGATGTCTTCCTTCAATTTGTTATTTTCTTGTGTCTTCTTCTGGATTAGATCTGTTAATTCATACAGATTATTTTCCTCGTCTTGTAGTTGCTTTTTGAGATTTTTGAGGACAGTCTGGTTCGACTCTTTTTGAATTGCAATGCTGTTTTGTTCCCTCTTAAATTCTTCCTCCTCTTGTTCTATCAATTTTTGGAGACTTGCTATTCGTTTCACATGCTCTACATGACGCTCTTCGAGCGTTGATGCCTCGCGTTCTTTGAGAGCGAGCAGTTTTTGTAGCTCGTTAACTTTTGCAGTTGCATTTTCAATATCAAATTCTAATCCTGAAGCTTCATTGATTAGATCTCTAAGCGTGATTTCATTGGTTTGTTTCTGATTTTGAACGCGTTGAACTTCTTCCTGTAGTAATTTAGCCATCAACAATCGTTCTTCTTCTTTTTTCTTGCACTCTTCCTCAAGCAACTTGATTTGTGTGTTTTCCTCCTCAAGTTTGTCCTCTAACTTGTTTCTCATGGCTTGTTCTAAGTTGTACTTTTCTTGTTGCATATTTCTTGCCTGCTCTTCCTTGTCATTACGAATCTTTTCCAAGTGTAATATCTCTTGATGCAATTGCTCACAAGCATTAATCTCCTCTGACAATTTCTTCTCTTCTAATTGCCTCAATTCTTCTAGCTTTACACGTTGTTTCGTGTATTCTTGCAATCTGAATTGCTTTTCATCAAGAACGAGTTGTTCTTGTTGGGCTAATGCTGCCAATTCAACACATTCTGCATCTCTCATTTGTGCGATATCCTTCAAATCCTTAATCTTTTGCCGTTGATTCTCTATAGAGTTTTGAATGGAGGATATACTTTCTTGACAGTTCTTCAGGTCCAGATCCAAGACCTGTCTTTCCAAGTTCTTGTCAGCTTTCTCTTTTTCAAACTTTGAAATTTCACTTTTAAGCGTTTCTATATCACGTTCAGTGTTTTCAATCTGCTCTTTCTCGTTCATTAATTGAAGATCAAATGTTGTTTTGATCGACTCCAATTTTTTCCTTGCATTCAACTCCTCGTTTATCAAGGTTTCTTGTTGCAATCTGAGTTTTTCTAAGTCTTCGTTCAGGGTCGTGCACTTCTCCTGTAGTTGCTCTAAAGATTTCAAGAGTGGCTGTTTTGTATTATTCAACAATACTATCTCTTGTTCTTTGGCCTCAAGTCCTTCTTGAAGGTTAGCAATATCAGTCCTCTCATTTTGGATCTGTTGTGTGAGGTTGTGAAGTTTAACCTGCAACGAATTATGTTCATGCTGTAAAAGCATCATTTGTTGTTGTGTATTCTCAAAATCTATTTTCTTTTGATTGATAAGAGTAAGAATCTCTTCAATATATTGTTTGTTGGCCCTAATTTCATCCTCTTGTTGCGCTAATTGATGTTGAGCAATACGAATTCTTTCTTTCTGTTCTGTCAATATATTTTCATTTTCTACTTTGATCTGATCGATGTGATCTCTTGTTGCTTCGATGTCGATTGCTTGTTGTTTGAGAGATTCACAATCCTTGCTCAAATTTTGAATCATCAAGTTCTAATGAAAGGTTTGTCTGAAGAATAAGCTCCTTTTCTTGCTGCCTCTCTTCCAATGTGGACCTCTGTAAATGCAATTTCTTTTCGTTTTCTCGAATTTGCTCCCTAATTTGGTTTTCAATGGTATGTGTTAATTTTGCCTGTTCGTGATCTTGTTGACATATTTTCAAAACCATTTCCTTTTGAGCGTTGATTTCTTGTTCAGGTAAAATATCCCTGAATTTAAGATATTCGTTTTCATCGAACACTTTCAACTCAACAAAACGTTTTGTGATGGCCCACAGTTCCGCTTTTGCATTTTCTTGCTGTGCAAGAACTTGATCAATTTGATTACGATATTTTTCCATGCTGTCAGGTAATAAATATTTTCCTCTCTCAAGGCAATATCGAAGAGAGATAGAATCCTTATTACGTAAAGCTGTTTCCAATTCTTGTTTCAAATACTCCTTTTCACTCAAACGCTCTCTTAGCAAAAAAAGAGATTTCAATGTCTCTGCATCTAGAATTTTCAAAGAGAGTGCTTGTTGCATGACGTGTTCAACGTCTTTCAATACTGGTCTTGGATCTTCTTGCAGTATCTTCTTCACCATCATAAATAATTGAACTCTTTTTTGTACCATAGTGCATTCATCTTTAAGGCACGCAATCCCAGATGCCTCCTGTAACGCCTTCGATACTGTCTCCATAGTTTGATCATTAATAATCTCCGTAGACATTTCGTTTTTCAGCTTCTCTATCCGAATCACAAGTTCCTGAGCTTGCTTTAGCTTGATTCTCAAAGTATCCACACTTTCAAAATGAACATCATTTCCAATGGACAAAAGAAAATCGTTGGTATTATCTATAACAGTTCGGAGGCCGCGTATGTCACATGACTGAATTCCGTAAATCATATCGTGCAAAATCTTTGTACTGGAAATGTTGATCCATTCTTTCCTAAGTAATGTCTTGTCTTGCATCGAAATTATATGTTGTTTCATGTAATCTTCAAACTCTTGCTTTGTACAGAATGTGCCAGTGATACAACTTCGCACGAGCTGTACACTCTCACGAGACTGCTTAATGAAGGTATCACAGTCCTTCAAAACCTGTTCTGCAGAGATATGTCGAAGGTTTTTACACTTATCTCTCAAATCAAGAATTTTTTCCAGGTCCTTACTTTGAATGCATAGTTCCAAATCTTCTACGAGTTGGTACTCATTTTCTAATTCTTTCAGGAGTAAATCAGCTTGGTGATAAAGGGTGTGCAATTTGTCAGAAGAGTGTTGGAAGTTATGAACTTCCTCAAGACATCTTCTCAACAGAAGTGGATTCTTAGATTTCATTGCCCTTTCTAACAAATACAGATGTTTTGACTCCTGCCCTATCAACGAATCCAGCATTATTTCTGCTTTTGATGTTTCATCCCGTAAAGACTTGTATCGACGCGCCTTAATGATTGCCCTTTCAATTTCATTCGGTTCTCTTCTTTCGATGGCCTCTTGCAGTTCTTGTCTGCATTCAGCAATTCTACCTGCCCGTTTATGCAACAAATTCACCATATCTGATATTGTGTCATTCCTTCCAAAAATAGTTCCTTTGTTAGCTTGGAAATAAACATAGAGTCGGAGCATCTCTTGTTCATTATCTTCCTGGAGAGCTATCCTTATTTCGCTTTCAAACAGCTCCACACGGTGATTTTTCCAACGGCGTAGAAAATTATCATACTGGTCTCTAGATAAGAACTCTCTAGCTTTTGAGAGAGTGTCCATAAAGTGCTTGTAGTCGTTATTGCCACTGAGTATCATGATGTTCAATTGGTGAGTTGCCCTTTCATGTTGCTCCTTTAATGTGCAAACTTTGTCCCACCACGGTAACACCTCACTATCGTCCACGTATCGAGTGAATTCTTGTTCCAACAAGTCAAAATAGGTCAAATTTTTCGTTTCAAGAATTCGCATAAGGCGATTGCAAAAATTGTGAGCTGACTTCTCAGTTGAGATCTCTGTAACTGTAGTTTTAGCATCACCATCAAGCATAGTGTCGTACGCTTCTGGAAAGTGCTCATCAAGAGCTCCTTCTGCTTGCCTTTTCTTTCTAGAAATAAGAATTTTTGCTTTTCTTTTCAGAAGTCGTAACTCTTCTGTGATAGGCTCTGAACAATCATTTGACTCCAATAACACCTCAATATTTTGAATTTGTTCCTCTTCAATATATTTCTCGAGCATTTTGACAATTCTATTTTCATTGAGCTTTTTCTTTTTCTCCTCCCAAGCCAAACGAAGCTCCTTGAGAACTGTTGCATCTCTAATTCCAGATTGTAAGAGTAGTTGTGTAAATTTGTTCTGTTTGTCGGCGCTAAAATTATCAGACTTTTCAATGATATTTTTGATTCTCTCAATTACCTCTCGCTTTCGTTTTTCCTTATCATCCAATTCTGCATCCAGTTCGGAAACCGAGTCAGAATTTTGTTCTAAAAATATGCGGGCACGTCGAAGCGAAGATCTAAGGAAGATGTTTTCAATGCCTGGAGAGGGTAATTCCTTGGTAATTTTGAGCACATAGTGTCTTACTTGCTCGACATCTTTCTTGAAAATCGCATCTTTGAGACTCTTCTTGGTTTCATATGCATGTTGCATCAAATTAATCAAGTATTGTGTTGCTTTTACAAGTCGTACTTGATCAGAAGGGATTTTTCTTTTAAAAACCTCAATTTCAAAAAAAGATTCTCTAGAAAGATCGCTCAACGCGATGGTTAACATCTCCATCAACGAATGGCTTTCATCGAGGAGAGCTCTAATCCTGTTCACCTTACATGATGTTTCCTTACCAAAATTTTCTGAATAATTCTTTAAACAATTGTTGTACAGAGTTTCATTTTTCTCTACAGCCTTAACATGATCATCAATGCTGTTTCGTTTTTCAGCCTCCACAATGACATTTTCAATATTGTCATAAATATCATTAAGAAGTGAGTCCACTTCTGTTTCAGTTGATTCTAAATCTTGTAAAAATTTCAGTTTATGCTCAAATGTTTTCGCACTCTTTTCAACACAGTTTCTCAAGTAAATGTCTGTATAATCAAAAACGTTTTGTTTTAAACCAGCTCGATACACTTTTAACAAATTATACAAATCCTCCAATCTCTCATTTCGGGTGAAAGTTTCTAATAGTACAAGAAAATCTTCTTTTCGTTTGAACTTCCATTTACTTGAAGTTGTTAACATGATCACAAATAGGATCGTTGATGATTCGTGTTTAAACAGTTTGTCGGATAATATTATTATTGCAATTTTCTTTAAAAAATGCATAATGCTGCATAAACTTACGACTTTTCAGAGTCTATGGCAAAATCAGAGGAGCCACAAAATAAATCCAATGATTTGTGAATAGTGACAACTTTTTCACTCACTGATAATAATTCAAAATTCCAAGTAGTTTAAATCATGATATAATCTGATTAATTATGTAGAACAAAAGAACCTACATTTATCTTGAAATTTGGCAAACTGGGAACGTATAACTCTCAAATCCTCTTCAATATTTTCTGCATTAATCCTTAAACTATCAATTGTTTTCCCCATATCCTGTTTATCAATGAGTATAAAACTGTTAGTGGAGGAGGATTGAGAATGTTTTTCTGGTCCAACTTCAATGATTTTCAGGGATTTTGAAGCATGATGTGACGAAGAAATTGCATCCTCTGCCTCAAAAGATTTGTTAGGAAGGATGAATGAGAAAATTGTGTCAGTGGATGTACTTGGAGGCGACTTGGGAGAGCTCTGTAAATTTTTTACAGGTGGGAGTGCTGTGTTGTCAGCTGTCAGCTCTGAAGTGCTGTACGAACGAGCAGAAAATTCGGGAATGGAGGAGGTGTTGTGGGTGGTTTTAGTAGAGTCTTCTCGCCCACTGTTCATCGGAAGGGTACTGGTACATTTGGGAGGTGTAGAATTGGATCTCCTACTACCACTAGGGGTGGATGTTGTATTAAGGCTGCTGCTGTTGGACAGTTTCGAAGAATTAGGATAAATATTTCGAGAATACGATACAGGTGTACTAAATGATAATGAAGAATCAATAATCTCTTCCATAAGGAGAAAGGTCGGCGAAGAATAGGAAGGTTTGGATGGGGTTTTAAGGGAAAATTCTTTTTCGAATAAAGCGGTATCATTGACTTCACTCGTTGTTGCGGTATTGTTGCTACTCAGCTCCACGGGATCCATTGGTAACTCATCACTGCTCGTATCCTCCTCGTTCTGATCCTGGCGACGTTTGTGGTTGCTACGAGCCAAAGCTCTCAACCTTATTTTGTCCAAAAGTGTGAGCTTTGATATATCATCTCTTTGCCCTAGGACCTTCGATTCTTCACTATTAATATTTCTTTGGTGGGGTTGATCAATGACTTCCTCCTCACTATTGGGACTATTCTTGCTGTTTGTGTGAGCGATACTATTACTACTAGTAGTTAGTAAATTACTTCTTCTCGGAGTGGGTGGTTGACTCTGTGCTCCCATAGAAATCGAGGGTGTTGAAGTGGTAGAGGAAGAAGCCTGAAGGGTTGAGCTGTTACCACCACTGTTGTTGTTGGGAGTGGCAGAAGTAAAATGAGTAGTATCAACGACGACTCCATCACGGATCGTCGGGTAAGCATGACGGCCCGACAAAGACCCTCCTCCACCTCTCCCAAACGTTATGGGAGTTGTAGTAAGTGGTGATAATGGTTGCTGTACAACTCTTCTACCCATGGAGGCCACTCCTATGGAGGCCGATGATGAAGATTGAGGCGGTAAGGAGCGATTGGATTCTTCTTCATCGTCCTTACTCGGGGAAATGGGCGATGAAAACCTCAAACGTTGGGTGGCCATTTTTTTGTGCTTTCTAAGGGCCATGATCATGATGGCGGCGGCTCAGGACCAAAATCAAACATCCAATGACAATCATGACCGGCCTCTCTGCTGCTCTAGCTGATAGATATTCAATTATCCAATTCCAATAACAGAGAGTAATGAACTTTCGATCAAAATTGATGAGCACAGTGTGCTGGTTCCAGTTCGAAAAAAATGTCAGCGCTGGAAAATCATTTCCGATCATCATCATCATCGCCAATATCAACAACGAGAGACTCACGCATCTTACCCTCCTCGTTTGCCTTCTTCTCCAATGAAAATTATACATTGAAAGCCTATCCACAGAATACTCTCATGAATGTGATTGGTTCCATCATATTCCATACGTTTCTTGTTTTTGTATTTTATGGAATGAGTTCAATGTTATCCTCAACGTTTCGTTCCTTGACTTTTTCAAAGAAAATTAATTGGGTTTCTCGTCTTGTTTCAAATGTTCATGCAATTATTTCTTTTGGAGGAGCGTTGTGGGCCATCTGTATGACTGCTGAATGTTATAAGAGATGGGATGTTGTTGCAAATTGTTTCGATTATGAAGTTGGATACTGGACTTTGCAATACACGATCGGTTATTTTACGTATGATTTGATTTTCATGCTGATGTTTTATAAGGAGTTGGGAGGTATCGGATTGGTATTGCATCATTTCTTTGGAATTGTTGGTAAGTAGTAGTTGTTATTGTTCCGGAACTGGTCGATGATGATATATTTAAATGATTCACCACGCGATGTTGTGTCTTGCTTGCCATTATTACATGTGCTGTCGATTTCTTAATTTGTGACATTAATATGTATATAATCATATAATTTTCCAATCTTTATGTCAACCACATCCATCATTGTAAAATCCAACATCTGTTGTCTGATCGTGACGAATAGGGTGGGGCTTGATTTTGAGTTATGAGGGATTTTCGTTTTTTGCTCTGTTGTTCACATTGACAGAAGCAACAACTCCGTTCGTCAAGTAAGTTCAAACCAATATTGAATGAAACAATTAATGGTTGTTGATGATGATGATTGAATGTGATGATCCTGTTTCGTTCGTGTGATGATGGCTCAATCTTAACATCATCATCACATGTAATATTTGTTGTTTGTTGCCGATAATCGATGTGATCACTCAGTCAAAGATGGTTTTTATATGAAAGCGGAATGAAAGACAAGTCAGTTTATAGTTTGTGCGGATTTCTACTGTGGTTAAGCTGGACATTGGTGAGAATGCCTTTAATTCCACTGACTTTCATGTATATCATGTACAATTTGGAAGGTATGTTGTTTTTGTTGTGGTGTTTTTCTCACAACTTCACACTTTTTTGTGTGGTATTAAAATTTCCGTGTGCTAAAACCCGTATTTAGATTTCAAATACGCACCATTCGCTGTTCCATTCGTTTGTATTTTCAATTATGTCCTCATCACAATTCTCAACTCGTATTGGTATTATTTAATTTCCAAGGGTTTGTTGAGCGTCTTGTTTGGCAAGAAACCAAAGATGACAAGCACAGCAGCCACACTCAAGAAGGAGCAATAATAAGGCCACATTTCCTGCTAAATTCCTGAAATTGCCCATGTCCTCATCACAATTCTCAACTCGTCTTGATATAGGATCAAATTACCACGAAGAATTCTCACAGCAAACAATAAACATCCAATATGTTATTTGAAACTACAAGAACATATTCTTGGGGTAAGAAGAAGGTTTGTAAATTTTAACAATTTATGTACATGACTTAGTGCTGGCTGTGGAAATACAAAAACAGCATTCCAAGAGGGGAATCTGGGTCATCCACAGCTTGAACAAATTCATCGAACTCTATTGTTCCGTTCTGATCCAAATCAGTGGAGGTAAATGTTCTGCTCAGGTAATCTTCGAGCGTCTTCCATCTTTGAGCAGTGAGTTTGTATCCATGCATTTTGGCTTGACCAACTGCAAGAATTAAGTTCATTCAATTTCCAAACATTCAAGTTTGATCAACATTTGTGGTTTTACAGAACTGAAGAACACTTACTGAAAAACTTTCTAAAGAAATCAATCATTTCTTCTTGTTGCACAGATCCATCGTTATTCACATCAATTAAACCAAAAACAACTGTTGATGGAGTGTTACATTAAAATCAATAATGAGCAATCTCTCAAATCCAATGATGGATTTCAACTTACATCTTAGAATGTCTTTTTCCTCTCCGTATAGTAAGGTACTCAATCCAGTTGCGAGTTCAACAAAATCAATAGCACCATTTCCGTCCAAGTCAAAAGCTTCATAAATTCTGTGGAAAGCGGGCATTGAATTTTGAATGTCAAATTTTTGTGAAAGAGTGGTCTTTACAACTCGAAAGAAGTTCTCCTTCTCGAGTAAACCCTCTTCATTACTGGCATTTCTAAATTCCTCAAGCAAGATTTTGAGCTCCAATTCACTCACTATCATTTTAAAGATGTGTCATGTTCACCAAAGTGTGTAGTTTGAGTCAAGAGTGGCCAAAGGAGATTGAGTGGCAAATGGTGCACGAGAAGTAAATAACGTAAGGAAATTGATTCAATTAGTTGTTTGTTTCAAGCCATTGTTTGAAAGAGATGATAAGGTGTTTCAAGGATAAGCAGCATTTTAGATCATGAACGAAGATAACCATCACACAACAAAGAACAGGATGATGGAAGGCGGAAAGTTATTAAATTTGTATTGAAAGCATGGAATACAATTTCGTTGTATAGGGGATCATTGTTTGAGGAGTGTAGGCGAGATGAAGATGTGTTGCAGTGGTTGTTATTGGAAACGAGCCATTCAAGAAGGTCATACAAAAGCAAAAATGAAACAGGTAATGAAGAAGAAACATTCGCGTTTTGGAACAGAACAATGATGACGATCATCACAAAATCATTATTAGACAAAGGAAGGAATACCAACTTACTTTTCAATTGTTTTGTCAGATCCTTAGTAAGACTGGTGGTCGAGGCAGAACACGAGGATGCCGTATCGCTCATGTTATCTGCCGATAGGTTGGTGTCATCTAAAAATGTATTCCCTGCTGTATTCTGAGCCGATGAAAGTTTTGGTTTTTGCTTCTTTTTACTATTCATCAAATCAGCTAACAACATTTCAGAGGAAACATCCTCTCCGTGATGATGCAAAGGCTGCTCGATCAAGGACTGAGCACGAGAGGTACGAGAAGCGTTGGAACGAGGCATTTCAATATGGTTTCAGCTGATGGCTAGGAAAAGAGAGAGAAGGTGGTTGGAATTTTTTATTGTAGTGCTCCAACAACACTTGTTTCTAAGTTTGGACTTGACGATTGCCTAAACCATCGTCTGAGTCAGCGTTGTTTTGATGAATTGTTTGTCTCTCTCATCTCCACTCTCGTCGTGAAATAGTGAATGAAATATGTTGAAGCTCTCTTTTGTGTTGTTATTGTAGTAGACACCATTGTTGAGAGAGATGATATGCATAACAACAAGATGAAAACAAAGATACATGAGGATAATTATGATAAAAATCAATCAACTTGGTTTATCTCCCATTCAGAGAAGTGGACGTAAATTCTTATTGACATTGGGGACATTCCACATGAATGGGTTGCTTTCCGTCAATTAGGGCCATTGTCATCCAAACACTCTTCTGATCCATGTCCCTTGATTCTACGATGAATATGTGAACATGTACGTCTAATTTGAAAATGTATCTCATAAAAGAATGAGTACAAAACATGAGAGCACACTCAACTTTCATTCCTTATTTGAAAATCACATGTAAAACGAATCTAATCATCCAAAATCTCTCAAAAAAAAAACAGAAGTTGATTCCGAAGAACAACAACAACGATTTTTAATAACAGTGCAACGACAACAATAACCACAAAGGGTCATCCTCGGTTGCTGGTACTACTATTGTCCCGAATTAACTGTTGCTAAAACTGCAAGAAGAAAAAACGTGCGTTTCAGAACAATTGTTGTGGTTTGAATTTCAGTTCTGAAACTTTCTTTGGGTTGGCTCACTGAATCAACCATCATCAATTACACTAAAAAACAGCCCAACAACAGCCTTCTTCTGCACTGCCATTGGTTTCACTCAACAACAATCACTACGAGATCAACAACAACTGAATTTTGGGTCCCGTCATTCCCGGCATCAACAACTTCTCCATCATCAACAACATTTAGCAACATTTAGTTTCCGTTCGTTGTTGAACAAATAGATCTAAATATAAAAACCAACATCAGCCACCACCACATGCCTCTCAACGTACCAAGGAATTCTAGGCTTGTCTCCATTCTTTGTCATTCCTGTTATGGCGCCGAGCAGGAGAATGAATTACTCGAACATTACGAAAAGGAGGAAAAAGTTATTTCAAAACAGGCTGCAATCAGTAGTACATCGACGAATGGTCTTCTGACTGCTGCCGATATTGCCAATGTTGAAATTAGTAAACCCACTAATTTCAAACGAGGAATACATATTGCCATTGATGAGGAACAAGGAGTGTTAAAAGGTGAGTTGTGTTATATTTGCTCAATGTACACGAGTTGTTGGAATTCATGATCATGTGTTTACTTGTGTAATGATAATATTTTGTGATGATCATCTACAATCATAATACACGATGGTGTTGCAACATGTCCATCGTTTTTAACTCTCTGCATCGTCAATCACAAAATCAACACACAAAATCTAATTATTTCTCACACTTTACTGTTATCATCACAATCAACATTTGCGTGACCTCCTTCATTGATATTCAAAATTCATGCTCATCGTGTTACCGTTGTGACTTTTTCACTTGACACATGACATGTGTTACCTATTTACATTTATGGTACTGTATTTTGCTACGACACGTGAATCATGGCACAAACAATACGTACTTGTCGATATTTTGAATAACTATGTGGTCGCTTTGTTGATTCTCCAAAATTTTCCATCAATCCACAACATGCACGTGTCTCCACAGGTGTTCCTGAGCAATGGAGAACCATGGTTGGTGAAGCTCATTCCTATGATAATTATCGTAAAATGGCTGAGGAAGATATTGCTCCATATTTAATACCTGAAATAGGTCACGAACAAAATCATGACCGTTCACATTCTCATGAAGAGGGCTCGGAAGGTTTTTCTGCACTCGTCATTACCCGACCCACAGAATTTACACATCACATTCATGTCGATTATGATCCTGAACGAGGATTTATTGGATTACCTGATGCCTGGAAAGAGATTCTTGAAAAGGGTCTTAACAAGGGAGATATCACTATCGATGAGGTTATGAATCACAAAGAGGATGCAGCAAGAATTGCAGGGGTATGTATTGGAGGTTTGAAAATTTGTCACATGCATTTATTAACATTCCATCGTTGTTGTCATTATTATTATGATTATCAATATCCATTTGAATCTATATTTCAACACATTGAACTTTGTCATCATCACATTATTGATTCGAATATATTTCCTTTTAATAATTCTCAATGACAGTTCATTGATGGAGGTTTAACATTGGCTCCACTCAAAATTCCTACCGCAGCATCAAAACCCAAGAAGCGTCTTCCAGACTTTATATCGAACGAAGATCCAACAAAAATCTTCTCACATCTCAAGCCTATTGATGAAGGAAGTACTGGTGTAGTCATGCTAGGCACGCACATCAAAACGAACATTAAATGTGCTGTGAAAAAGATTGAAATTCAACAAACCACCAAATTGGAAACTCTCGAAAATGAATTGGCCATGATGGAATCTTGTTCACATCCTAACATTGTACAATATATGGGAGCTTATCATCATGACCATTATTTGTGGATTTCTATGGAATTTATGGACGGAGGAAAACTCACTGATATCTTGTACAAAACCATTCTTAGAGAGGATGAAATTGCCTATGTATTGAAAGAATGCCTCAAAGCTCTCAAATATTTGCACGATAGCAACAAAATGCATCGTGACATTAAGAGTGACAATGTACTTGTAAATTCGAAAGGAGAAGTGAAATTGGCAGACTTTGGATTTTGTGTGGAATTGACTACAAAGAAGGAGAAACGTAAATCAACCGTATGTTTTTATACCATTCTATTGATTTTGAATTTTCTAACAATGACATGATTGGCACATGAAAAAATCATTGATGAATTGCAATTCATTCGTGATACATTTGTCCATTATTACACATTTGGTCCATTTTTACAATGATGTAAATGATGTTGATTTCTCCATTTAGGTTGGAACTCCTTATTGGATGGCTCCAGAAGTGATTCGAGCAATTGACTATGGTCCCAACGTTGATATTTGGAGTTTGGGTATCATGGCATTGGAAATGGCTGAAGGTGAACCTCCACTTATTGAGCTACCTGTATTGAGAGCACTATTCATTATTGCCACACAACCTCCTCCAACGCTACGAGAACCTCATCGATGGTCCAGTAGTTTTAGTTCCTTTTTGGCAAGATGTCTCGTCAAGGATCCAGCTGAGAGAGCCTCTGCAACAGAGTTATTGGAACATCCATTCTTACAAAACGCATGTGCTCCATCGAGAATGTCTGATTTATTGAAAAAATATCACTTATTGAAGCATTAATACAGTGGAATGTGCACCGATAGGCATTCATACACAGTGTTCAGGAAAATATTGTGGAATGTACACTGTGAACACATGTTCACCTACACGCGACTCAACACAGTTTGTAATTTAACATCACTATTTAGAATACTTGTATCATTACGTACTGTACAGATACATTTCTATAACTCTCTTATCATCTCATTGATGACGCATCATCATTAAGGTATGAAATTTATACAAGCAAAGAAAGTAGAAAATAAATTTTTGTGGAATCGTGTCACATTATCCATTTGGAGACAAAAATTTTTCACACATACGCACACAAATCATGAATACACACAAAACATTGGAATCTCTAGTCAATCTCTAATCACCCAAATTCCATGGATCAAAATTATTCAACGCATCTTCCACTCCTTCCAGTCCCGATTTGAAAATTGCCATTTTCGCCAATTTTCTTCCTTCTTCATCTCTAGTATAGGCAAATGGATTAAACATGGTATGAACGACTCTCTCCATATAATGAAAATGATCTTGTCGGTTCATTTCAATCGCTGCCACACTATGACAGTGAAAAATTTGAAGAAATAAACTTAAATTTCGCAACACAATTCCATCCTTATTCTCTCCACAACAATAAATTCGAGAATCGAGAAGATCCATCACCTCCGTATGAGCCACCACATCGATATATTTGGATTCTGGAGTTGGATAATTATATTCCACATAACCAATGTTCGATTCATCCAAATGCAATTTGAGTTGATTCCGAACCGATTCCGAACTTGTTCGAATAATCAACTCGGGTTCATAAAAGAAATGAAAGTACGGATCATGTTTCAATCCATTGATTTCCCGATGATAGAGATCATGCAAGAGTTGACGTCTCACCTCCGCTCCGAGTTGATAATCTTGTTCCGATAGATGTGATTTCTTGGATTTTAGAGCTTTCCATGGATAACCAGAAGGCCACTCATGAATGTGAATGGTTTTCATCGATGTGTTGAGGCTCACATGGTTATGATTGAAAGGAAGAGTGGAAGAAGATTCAGTTGATAAAGACATTTTTTTTGTTGTTTTTAAAAATCGGAGATCTGTAAACTCCGCGTTTGTTACAAAAAAATGATGGAAAACAAACAAGAGGAGACTACTACTTCGAACGTCATCATGACATCATTGTCGCCACCTCCACGATCGAACACTCCTCCGACCAGTTATGAAACTTTTTCCACACCTCTTCCGATGGAAAATGTAGAACTCTCTCAACAAGAACAACATTCCTCTGCACAGAGTTATCAGCAACATCATCATTATCACTCGTCGTCTTCATCGACCAGTTCGAGCCATCGATCACGACGACATCAAAAGTTGTTGGAAAATGACGATGATGAGGAAAATCCTTCATCTCTCGAACAACAACAACAACATAAAGAAGAACAATCAGTAAATGAAAAGAAGACTCGGAATGAAACTTCTCATCGAGACCATTTGGAAAATCATGACGATCATGATGGAAATTCAAATCCAATTCAATCAACGCCAAAAATTTGGAAAACTCGAATCAAAAGTTTTGCAAATTGTCTCTTTCATAATTTATTATTAATTTTTACATTGGTTTGGAGTCGTGTTGGGATTAATTATTGGAGTGAGTGTTAATGTTGCAGAGAGTGAAGAAAATTCAACACTCGAAATTACACCTGCCGTGATTGCTTATGTGAAATTACCTGGAGATTTATTATTGAGAGCTTTGAATTGTTTAATTGTACCATTAATTGTATCGAGTATGATTAGTTCCATTACGTCGATTGTGGATAGTGTACATGCGAGAGAAGAGACAAGTGTGACAAATTCAGCTCCCACAACAACAACATCTCTCACACAAAATGACATGTCCAATAATATTAATAATAGAAAACACAAAGCTCTATTGAAAATGGCCTTAATGACATTATCCATTTATTTAGTAACCACTGTAATTGCAGTCATTACAGGTTTAGTGATGGTCAATGTCATCAAGCCAGGACAGGTCATGATTAATAATCCATCCACCAATTCTTCGATTACCACCAAAGAAGGAAATTCCTTAATGTCACAATTCAAAATATCAAATTCAAAAATTCAGTCAACCTCTCCATCCGAAATACCTTCAACAATGGTTTCTTTGAATGGAGAATTATTTCCTCTGAGTGGAGTTTTACGAACCATGAAAACACAACAAATGATGTCAAGTGACATTATTTCAACAGGAAATTCTTCATCAGGAACCAACTCATCTTCTTCATCCTACAAACAAATAGTTTCCATTATTGAAAGCTTTATTCCCAATAATCTCATTGACGCAGCATCTGCTGAAAATGGAGGAAGTGTCAACGTTCTTGGCCTCATTGTCTTTTCGATATTTATGGCAATTGTGATGATTCAAATTGGAGAACCTGCGAAACCAGTCATCAAATTTTTCAAAGCATTGAATGATATTATTTTGAAAATGGTTGCTGTCATTATTTGTTATGCACCGATTGGAATTATGTTCTTAATTATTTGGAGATGTGTGAAAGAAAAATATTTACTTCAATCGTTGAGCCAATTATTGATTTACATGCTCACAGTATTGAGTGGTTTAGTTATTCACTCATTCATTACATTGACAATTATTTACTTGGTTTTGGTGAGAAAGAATATTTTGAGACATGTTTGGGGTGTGTTTTCTGCTCTATTGACAGCTGTAAGTATATATTTTCACTGAATTTGAAACAAAATAATCATTTTTGTTAATAATTTCATTTACCATGTTAACTATAATGGTTGATGTGAAAATTTAACATGAATCCACTTAACCACAAATTATTTCATAACGGATCTTCTATGAAATTCACGAATCATGATAATGATGAACATGTTGTGTATAATTCAAAAGCTGGGAACTTCAAGTAGCTCTGCAACTCTTCCATTGACCATGAAATGTTGTGAAGAGAAAATTGGAGCTCAAAAAGAAGTCACTTCATTTGTATTACCACTGGGAAGCACTGTCAATATGGATGGTACAGCTCTATATGAAGCGGTTGCTGCAGTTTTTATTGCACAATCGTTGCAAATCAGTCTTGGAATTGGTGATATGATTGTTGTGGCAAGTAAGTATGGTGTGTGATAACAACATTACAAATTATGATTTCTTATTTTCTCGACAATTTGATTATTATTGGTAAAAACAATTTTGAACAATTATGAAATTCGCATCATGTCATTATCGCTTTGTCAATAATGTTCATGACATTCATTCGAATGGAACCTATTATGAAATTGATTTTTCAAGTCACTGCAACACTGGCAAGTATTGGCGCTGCAGGTATTCCTGAAGCAGGACTTGTGACATTGATTCTAGTGATTGAATCTGTGGGGCTACCCAAAGAAGCTGTTTCTCTCATTTTGGCTGTAGATTGGTTTCTCGATCGATTCAGAACTTGTGTGAATGTTTATGGAGATACCATTTGTACCGCCATTGTCGACAAGTATGTTCGATTTGACAGAATTTCTAAAAAGACTGATGAAGATTCTCAGATTGAAAATGATCGAAACAAAATGAATGAAATTTCACTTGACAATGTTTCTGAGAATACTAAATTGGTTTAATTGTTGCTTGAAATAAATATAGCGAATTTTAAACAGTAAGTTCTCTAACGTTAGATTTTGGTCAATTTGAATTCTCCATTTGTATCATCAATGAAATTGTATTCATTCATTAAAACAAACGAGTCCTTTTAAACAACAACTGTTGAAAAGGAGGATGCATGAATTTCATCTCCCAATCCTCTCGCTCCCGATTTCGATCAATTCCGTTGATTCGAACAATTTCTACGCAGATTGAAAAAATGTCCAATTGTTGAATCATCACTATCATCATTCTATCAAAATTATCAGATCCGATTTCATCCAAAAGCCAAGGTTTATTATTATTTTCTCAAGCGAGCAAGCAATCATTCAATCAACAATAATTCATTTATTTGCAATCAATTTTTTGTTATTGTTATTTGTTTCCTTCTCTTGCAAGACCAAAATTCGGGATTTCAATTAAGACCATACCTACCTATACAACCCAGGTTGAATATTTGCTGTCCTCTTTTAATTTCACGTTCGTTCTGATGTCATTGATCAACTCTTCTCCTCTCATCATCAACAACAACAACAACAACGAAGGAGAACAATCAACCATTGTTGAAACTCTACTACGCAGTTCCATTTCATCGCCCTCATTGCTATCACAAGAAACGGATTCTCTTCTTCTATCACAAGCATCAGCCTCAACCAACATGGCCTCTCAACAACATTCAATAATCACTCCTCCGAAAGGCCTATTCATATCGGTTCCATCTTTAAATCATGGCATGATGATCAATTCAACGATGAATCATCTGATCGGCAACAACCACCTCCACAACAACAGCAACAACCTCACTCCGAATGCAAATGGTAACAATGCATCCATCAACCATTCAAATTATTTGAATCATCACCATTATCATCATCATCACTATCCTCTTGTTGCCACCTCCACTTCTCTTTCGTATGGCACGAAAAATTCTTCTTCATCATCTTCATCATCATCATCACTACTACATTCGGGAGCATCCACTACTGCTGCCTATCCATCTTCCTCTCCGTTGCTGGCCAATTCATTGTCATCTCCAACTCTCACAGCTTCAAATGCCAATATGGGTCAAAGCTCACCTCTCTCTCCAATGAACAATAATCCTTCCCAGGCCAACAATACTTCTTCGAGTGACATTAACGCATCCAATTCTGAAAATCAAGTGGAGGATTTTGGAATACTTATTACTTGCTGTTTGCAAAATGATTTCATTGGCAAGTTTCCAGGCTCGGTTGGTACCAATTATTCGAGTTCCTTAGATTATGACTCGAGTACATTCATGCATGTGGGAAAACCCGAGTCACAACGTCTACTCGGAAGTGACTACAAGAGTGGTCCATTGAAATCATTCATGAGCTGGGCTCGAAGACAATCCTCGAATCATTTAGAAATTATTCATGTGCGATTTTGGAATGAAATTGATGAGAACAAGTGTAAAACTGTACCTCATCATAACAATAGTAGCGACGGTCACAACAAAAAACATCACCCCTCCAGTGCAAATGCAAGCTCTCCAATACATTCTCCCTTCCTTTGCAATGGCTTATTCTCAGTGAAAGGCACCTCGGGGGCAAATTTAGTGTTGAATCTCGATAAGGACATACCTAATAGAGACAATGAGTCCTATGTAAATATTACCAATGTGAATGCATTCTATGGTACAGATTTGGAGTTAAAAATTGCAAATGCCATCGACCGAAAGCAAAAACAACTCGATGCAGAAAATTCAACCAATGGAACCAACAAAAAACTCAATGTTAAAATTGGTGTGATTGGTGTTTGGACTGAATCCACCATTCAATATTTATTTTATGAACTATCAACGAGATATGCACGATTTTCCAAGCTGCTTTCAACATGCTCAGCATTGACTGCAAGCCGATCACGACATCAACACTTTTCCAGCCTCCAACAATTAGAAAGATACTTCAATGTTTCGATATTGTACAGCTTGTGCGACTTTCAGGAATGGCTAATACCATTCTGGTGGAAGAAAAATCCAAGTAGCTCAATAGTCAGTAGTGGTAGATTTTTATTTAAACAATTGGTTCGTTCGCCGGGTGCGCCACAAGATTTGAGTGCATCTTCAGAGGTTTCTCCAGTGCCCATTCTGGATTTGATGGATAATGAGGAATGCACTTCACAACTAGGAACAAGCTCCGCCGATGAGAATGTAGTCGCACATCAAATAATGCCTTGTTTTCATTGGAAATCGATAGGTGATGATTTGAACAAACTTTCAGATGTTGATAAGGAAATTATTTGTTTGCTTTATCATGATAGTACAGATGTAGTTTTTTCACGATTGTCTGGAGGCCACTCTGGATCATGGGTTTTCAAAGTTCGATCGAAAGATCTCATGGGACATGTACAAGCAACTTCCATTCTCAAGATTGGAAGAAGAGGACCCATCACAAGAGAACGTGTGAATTTTGAAAAAGTTGAGGAAATTTTGGGAAACAATGCACCTCAAATTCGTGGATTTTGTGAGTTGAAAGATCGAGCAGGCATTAAATTTGCCTATGCCAGCATGATTGAGGATGATTTTCAATTTGCCTCATCAGATTCAGATTTAATGTCTCCAAAAAGCCCAACCTCGCCTCACATTGCAGCGAGTGCAAAACGAGCTCCATCATCGTTTCGAGAATTGTACATGAGTGGTGGAAGTATGTCAACGATCAAATCCGTTCTTCACCGCGTATTTTATGGCGTCTTGGGAAGATTTTATGATGCAGCTGTGTCTGAACAAATTGACTTGTTTGAGACCTATGATTTTGATGGAAAGGGATGGGCATGGCATACAGGCGGAACCGATAATCCAGATGCTGTTCGAAATCGAATTGTTTCCATATTTTCCGAATTGCAAGATTGTTCCTTCTTTGAGCCGAGACAAATCCCAAAAACACAACAACAACAAAATGCATCCACAACGACCGGCACTCTCTCTACCCCAACCACCTCGGCTACTTCTGCATCATCCAGTATTGAGCCCACTTCAGGAAGTATTTTTGATATATCACCAGAAGAGTATCATGGTTCCACACATGAACATGTGAAAACCTCAACGAGTAGTAGCATAACGACATCCTCAACCGCAAGTACAAGTCAAACCGGTCAACTCTCTCCTTCCAATTCTCAAAGTCCAACCTCTGCAATTCCTAATGGTGGCACCACGATTGGTACCCCCTCGAAAATACCTACACAACCCGGCGAAGAAAAGTATTTGATATTTCCTGGTGGTTTTCGTGTGAAAAACATTGTTCATTTCCTTCGTGACTCGCTTCCAAAAATCAAACAGGGATATTTGGCAAAATCTTTCCACTATGTCTCCTATGTTCATGGAGATTTAAATGGCAGAAATATTATTTTGGATACGAATGAAAATGTGTGGCTGATTGATTTTGAATATACGGAGAGAACTCATATTCTAAAAGATGTCGCAAAATTAGAAAATGACATTCTCTTTGAATATACACTTATTGATAGCGAGAAGGAACTCGAGGAGGCCCTCATTATTACTAAGGAACTCGTTTCAGTGAAGGATTTAGCTGAGCCTTTACCAACAATGCTTGTTGGTTTGAAATCTGAAAAATTGAAACGAGCTTGGGAAGCAGTTGTTGAATTGCACGGCATTACGAAACGACTTGTGAGAGGTGACCGTAATCCAGTTCAACTCGATATTGTGTTATTGAGATATACTCTCCACAGTGCAACATTGAGCTCTCTCAACTTGTATCAGAGAGCATGGGCCATTGCTACTGCTTGTGCATTGGCACAAAAGATTGAACGAAAGGCCTTTCGTAATGACAAGTATCATATTGATTGGATTAATCTGAAGAGCATTGATTCCACCATGTGGGTGACACCCCATTCAGCTGAAAAACCAAATGAACACACGTCGACGACCTCAGAGCCCACATGTGGTGCCTCCAATCATGAAGAAGAAGAAACTCATGCCATTAAGAAGCGAAAACATGGGCGATTGGGAATATCAATCTTACCAGGCCGACCTTCTCATGGCGGTGTCATGCAAAACGATTTACGAGTTCTTCAAAAGAATAATGTCAAGAAACTTGTCATTTTGGCAACTCAAGAAGAGCTTGAAAGACTGTCTGGAGATTTGATTCAAGAGGCAACCAATCTCGGCATTGAAACGAAATTTGTTCCAGTCATGCAAAGACATCCACCTCCAATGAATTACACAATTTTATTGTGTGAATGGATGAGAGAAGCTATTGATGTGAATATGGAGAATGTTGTGATTGTATCTGTTTCAGGTCTAGGTCGTTCCGGTACGCTAGCTTCATGTCTATTACTGTTACGACAACCATTGGCACTGGATGCAAAAACTGCAATGAATGCTGTCAAGTTGGTGCGAGGTCCGAGAGTGATTGAAAATTCTCGTCAAGCCAAGTTTGTGGAAGAATTTCATCGAATTATTTTGAGAAGGTTAGAAAAGGGTGTGATCGATTTTTCACAGCAGCAGCAGAATCCTTCCCAATATGCATACAATAGTCACAACAGTATCAATTCGAGTAGTAGTGGTGTCACTGCTACAATGACGACAGCATCTCCACGAAAACCCTCATTGGGAAGCCTTCAACAAGAATGTCATCCTTTTACGCAAAATTGTGGCGAGTCTTCTCCACGGAAACCCATCTTCACACCCTTACTTTTATCCAGCCATCATCATCACTATTTCAATGGTGGAAATAACACACCCTCCATGACAGAAGATTTGAGTATTTATTCTCCTCTTCCAGTTTCGTCGATTTATTTTTCGAACGGTAATAATGGCAACACGATGACGAATGAAGAGCAACAGAAATCAATGATGAAAAGTGTGAAATCATTCGATTCCCTATCTTCAATGTTTTCAGAGAGAAAATAAAAAGGATATGTCTATGGAAATAGTTCAAGGAAATGCTTCTCGAATCGTACGGGATCAGTCAAACTCTTGTTGTTCATATCTTCGAAACAGCTTAAAGACAAAGATACCACTCCAACAACACACTTTGACTTGCTTCTGAAGCGACAAAAAGAGAGGACTAGTAATGCACCTTTGCACTTCTCAAAAAGAGAATGCAAACCAAATTTTTACCACAAGCAAACTATTTGAGGAAAAGATAAAAGTGTCAACTTTAATAAACTTGCAATATTAAGTGCAGAATAAGTTAATCTACAAGTGTTTCATAGAGTGGCAAATCGCTAGCTTGGAGATGGGATTCATAGAACTAGAAAAGAGTGTTAATCTTCCACTCCGTCATCTTCATCTCCATGATGATCCACTGGCAAATCGTATGGCATATAATCGGGAATAATTTCCTTCACACTTTGAAGGAAATCTCTTTTCATTTGATTATAACTTCTAATCAACGATGCAATACTTTCCATCAAGGCTTCCCTAGGTTCACTATCCTCTGTTGTTTGAATTTTAATTTCAATATGATGTTCTAGTGGGTGCGGAATTTTATATCCAGCAAATAACACTCTCCTATCTTCATGTAGACGCATCCGAATAATATTTCCTAGTGTGTGATCTTCCTTGTTGATGATGAAATTGGCTGCGTTGGGCATCTTTTCAATCTTCTCTGACTTGACTTTGATTTCTCCTTCGAGATCAAAAAGTTCATAGGTTTCTGGTTTGTTCATTTCCGATGGGGTGATGATTGTGTATGGATGATCGAGAAGATGATGTCGGTGAAGGAGAAAATGAGAGAGTGTTTTGTTTTGTTATTTTTTTTTCTAAAACTTAAATTAATTTCATCAATTTCATTTGCAATTTTTTAATACACCAAACTCAGGACCATATATTTTAATAACATTATTTATAAATTAATAACAACAACCACCAAAATATCATCAACAATTTGCACGAGGAAACTCTTTCTTCGATTCGGAATTATATTGTTGAAATCCTTTCAAAGCCTTCTCATCATATAAAAAATGTTCAATTTTGATGAAGGATTTCCCTTTGTAATGCCTCCAGCCGGAGCAGGAATGTTTCAATTCTTTGCATACAATAATCCATCACAGCCTTTGATTTTTGAGCGATATGACCAAAGGCTCGGAAAGTTATTTGAATTTAAATTACCAAAGTCAAGTACGACTCGTATGAATAAGAATAATAATAATTTAGAAGCAACAACAACAACACCATCATCTTCTTCTGATGATCAAAACGCGAGAGCGGATGTTCTTGATAATGAAAATCAAGAAGGTAATAATATTGGAGCATCTTCTTCCGACACGCCAACACCTACTTCCAATGATCAGTCTACTTCAAATGATCACTCCAACCAAATAATACAATTGTATGAAACTCTGCAAAAGTGCAATCCATCATTCCCACAAGAACCATGTGTAATTCCTGAAAAGTGTCAAACGGAAATTGAAAAGTTTTATTCAGCGTACGATGATGAAGATGAGAAGCATCTTTTCAACCTGCTCGTGGATGCGAACGTGATAGCATCAGGCCCTATCGTTTTCAATGTAGCTGGGACTGCAACAGGGTTCAATGGAGGTAGGTTGTGGTTCCATCATCATGTGTGAAATGATCGATTGACTAACTATTTCAATCAATCAAATTGACGACATCTTCATTCACTAATTAATTGAATACGAATACAACTGGTTGTGTCATGAATGACAACAATCGGTGATGCTCGTTTAAATATTGGTTGTTGCTCATTTACAACATTGAAACATTGGACATACACATTTGAACATTTGAATAGGTCCTCACACTGATCTTATGCAAGAAGATTTCAAAAGAGAGTACTTTAAAACAAGAGAATGCTATGAGGCTTCAAAAAAGGCACACAAGTTGTACCAATACGATGAATTCGATGTACAAGATACAGCAAATTGCAGAAATATTAATGTAACGTTGCAAAAGAAATTAATTCAAAAAGCAGAAGATGCTCTGGCAGTGAGTGAGCATTGCATCGAAGCCTACAATGCTCTCGCCTTGTACAAGGCGACCACTTTTGAGGAAGCTCTAGAATTGTACAGAAAAGCACAGTCACACTACAAGGACTATTACAGTGAAAGATTGGAAAAGAAGAGGAAAGAAGTTTTGAAATATAACAAGAAAGCTCAAACTTGGTACAACCACGAATTGAGACAATTTATGAGAGCAATTATTGGTGAAGCAAATTGCTTGAGAAAGATGGGTCGATACAAAGAAGCTCTCGATAATTATCAAAGGTGTCTTGTGTTGGATGATGAGGTTCATGATACATGGATTTCGTGGATCAGCTACATGTATCACATTCCTGAATGGTAAGTTTTCTGGGTTATATTTTAAGCCATGCTTCTAAACATGCATGACAAATTCCATACACGTCGAATGAACGAACATGCTCTCTACACGAAACACCATCATTCATAATGATGAACTGTATGAATATTGATTCAATCACACCAATGAAAAAATTATCGAATGCATTTGAATTCTAAATCCATCCTCAATTAATGGCAGCCTCATGAGATTAGGACGATGGAAGGAGGCCTATGAATTTTTAAAGAAGTATAATGACCTGCTTGATGCTCCACCAACACGTACCTTGTTATGGAGTTTAGCTCTCTGTGAATATGTACTAAAGAAATACACTCCAGACACTGTAGCAATGTCTAACGCAGAAATTTCTGGCCGCATCGTCAACCCATTTAAGGACCCCATTTTTCATACTGCCATTGTGTCACCAATGGTCTATGAGTATTTGATTGGAGTGAGAAAATTAGCACCGGTGAGAATTTCAAAGACTTGGAGAAACGGACCCTCTGGTTTTTGTGCTCCGTCTTCTCAATCAACCTATGCCATGGATCACTTGGATTTGTGGCTTTCTGTACCCGGTGCTCTTTCATGGGCCCTTCGCAATGCGAATACGATATATGGCTTTTGTTCACTCACAAAGACAGAGGAAAACTTGGGAAGAAAACACTTTTATCCCAATGACCCTTACAAGAATTTTTATAATTTATATTCTAGACATTGGTTCGTGAATGCAAGTCAAACAATCTCAAAAGAACCCATGTTGCTTACTGCTCTTTCTCTCAATAACTTGCAGATTGTTCAGTTTTTGGTTGAAAAGGGAGCAACCATTACTACATCGCTCGTACGAGCCTGTGAAAAGGATAGAGATGTTATTTTGCAGTATTTTTGTGACAAGGCCGGTGCGCTTCCACTCGACACACTTTACGAACCTGTTAGAATTTCTATCTCACTCGGTCATTGGAAGTGCCTAAAGGTACTACTTTTGAACATTCTCAATTCATCAAATTCTGTCCCTGGATTGTTTTTAAATAAGTGTATGCAATGGCTGTTAGAATCGAAAGAATACGATTGCATGAATGGCGGTCCAAAGTGTCCTCGCTGCATTTCTGGAAATTTCCAACATGCTTCCAATGCGAACTATATGCACTGTCTTGACTTGATTTTAATGATGGGATGGAAGGATGTTTCAAACACGGTGTCTACTCTAGACAACAGCAATAAGAAAAAGAAGCTTGCACATCGTCTTAAACAAGTCACACGAGGATGTGTTGCATTGGACCCATCCAATTATGGAATTGTGGATATTCGCAGTGTTCATTTGGTTTCTAATGTTAATCGATACAAGGAAGTGAAGCCCTATTCGGAAATGTCATCCGATCTCATGAAAGATATTGGAAATGATGAATTTCAGGTATGTTTTGAGTTAATTCAATGTCTTCAAAATGTTTTTCAAATCTGAACCAACTCCACAACCATGTATCTTCGCCACTTGCCCATAATGATACATAATTTTTCGTTCCTTCGCGAATGTGGTCATCTGGACACCTCTCAATTATGACACCATATTTATAATTGTCATCATTTTTAACACACCGCCTACAGCAAGGAAATTACACAGACGCTCTCCATTGGTATCGAAGAGCACTACACAAGCATGACAACCCTGATCTCGAACATATTTTGCACTCGAACATGGCACAATGTCACATTAACATGAAACAATACAAGCTTGCCGTCGAACAGGCACAAAAATGCATTGAAGTAAACCCTTCCTTCGTGAAAGGATATTACAGAAAAGCACTAGCTTTGGATTTAATGGATAAAAAACAAGAAGCACTTGATACTTTGGAAATGGCACTCAAAAAAGAACCCAACAATGACATGATTCTGAAACTCAAACAAAAGATCTTACAAGACTTGGAAAAACCATCGATGGGTGGGTCGAGGACGAGCAGCAGCAGTGGTCGTTCTCGAGGACGCAATCACGCAAATCGACACGCATCAGATGATGAAGAAGACTCCGAGAATAATAACTCTGAAGAAGAGGAATCTGACGAGGAACACTCTGACGCTCATGGAAGACCAGGCGTTTGCCCTAATTGTGGCGGACCCAAACTTCCTTACATTTGTGCTCAATGTGGAAAGACAACCATAAAGAAGTGCAGTGCCTGTCTCGAAGTGAGGTATTGTTCCCGTGAGTGTCAAATCAAGCATTGGAATGTACACAAAGAGAGTTGTAGTTGGATTGATACGCATCGTCGTTGATGATATCAGACACGATTGATTTCTCTCACATCTGATCATTCGCTCATCAACGACATCTTTCAGTGGAGATGAAATTCATTGAGATTTTCGCGAACGTTCAACAAAAGGAAATCGATATTGCGCGAGTTGAACGGAAAGTTTCGCGTTTTAGTTGTGTGGTGTAATACTAAACGCGCTTCCAGCACGATGCCCTTAGTTCCCTTCTAATTATTCCTTAATTGTATGCTCCAGTAGTACTTAAGTGTAGTTTTACAACAAGACCTTTTTTTCTTAAATTGAAGCTTATGAGTCTCAGATGAATAATTCCACACAAAAAAAACAAAGAAAACAAGAGAATGACAAAAACTTTCCCTAATAGCGTTCTTACTGTAACAGTATTGTTGTTGTTGGCGTGTTCATTGTGGTCCTCCCACGCTGCTCAACCATCCTACACATTCAATACTGTGCTCGACCACTTCTCTTCCTCATACTTGGAGGCCTATAACAAATTCAAACAGGTCTGCCAAGAAGCTTCAGGCTATGCATACAGTGAATATCAACTTCCAAATTTGAAAGGAATCAACAATGAAGATTTGTTCTTGTCTGTGTGTTTCCAACAAGATAAGGCCAATCGTCTCAAGAATGCAGAAGAGTCGAATGTGTTCATTACTTATTCTGGTACTCATGGTGTTGAAGGTAAGTGAGACATGTGTGTGGTTGCATTCGTGATTTATTCACTTCTCTCATTCATTTGTTCATGATGATATACATCTATTTGTTTATTCACTCACACATGGATCCACATTATCATGTGCTTACATTCATCCTCACATGCGTGTGCCGTTCATTCACAAACACACATTTCTTGCATGTTGACCCACTATCCACAATTAGGCTTTGTTGGAAGTGCTGTTCAAATCTCACTCATTCGTAATGAAAGTTCTCGTGGTTATGTTCTTCCTACAAACACCTATGCACTACACCTTCACATGTTGAACCCATACGGAGCAAGCTATTCCTATAAGGAAAATGAACACAATGTGGATTTGTTGAAAAACTTGAATGGCCACTATGAGGATTTTGCTTCCTGGAATGTGAGTGGAAATACAGTTTTGGAACGATTCATTGACGCATTGAACATTCCACAAGTGCATTTGCCGCAAGTACAACAACAAGCAGTTGCTGCCTACCAATCAATGGTTCAACAATATGGAGCAGGTTTCGTATATGCTTCAGGTGAGTAGTATTGATTGTTTATTAACTTTAGGTGATCATTCTGAATGATATACATTTATTTCAAATGCACACAAAACAACAGTGGTTGGCCAAAAAACAAGACCACAAGGAATCAGTTACACTGGTTTAAGAGACGAATGGACCACCACGACAGTCAAGTCCATTTTGAGCACCTATGTGAAATCATACTCATCTTCAAATTTGAAGAGAAGAAGAATTATCTTGGTGGATATTCACTCAGCAGTAGGAGCCTTTGGTGGAATTTATGCCATGTATGAGACGAATGAATTGGAATTTGCTAAAATGTTTTTAAAGCCAGAGTCTATTCATGTTAATTTATTCCCAAATCCACCTGGTCACAATCCTGGATATTACTTGAAGGATTATTCACATCTCTCAGAGGCAGTCAATGCCAACGTTTCCATCTTGTCGAGCGCTTGGGAAGTTGGAACCTATCCACAAGAGGATTATCAAATGTATTTGATTTTGCAATTGAATTGTCGCTTTTATCCAAACATTCCAACCAGTGAAAGACCTGCGAACGTGTGCCCTTACATTTATCAAAACGTTCGTGAATACTTCTACCCTGGTGGTGACAATTGGAAGACATGGGGTTTTGGTAATATCACAGAAGGCATGAGAACCACATTGAAAGGAATGGAAACTTGGAGAACTACGGATGGAACGACCATTGTGAATGGATCTTCACCAATCATCATGATGGAAAGCTTGCATCATGTAATGACCCTGTTGATCTTGCTTGTTTTGGCATTGTGGATGACTCAATAAATTTCCATCAAGCACAAGAACTTTCGAAATTGTTTTCAGATTCTTATAAAATATGAAAAATCATCCACCGCAGCAAGAGGAAGAGACAAGTTTCATTTCAACCACAACAACGGAATCATCACAGAATAGCAGCACCACCACAACGGAGAACAATCTTCAAACATCTCAGTCCGAAATCCAACAATCACAAACATCTTCCGATTTTGATGAATATGTGTGTCCCGAGTGTAAGAAAGGCTTTTCTCAATACAACAAATACACCAATATTCAACAATTAATTCGGAATAATATGATTGCATGCGATATTTGCAATCGGTGGTATCATTTATTGTGCTGTTCTGAGCAATTATACAATGCGGAGCAAACTGGAAATTTAAAAGAACGAATTGAATTCATTTTCAGAAAATCTGTTAAAGCCATTTCATTGGATGAAAATCATTTGAAAGAAAAGGATCACACGGATTTAAGCGATGAAAATCATTTGAAAGAAAAGAGTCATCATGACGATGAGATGAATGAAGAGAAGGCACAAAAAATTGATAATTTTACCAATCACTCCTCTTCTTCTGTTGTCAATCCTAACACTCATTCGAATGAAATATTGATACAGAGTGAGAAAGAAAACTCAAATTTTGATTTGGAAATGGAATTGAGGAAAATTGAAACACAAATTCAATCCATACCGTTTTTCATTTGCACACGATGTTTAGAGACGAGAAATTTGTACAAAATTGTGAATAGTATCAAGAACTCTTCTCATGAAGAGGACAACTCTGTAAGAACAATACCTTATTTTCGTGACGAAATACGAGATCCCTTTCTTTTTTTCGACAAGTATACCATACAGGAGGAAGAAGAACAAGCTACATCCTCTTCATCCACAACAACAAGAAACTCTTCATCGCCGACCGTGTATTATATCATTACCAAAGCCAATAATGAAGATCAAATTCGAAGATTTTCATATTGTAATTTTTTAGCCACACGAGAAGATGCTCGATTTATTTCGTCGTCAAAAGTTACGTTCCAACAAATGGTGGAATGTTCAAAACGTAATATCGAACACTCTATTGAAAAGAGTTTAGAACTATCAAATTTTGATGATGGTGGCATTACGACACAGGATGAAAATAGTCAAAACGATGGATTTTCTTCGCCATCTCCCTCTGACACAGGAACCACAGGAACACCTTCAAAATTTTCTTCAAATGAATATCAACACCACTTGTTAGATATTATCAAAGAAAAAGCATTAGAGAGCTGCATTCGACCGGAAAATGAAGCATTTATTTTGTTGCGAGTGCAAGTCAACAACAAGCAACTAAATGCTCAAAATGACAAGGAAGAATCGAACCAAACCTCAGATTTGCCAAAAAACAACACATGTGAATGTATTGGATACTTTACATGTTATTTTGAATTTTTATCCAAGACTATGAAAAAGTACATTCTGACTGATGCACACTCGACTTTCAAGCAATTATTCATCACTCCTAAACATCGAAAGAAAGGTCACGCACAACGAATGGTAACATTTTTCTTGACCCTTAGTACATTATTGCTTGACACTTCTAAAATTGAGGGCTATCGTTATTTTTCATCTCATACAAGTATTGAATATCCAAATTACTCCATGTGCTCACTTCTCGAGCGATTGAATATGAACATTGTGAAAAAGATTGAATTAGGTTTTAATTGGAACGATTTAGATCAAATAAGGAAACGAAAGAGTCTTAAACGAAAATCTAAAGAAAAGAAAGATCAAACCCTCATGGAGGAAGATTCAGAAAAATCATCAGAATCCTCCTCCACATCTGATGATGATAGTTCTAATTTTCACAAACGTAAGCTTAAAGTCATGAACTCATCTGAAGAGAACCAAGACGAAACAAATATTAAGAAACGAAAATTTCAAACCTCTTCTTCATCGCGTTCTATTGAGGAGAAAAAACATAGTAGTAGTCTCAGGAGTGGAATTTCTGACGTTGAGGCGACGACTTGTTCCTTAATTTTAGAAGGAGAAGAGAAAAATGCAATGAATGAAACTCCTCCCATCAATAAGAAAAAACAGGGCATTCGATATCACAAACGAGAGATCACACTCCTCGCTACGGAACATTTGGAGAAATTGACAGAGTATCAAAATAATTCCAAAAAGTCCATCATTGCATTTTTATTTAAAACAAAATTGCAAGCACGTCACAAGAGTTTAGAAGATGGAGTCAATAATGAAAAGAATTGTGAAGAAAGAGAAATCAACACCACCCCAACAGAAAAAGCTTTTCGACTGGAGATTTTTCTACCTTTAAATTCATTCAATTTTGATTTAATTGATGAGAAAGAATTCAAAGTGGAATTTATGTGAAAGCACTACCCTAATTAATGATTAAGGTTAAAAAAGGAAACTTGGAAAGAACATTGCTTGAATTCATTCAAATTTTATTCATCTTGTCGTCATTCCCAAACTGCACTTTATCAATAACCCTTAGTGGGTTTTTATGTACAGATCGACAAAATGATTTTGTATGAGTTTAGGAATAGACAATGCCACATAGGCCTCTTCTCTAGCAATTTCATTCAACTTGTCTATCAACACCAATTCATTCTCGATCAATTCCTTGTAAATGACATCTTGTTCCTTTTTCTGGTGGAGCAGTTTTTCAATATTCCACAACCACTTGCGAACCGTATGCTCTTCCCAGTCTTGTTGTTGAATAAAATTCAAAGGATCTCGAATCTCTTGTTCAAACACTTTTTCCGCCTCAAATACAGAACTCATGAGTGTATATTTTAAGAAATGGAAAGGATCTGCATTCCACTGTCTCTCTGTAAGTTTCTTAAATTTCGAGCATTCCAATTGAGCCAATAAATTGTAATAAACTGCAAGTGTGAGTAATAAAACGCTCTCCATCGATTGATTATTGATAGCAATGTATTTGTTGACCAAAGTTCTAATGTAGAATCTTCTACGAATTTTCAGAGAATTGTTGAAATTTGTGATTGCGTTAAACAATTCAACCCTTCCTGTACAGATGGCTCCCAATCGACAATAAAATTCATCCATATCGAAATATTGTTGCAATTCAAGATGTGTTCGATCAAAGGTCGATTGAATATTCACAAAATTAATTGCTTTTTTAACATATTTTTCCATATCACTCGAATCTCCATACTTGTAATTCACAAGAGATTCCATACAATTCACTCGAGTACGTAAAATGCATTTAGCAATGGTATTCATGTCACATCGAATATTTTTCGAGCTCATTAATTCATCCATGTGTTCAACATTGCAAAATTTCGAAAGATATTCTTGCATGGGTTTTACAAATTTCGTTTCCATGCCTAAGGTACTATTTCCTGAGTTATTATTTAACGAGTCGACCATTCCATAAATGAGACATTCCACCACAAGAGCACAATCTTGATCGGAGAGAATTCCACCTGCTTTTTCTTTCTTTTGATTCAACAATTTTTCACACCGTTTAAAACAAATGGATGATTTCTCTTCTTCCCAAATAAAGTAACACAATTCTCCCAAATTAAAAAAGACATGAATCATAGCATTTTGAACATTTTCCAATAATGTGTTCTCATCTCGCAATTTTTCCTCAAACTGATGGAGTTTCAACACATCGTACAACAACACACAAACATCCATCAGATACACATCCATTTTGGAGACAAGTAAATATTGAAACGATCTAATGCGTCGACTTTTTTCACGTCTCTCTTTTGCCACGTCCATTCTCAATTTCAACAAGGCATCACATTTGATAATTTCGAGAGCCAATATTTCTAAATGTTCACGTTCCGTATTGGTTGCAGAGGTTGTCCTTGTAGAATCATCAAAAGAATCATTCTCAAGTAAATGTTCAAAATGATCGTCATGCATGTGTAAAGATTTCAAGAATATTGTCTCTTCTTGTGTCGCGTGCTGCTCATGAGGATCCAACAACATGTTGTTCTGTTGTAAACGATACTTTTCAAGCATGAAAAGTCTCGAAGCCATTTGACAGTAAAATGGATTTTCCACATGTGGAAATAAGGGTTCATAAAGTTCTTGCTCCTTAGATTCATCAAGATCATTGGAAGACTTCTGTTCTTTCATTGTTCTTAAATGTTCCACAAGTCCTTCTTCATATTCATCATGATGAATCTCATCGTCGTCATGAATGTGATTCCTATCGAAAGAATGAGAATCCTTGTCATCATCATCATCATTAATTGAACGCAATCGTTCCCAAAACGATGATGAAAGAAGTGTCTCCGGAGAGAGGATTGTTTCATTATGTGCTGAAAAACCTTCTCTTGCTGCTGATGTGAAATGATGATCAATTGATGAAGTGTTCTTGTTGTTATTATTACTCTTATCATCGTGATTCACTTTCATGATGGGATCATGATGATTCACACTGCTTCTGATCATGGAAGATCCATTCTCATCATCAAAACTTCTACTCTCCTTTGGTAATCGATGCTGAGGATGGTTCATTAAATTCATTGGATGATCATCATCATCATTTGCAAATATGGTCATGATCTGTGAGGTCTCTTCGGAGGAGGAGGAGGTCGACGGTGATGATGATGGTGGGAGAAGGTGGTGAATATCATGACTCAGAAAGTGTTTGAATTTACTTCCTTTCTCGACCTTGATGTGTTTGGTTGTTGTTGTTAACGTTGAATGGCTGTTCTTAGGGTTGGCAGAATGGTCGTCATCATCACTATTGGTCATGTTGGTGGATTGGTGATGTTATTTTTGTTTAATTTCGATTTTTCAGAAAACTCGATGCCGAAAGAATTTCGAAAATCGTTCAATTTGTTCCTCAAAAGTCAGCACATGGTTGTGAATCAGAAATAGACAAGCCTTCAAGTCTATTGAATGTTACAAGTAATGCCAATACCTTTGAATCATCATATCCCAACATTAGACATCTCTTAGATATGCCGCCTCCAGAGTTGTTGATGAATGATGATTTGAAAATTAGGTCGAACGATGCTAATAATGTCTTTCTATATTATGTCTCATCGACCATCACTGAAGGGTTATCGAATGAATATAATATGTTTTCTTATTAGCTTCTAGCACTCTAATCCACCCTGTTCGGATTTCCTTTTCGAATTCTTTTTCTAAGAGTGCCACGTTTGGAGTTTCTGTTTCAATTTCTACGACAGGAAATCCATAAATGATACACACAGAGTACGTGTTAATAACAGTAAACTGTGCTAATTTCTTCTCAAAAGGGTCTATAATTGTCATTGATTCACTGTTAATAAACTTTTTCTTATCCTCATCATTTCGTTCTTTCAAAGAAAGAGCTACTTCTTTAGTTTTTGGGGAGTATTTCATAAAATGTTGGAAAATCAAAAAGTCATGCCTAGTTATTATCAAAAAAAATGTTGGAAAATCAATGCAACATTTGAATTCACACTACGCTTTGTTAAAAAATCCAAAAACACCATCGGCTTAATACCAAGATTTTTGGCCAATGTTGACACATTCGGGATTGTTCCTTTGCACCTATTGATCAAATTAGTGATCTTGCTGTTGCAATGGTAATTTGACAGGCATCTCTTGAGTAATACTGAATGTCCTTTGGAATGTGACCAGTATTCATTAATTGCATATAAATATCTCTTTTGTGTCTATATAAGTACTCTATCATCTTACTTCTGGAAGGTTTAATCTCTACACCCATGGGTGGTGATGCATTATCCTTCAAAATCTCTTCCAATAATTCTTTGCCAACATGTGCATGAAATGCAAACACGCTAAAGGTATCACCAGTTGGGAATTCAGTAAATTCCAAAGTCACTTTTATATTGTCTGAACCTTTCCTCACAAACTTTCTTCTTTGCACAAGTAACTGGACAAAACTTTGTGCATTATTTGTATCATCTAGTATCTGAAGTTGTTTCTACTTCATAACACAGAGCATTGGGATACAAGGACGAATTTAAAATACCAGTACTTTCGTTGTTCAATAAATTCACCATTTTCATCTAGAGTACCAACTTTCTTGATCCATTCACTGTTTTTGATGTTTGAAAATTCTTGATCATGGACAAATCGTTCAATGAACTCCACGGTTTCCGTTTCTTCAAAGTAGTCCTTCAAATACTCCATAAAAGCATCTTCGGACTTGGAAGAGATGATGAAATGGTGTTTGAAAATATGAACATCATTCTTTTTGCTGTTGGACTTGTCGAACTTATCCGAGAAAGTAATCAAAGACATGAGAGGAGGCTCACGAGGTAACACCACCTGAGTAAATTTGGATAGGATCGAAGAAGGGACAAGAGGAGCAATAAGCATTTTTTTAAGGCGAATCAACAAGCACAATGAAAGCATTGTTTTTGCAACTTGTTAAAAACCACCATTCATTCACACAGTTCAAATGGTTCACATATTAAATACTCCCTCTGAACATTTCAATTTGTCAATTTCAGAGTATCCCTATTCAAATAGACAAACTCTACCAAATTTAACACTCTTCTTCTGCTTGATTGTTTAAACTTGTAATCCACAATAATGGGTGAGAATTTTGAACAGTGACACAATCTTGAAGCATTCGATTCGATGTGGAGACAAGTCCACCAAATTCCAGACGTTCACCTTTCAAATTCCATTGCAAGCCACTGGTCATCACTTGTTGACAAGGAACGCCAATGGGTACTAAGGCACAGGTGGATCTTTCCCATTTCGAATTTCTATATATTTCATGTTTTCCTGGTTTGAGGACATGTACCAAACTGTAGGGAGTAACAAGAATAAATTGAAGTGCATGTTTTTCTGTGGTGGTTGTGATGATGGAACGAGAGGTCGTTTGGTGGTGATAGTGATGTTCTTCTTCTGGAGGTTGAATTTCTTCCTTCTTGATGGTGAGAGATGGTGATGCAGTATTGAACTCGAGTGACGACGACGGCAATGACGATGATGATCCTAATCCTGCCATTGCCTCGATATACAAGGTATTGAGGTCACACATTTCTTGATCCAGTCTTCCACCTCCTCCAATAATAAATACTCTATGAAATAGGGTACGAATTTGTGGTATTTTGGGCTTATTTTCACTGATGGCATCCTGCAAAATTTTTTCTTTCAGCAAACTCACACATTTCTGTAAATCGTTGGAATCTTGTTCTGAGATTTTCATAATGCTAGTTCCTTGTTTTGAATAAAAATTTCCAATGGCTTGGTCTAACGAATCTAAATCTCCACAAATCATATCTGGAATAAATTGTTTTTGAAGATGCAAATTGAAACCATTTTGTAAAAATGTAGTATCTGATGATTCGCGTGTGTCACTCGGGTGTGGCGCTTTCTTTTTCAGCATTTCTAAGTTCATGTTTGTATATTGAAACAATCGGTTGGCTCCTCCGTCGGCACAAAACTTCCATCGACAAGAGTTCCATAAACCTTCAAATAACTCCCTCGGAAATAATTTCTGCTTAAAGTAAGGTGTATTCAATACAATGAGATGATCCTGAAAGTAAACCCCATCTTTGGGAGATTCTGTGAATACATCTTCTTGTGAGAAGGCAAAATGTAAAACATTGGTTGGTGTTGTTTGATTTGATTTGAATTCAAATGATGAGGAAGTGACAGTTGAATCCATGCATTGGGAATAGTAGGAGAATTTTCTTACTGTGGAAATTTGATGAAAATTTATATTTTCAGGAAAATTATTAATAATCATGTCATGACGATAAGATGATGATTTTTGGTGTTTGTTGGGTAGAGTAATATTTGCATGGAATAACCGAAAAACATGATTTGAAAAGCCTTTCCGATGCTTTTCCATCGGAAAAGAGAGAGTCGCAAGTTTTTTCATTTTTTTAAAGCGCGATATATTCGGAAAAATTAAATTCTCATATCGTTCAATATATTATATTATAATTACTTGCAATATATTATGTAGTACCCCATTTCATATTAATTTCTGGTTTTTCAAAGTTTGAACATTTTTTTTTCTGTGCATCTTCCTTATTCGGAATTATTTTCCTTCACTCGCGTTCTTACAATTTGACGACGAACTTTTTGCAAAACTCTGAAAAAAATACCCTGAGTTGATTGTTTGAAAAACCTCTCATCATCATCATGGCAACGAAGAAGGATTCTCTCGAATCTCCCCAAGCTGCCGCTTCCACCTATCTTGCTCATCATCACGAATTCGAACAAAAGAAACAACGAACTAAATTGAGAGATGAAGAAGATTCTCCAATCATCGTCTGCACTACAAAGTCAAGTCAGGCGCCAGAGTCTTCTGCTTTTTCTGTTGTTGGGATTCAAGACTCTCCGCAGCAAGCACAAGCATCAAGCCCCACCACAATGCCACGAAATAATTCATCCTCCAATCAACTCAATGTCAAATATTTGACACATTTGAATACAAAGGATTGGCAAGTGGATTTTAATAAGTTCGCAGTGGTTGATACTTCGAATATCCAAAACAAGGAATTGGTGGAATTTTATGAGAAACAAAATGAAATGGTTGATGAATATGCAAAACTTTACAAAACAAAATTAGAGAGTAGAATGGAACAAAGCGATGAGGAGAGTCAAAATGAAGCAAAAACTTTTAAAATTTCGAGTGAGGGAGACGATTCCATCAAGAAACGAAATCCTCCACAACAATTTGGAAATGAAGATCACATGTTTGAAACAGAAGAAACAGTGTCACCTGCCATGAAAAAATTAGAAACTATTTGCATTCACATGTCGTTTTGGGTGAATGTGTGTTTGTTTTTGTTGAAATGTTCGGCCAGTTTGTTGAGCGTTTCATTGAGTGTCATTACTTCTGCTATTGATTCTGCTTTGGATTTGTTGAGTGGATTAATTATTTATATCACTTCAATTATTCGAAAGAAGAAGAATAATATTTATCAGTATCCAATTGGAAGAAATCGTTTGGAACCTCTTGGATTTGTGATTTTTGCGACATGCATGTGCACAGCATCGTTACAAATTATTAAGGAAGGTTTGACACAAATTGTGGTAAGTATCAATGTGGACTAATTGGAATGATTAATTGTTTGTACGATCTCACTCGTTTCACACAGACTGGACTCATTACAGGAGAACCCTATCTCGTTCGTGACGACACTTCAGGAAATTCCAATGTTGAATGGATGTTCGGTATTATGATTTCACAACGCGTCTCCACAATCTTCTATTACTATGGTTTGGGAGTTTTGCTATTGACCATTACTGTTAAATTTATTCTCTTTTTAATTTGTCGACAAGTGAAACACTCTCCTAGTGTGATTGCCTACGCCTTTGATCATAGAAATGATGTCTTGTCGAACACTGTTCTCGTAATTTCCGTGTTTCTAAGTAAGATGTTGTGGTGGTTTGATTCTTTGGGTGCCACCATTTTGAGTATTTACATTATTAAGAGTTGGATTGAAGAATCGATGGAACACAGTAAGTGTCTCAAGTTGAATGTTCATGAACCACCATTTGTGAACTATTTTCAAAATTTATCGCATATGTGAATGAATTATTAACTTTAACCAACAGTCACCAAACTGGTGGGACTCGCCGCTGACGCTGAATATCATCAAAAACTCACCTTCCTTGCTCTCAATCATAGTCCTCTCATCACCAAAGTCGACACAGTCCTCGCCTATTATAGTGGTTCTAATATTATTGTTGAAATTGATGTTGTTCTACCTGAAAACACCCCTTTAAAGGAAAGTCACGACGTTGGAGAATCGTTGCAAAAGAAAATTGAATCTTTACCTGATGTGGAGCGTTGTTATGTACACATAGATTATGAACATGAACATACGAAAGAATTTGAACATGTCATTAAGGATGAATAAGGAAACAACATTTGTTATGAAAGAACGATATATAAATAACGAGTATTTTTATAGTATTATCGAGAGGATCCCTCGCTCAGGATCAGACAATTCCATGAAAAAGATCTTTAGCCTTGTTTCAAACAAGAATCTTTCGGCCTCAATAATCCGGCCCAAAGCCAAGTTCAATGTTCGAACGGAATTCTAATTCATTCAAAAAAAAATGAGTTCAAACGTTGAACAGAGTTTCACATCCGTGATCCTCATCGATCACTCCATTCTTCCTGCTGCTACTACTTCTCATCACAGTACTGTGATGAAAATAGATGCATCACCTGACAACCACGATCCAGCCTCTCTCTCGTGATGGTGGTGTCCATGTTGCTAAACCACTCCGATCCGATCCGTTCCTTTCCCATCTCGAACAAGCATTGGAAAAGAAATTTGAATCTCAACAGAAAGGAAAATTGCGATGGCTTTGCAATCGAGAATTGAAATACGATCATTTCTTTCTGATTGAATTTAAGAATGATCAGCAATTTGTGTTGAATCATATTCGGAAATATGGTTTCGGTTTGTCCTTTGCTTCCGAGGCATTGAAAGGCAATAAGGAATTTTTGTTGCAATTATTGATGAAACTAATATTGGACTCCAAGAACTCTGGAGAAAGAGACCTAGAGGAAGCGATAAAAGATACTCTCAATTTTCTTTCAAGGGTGGATAAAGAATTGCAATACAATCGAGATTTTGTCTTGCAAGTCGTTCGACAATATGGAAAGGTTTTCAAAAGTGATCTCGACATCAATTATCAACATGACAGAGAGATTGTTTTGGCCGCTGTGAAACAAGATGGACGAGCATTGAAATATGTTTCAGAATGTTCATCCGATCAATTGAAACAAGATCAAGAAGTGGTATTTGAAGCCATTCGACAAAATAAGAAAGCGCTTCGTTGGGCATCTCGTATTTTACTTGAGGATGAGAAATTTATGTTAAAAGCACTTCGATTGGTATTGATACCAGAGTTGGATCAGTTTCATTATTCCAACAAAAAAATCATGTGCCAAGTGGTCAAAGAATTTAGTTTTTTGTTGGAATTTGCATCTCAAAAATTGAAAAGTGACAAGAAGATGGTTTTTCATGCTGTCAGTAATGACGGCTTGTCACTTCAACATTCTTCCCAAGAATGTAAGAACGATAAAGAAATTGTATTGAAGGCTGTTCAACAGAACGGACTCGCTTTAGAATTTGTAGCGACACATTTCAAAAACGATCACGAAATAGTACGGACAGCCATTCTCCAAAATGGTAATGCTCTTCGTTATGCCTCTTCAGAACTACGAAATGATTCGACTATTGTATTGGAAGCCATTCAACAATGTTCACAAGCTTTCACATATGCTTCCAAGGAGCTCAAAGAAAATCAAGAATTTTTATGGAAAGCTCTTGAACTTGGATGTGAGAAAGTTCTTAAAAGAATTCCATATTCAGAAGAATTTATACCATTCGTGATGGAAGTGGTCAAGAAAAACGGACTTTGTGTATCTTCAAATAATGAATTTTGTTATGGTAGACAAGTCATGTTAGAAGCGATTCAGAATCATGGTTTTGCATTATATTATGCGAGCGAAAAGTTGAAATCAGATGAAGAACTTGCAATGATAGCTCTCAAATGCCATGGTTATGTGTTGGATCATGAGAGAACTTGCAATCCAGCATTCTGGAATGACGATCGTCAATTATATCAAGCAAGAATGGATCATTGTTATTTTGATGCTTTTATGGGAAACATGTAATCATGTGCATGAAGAATCTTCAATTATATTTATATTATTAATAATTTATATATTATAATAATTTATATTAGAGAGCCTATATGGAACAAAATGAAATCGAAACTCTGAAGATGATTCATTTCTTAAGAAACTTATAGACACGAAAACACATTTTCGATTTCATTTCATTTTCTTTCAACGATTATAATTAATTAAAGCTCTCTATTATTATTCATTTATATTTATATATTTCCTGAATAAAAGTTTCGGAATAAAAAAAATACACAACATGAAAACCATTACCACCACCACCACCACTTGTACAGAAAGTGTTTTGTTTTCCGAAAACACCCCAAGTCAATCGGCCGAACCAAACAACACAGATCCATCTGAATCATCTACAACTCGGAAGAGAAAAAGTAATCCTCAAACAACTCCAGTCATCATCATCACTCCGAAGAAAAAGAAAATCACAAAGGAAGAATCTCAATTAATTGCTCATGTTTATGCTCATCATTCCGGTAATTGGAATAAATTTATGAGTGATGAGAAAATTCAAAAGTTGAACAAAACAGAACGTCATTTGAAAAATCATATTAACTATTTAAAAACCAAGAAAAACCAAACAATGAATACAGATCGTGCGAAAACGATCGTTCCACGTGGAACTCGTAGAGATATTGACGAGCAAAGTGAAGCCGATGATGGAGAGGATACTGAAGATGTGATCAACGCTTATGTTGCGAGTAGTGAGCCAGAATCTTCTGATGAACAACCTCCAGAATTGGATACACCACTTTTGACTTCTTCCCAACAATTTCGTGAATTGGACAATACAACATTTGATGATTCTGTTAGCTCAAGCAGCGTTTCAAGTGATTTTTCATATGTTAGAGAGATGACAAAGAGACACAAAATTAGAAGGGCCAAAAAAAGACAAGAAGAGAAAGAAGAATTGTACCACATACTTAATCAACAACTGCTTCAGCAACAACAAGCTCTTATTGACAGCTCTGATTGGAAGTTTACGATTCTAGTGATGATGATGATGCGATGGAGATAATATGAGGAGAGACAAATGGAGAGAGAGGAGAGACGCCGACTCTATGAACTACAAGAAAGACTTGCTCATACTGGATACCATTGAGTCCTCCACATTGAAATATATTATGAACGATTCATAAAACTCCAAGATCTTATGGTGGTGTAGATTATAATGGCCACTAAGACATGGAAAACTGACACAAATTTTACTTGGTTATGAAGCTTCTTTTAAATTATTCAAAATGAGAAATTTCATGCATTCATTCCTCTTATTAAACCTACATTTTGTGTTTTAATGATGATGATTGTAATGTACATGATGAGGATGATGATTGTTAGTTATGGGCACTACAATATCATCATCGTCTGACAAGGTATTGCTCGAAGAGCCCATAAATCCACTGTCATCGGAAATACTTCTCGTGAGAGCAACATTTACCTTAGCATTTGCTCCATTGTGATTATGTTGTTGAACAATTTCGCCAGATGAGTTGACAGCAAATAAGGCATGTCCTTGGCCTGCTGTTGAAGTGGTACAGCTGCTATGATCATCTGTATGTGTGTAATAATTTTGACTTTTTTGTGACGACAAAAAGAGTTTGTCTGTTTCACTAGCTCTATTCTTTTTGTTGTCTCTACGAAATGTTTCTTTCAATCCTTTTCCAAAATTGAACATGCATGCACAAGTCATTGCCATGAGAATGATTCTAACAAGAAATGCAAAAGCAGCTAATAAAGAAAGTCCAATTTTGATTTCGAGTTGGCTCATGGAAGATCCACCCCATTCTGTCACAATGTCGTGTGTACCTGGAAGCCACAAAACAATTATTTTGTAGATTAAAAAAGATGGCATGAGGAGAGAGATTAGAAGAAATAAAATACAGAATAATTTGTGTTCTTGTCGAATGCCAAAATAGACAACGAGAGGAGCACTGACTAATTGGTGTTATGTATGGAGTAAAAATTGAACATGAACATGTTAGAAAAAGTTTGTGAAAAATTGACTTACCGAGAGAAATCAACAATCCAACTCCAAACAATAAGTAAACCCACCAAAAATCAAAAACGACAAAAAAGAACCTATTTCAACGCATGTTGTGAAACAAGTTTGGAATTACATTTTTCGTCATTCATTTAGTGATCTCATAACCTTGTTGTTAAACTTACCCTAGCATTCCGACATGCAACGAACATACAAAATCAATTTTCAACACTGCAATAAAAGCATGATACACGCTATAAAGTTGATGAAGAGTCTTACTGGAACCAATTTTTCGATATAATTTCCACCCGAATGAATTGATCAACGGTATAGAAAGGACTATTTGACAAACTACAGTGCATGTCGCATTCATCCATTCAAACGTCCAACATTTGAGTTAAAAGTTATTGAGCTAGGGTCGGCCACAAACATTTCCAAAACAAACCTTCAAAAAACAAAATAAATAAGCTCGGAATCATTACAATCAATTCATCTGCTTCTCCTCCCCAAGCCAACCCGTAAATTAATCGACCCATTAAAAATAAGCTAATCACAATATATGAATAAATCATCATTTTGTTTTCATTCAAAATTGCATCCACTGCAAAATAGCATAAACAAAACATGGCCAAAATAGCAACTGAAGCTAAAAAGTACACAGCCGTTGAAGGTTCCATATCTTGAGAATTCAAAACCATATTCGCAATAGAAGCGGCAATAATTGTGATAGATTGTAGTAATGTAAATATTAAAAAGGAGATGGAAAATTTGTTGAGTTCTGCATGATGACCAAAAGCAAATTGTAATGGCTTTGGAATTCGTAAACGTAAATTCATACTGTTGATATTATAAAAGTTGAATGGGCAGTTATAAATTTGAATTTTAGTGAAGCGGAGAGAGAAAAAGAAGAAAGGCTTTGATTATTTTCGGATGATGATGATGAAATCATTCAGCAAAATTCCAAACAACATTGAGTGGAGAGGCTCCTTTAATTAGTGATGAAGAGAGTTTTTGGAGCTCCAAAGTAAAAGTGAGTGAGGTCGTTGTGGTCGTTCGTTGTTCAAGAATTTCTGAATGGCTTCTGAATCCTATAATCTTAAAAGTAGTAATTCAAGTTGAGGACTTTTTTTTAAAAAATTCGGAGTTTGATGGACCCAACAAGAAGAAGAAATTGAACAGCTTTACAATCCATAACTTGATGGATCATCATCATCATTCATGAAAACATGTGTTATTATTGTCGTATAGGCATGAAAGGAAGGGAATTTAATTTCAAAAGATTTCAATCCATCAGAAAAAAATGAAATCATTCTTTAAACGAAAACTCTCCAAGAATGATCATCTCCGACAGCAGCAAACAACAACATCTTTGGAACAACAAGTTGTTTCAGATCATCAAGATCCTTCTCAATCTTCTCATCAAATTATTATTACTCATCCGCAACAGACTTCCGAAGCTGCTGAAAATCACTCAACTCCAACTCTTTCATTGAATTTGGCTTCTATTCCAGTCAATGTTGTTGCGAATACTTCTTCTTCATCATCATCATCTGTTGCTGCTGTATCACCTTCTACGAATACAGAAATGTCGTCTTCAGCATCATCATTCAGAAAAGGTCCTCCCTCTCAATCATCATCCTCGAAAGGAGTTCCAAATCTATCCATTCCCATTAATAACCAATCTTCTCAAAAAACCATAACATCGCCTAGAAATGTATTTCTTTCTCCGAAGAATGGATCTGTATCACCATCATCGACTTCACCTCGACAATCTCCAACTCCGAGAGTTGGCAATAATAGTCAACTTATACAACAACCAATAATATCATTCGACAAGAAAGCACAACCTCCTCATACTGTACGGCTGCAATTAGAAGATTTATTGGCCATCTCGTACAAACAACGAACGAGAAAAGAAACTCTTCATGTACAAAAATATATTTTCATCATTGATTTCTCACTTATGGATTCACCAGATGTGTACAATAATGTCAAGAAGGCATACATGTCATATATTCACACAAAAAATCAATCCAATTGGAATATGGGGTCAGATAATAGCAGTGGCAATGATTCAAAATTTGAAACAGAAGGAAATGTTGTCACTCTTACGATCATGGGCATTAATAAGAACTCCATTCAACCTTTGTGGACATCTGACAATGAAAAATTATTTGAATTGCACTACATGCAAGGAATGATTCGACCTGATACTTTCCAAACGTTGAACTCACAATATTTTCTAAGCCCAAAGAACGTGATTGATTGTTGTGAATATTTGGATAACAATTCTAATTTTGTCATGAATTCAAATCCCTATGAGGACTACCAAGATATTGTCAATTTAGATCAATTTGCTCAATTCATTTTGAAAAGTTTACCAATTTGTGACATTAATATTATGGCTTCCTATCTCGAAAAGTTCAACACTCGAGTCTCAATATCTCAACTCATCCTGTATGAATTGGAACGAGTGCTGCAAAATTCACCCAATTCATTATTTATTGATATTGTAAAAATGTCCACAAATTCTGATGTTGGCGTTTTGTCCATACCTCCACCATACTACAATGATTCATTTACTGGTATGAATTACGGCGATCGAGTAATCTTTGACAATCTTGAACACTTTTTGAGAAAAATTAGACAAAAGAAAAATGTTGACTTTTCATTTGTGATTGGCATTGGAAAGGTAGGTTTGAAAGGAACATTAACTTATTTTCTATAATATTCTATTGTGAATGAAACACTTTACAAATATTAATATTCAATGTTAACACCCTTAAAATCTTTGAATCTGTGACACTCAGAGTGATGTTGTCAATACCAACAAGGAATTCGAATATCAAGTGGCAAAATGTTTCTCCCTCTGTACAGCAGATCCAAAATTAAGAACCTATTCCATCTCATTATTCGACGAAATGACACATGCCAATCCACTCACCGATTATGTCTATCACTTGTAAATGGAAGACAATCTAGATAGATTTGAACCAATCAAAATTTCTTTTCAAAAGATGTCTCATTGTGATGATTTCATCGACATGTCCAAACAAACTTTCAAATTTCGCTCAAAATTGAAATCTTGTAAAAATGTTCCATCACAACAACACTTTGGAAAATCCTTCCACGAGTGAGACAGAAGCATCATCATCATCATTTGTTGCTACTACTGCTGATCAACCACAAGATTTATATTTCAACACTAGTAATGCTCGATTACTCACACCTCTTAGCAACGATGAGGATCATAACAATACTTTGATCAACGAGGACGACGACAACAACAACATCCCGAGCAATTATACGAACAGTCTTGCAACTATCAAGACGGATGAAATAAATGATATTCATGATGATGATGATGAAGAAGATGATAATAACCATGAGGAAGATCACCAATATATTAATAATATTAATACTTATTGGATGGATGATGATGAAACCGATGAAGAAGAAGAAGAACAACAACCCACAACTGTCTGGCAAAACGGAAGATTTGTCAAGAAAATTGTATTAGGACAACACACCTCCGAATTTCAACATCCGTATGACATGGTGGTAGATCAACATCAAGAATTGATTTTCATATGTGATTCATCTCATCATGCCATTCAAGTTTATGATCTCTCCACTCACAAGTTTGTACGAAGCATTGGTTTGGGATCTGATGTTCCGTTCTATATTGATTACGATCCGACAGAGTCTGCCATTGTGTTTGGAAGTGATAATCACTGCCTGTACAAGTATTCAGTGTTTGGAAAGTTGATATGGAAAGTGGGTAAACATGGAAGTGGACCAGGAGAGTTTTCATTGCCGTCTGGTGTGTATATTGATACCAAAGAGAAACTCATCTATTTGTGTGATCAATACAATTGCAGAATTCAAGTACTGACCTCGAATGGAGAGTTTGTGCGTCAATTTGGGGAATATGGTGTGAAACCTGGAAATTTTCATGGACCACGCAATATTACAGAATCTTTGGATGGAAATTTAATCATTACAGATCGTAATAATCACAGAGTTCAAATTTTCACAAAGAATGGCAAATTTGTGAAAGCATTTGGAAGTTATGGATCTGAGAGAGGTCAATTTAATGAACCATGTTCAGTGTTGGTAGAACCTAATACTGGAAATATTTATGTGAGTGACAGTTTTAATGACAGAATTCAGATCTTTTCGTCGAATGGTGAATACATTGAATCTATAGAGGGTGATTTGGATTATCCACTTGGAATTTCTCTAAATGCAAGAAATGGAGATTTAATGATCTCGGAGTATTCAAGGTAAGAAGGGGTTGTTCTCATGTTTTTTTTAACACCATCACATATGTGGTTCAACTTTTTCAAACAAATAGGAATAGGATTGTTATTCTAAAAGATACGAAATTCGAATCGAGAATGGAAGAACATTTCAAAAGACAATTGCTGTATTGTGCAAGATATTTGAACCATGATATTGGAATAGTGAGCTGGGAAGAGTAAAGGCAATCACGAAAATATTGAATTTTAATTTTGCAAAAGTTTGGTCGAATTTCTTATCACTTTTTACTTTTGGAAAAGAAAATACTTTGAATGGTGTATTGAGGAGACTCGATGGACGAGAGAGAAGAGTGAGAGCTGGTTTGACTTCCTCCTGAAGAATCAAACTTGAAAGGTATTTTTGTTTTTGCTCTAAGGTTGTTTTGCAATATCATTGATTGAGCATTATTAGGTTCTTGATTATTTGTGATTGACGTCATTGGCGATGCAGTTTGGATATCCATCACTTTGCTTGAGAGATTCATGAAAGGATTATTGTTCGAGAGTGTTGAATCTGTTTGTGGTTGAGCCGTCTCCACTTTCGCCATAACATTTTGAGGTTGAACATCATCATCGTCATCCCATGATATTTGTGAATACCCTTTGGGATATAAATTTTCCTCCTCGCGATTACCAATATTAGAATTCAATGTTGTTGGCATTTCCATAGAAAATCCAATTTCCAACAAGTCACACGTATCTGAAATGTTTTCTGAAGTAGAAGTAGTTGAAGGATTTTGTTTCATCTTTTTACACGCCGGTGATAGATTCTCATTATTTACATGATCGTCAGTCTGATTTTGTGCATTTCTACTGCCTGACGTAGTGAAACTTCCAGTGAACACAACATCTTCATCGTCATCGCTTGATAATTCTTGAATATAATGGTGGTCATCAAGTTTTCGCTTATTGACAGATGTACGATTGTTCTTTACATTGGTTGTTGTATTTGAATGGATTGGCCTGGTGTGTAAAATGATACTCTCTTCCTCATCCGATTCCAGTTCAATATTTTGCAAAATGTCACTCTCGTCCACATTGATAACCGATTCATCTCCACTGTGAGGAGACAATGACAGTTTATATTCGTCATCATTAAGTTCTTCATTCTTGTCATGAATATTCACTTCCATTTCATGGTTCATCTTTTTTGGTAACAGAATTTGTATTCCTGTAGTCTTATCGACAAGCACCTTTTCAATTTCCTCAGATTTTTTCTTTTTTAATTTGGGTATGGGCGAAACTTTGGGTGATGAAGCAGTCATCATGACACGGCGATGAGCTGGGGATTGAGGTTGTTGTGCAGAGGGTTTTCGTAAGGGAGAAAATTTCAAATCATCCAAAATATTAAGTGCCTCTAATGATGAGATGGAAGATGTTGTGAGAGGATGTTGTTGCCTTGATGAGGGAGATTTAGAAAATTCAAGTTGGGAATCCAATGAAAGAATGGAAGTATTCTTATCTGTGAAATTGTTGTCATTCGTATTTTGTTGGTGGTCAGTGTGGAAGATCATGTTCGTCAATAAATCTTGTGTGTTCTCAAAAACTGTCCCATGATGGGATGTCATCAAGTTTTGATTATTTTTGAGGGTCGAACCAGTCAAATCAACCACTTCACTGTTTTTTGTTCCATTAGAAGCTGTAGTTGAGAGGTTTGAAAATGGATTTAAAGTTTGAGTTGGGAGTGCATAGAGTTTGGTTGGTAGAATTCTGTGAGAAGGCGGAAAGGATTTTCGTTTTCGTCCTGCCGCCGTATTTGGAGTCACTGATTTTGGCATGATGAGATGTCCATTACTGCCACGTGCTAAGGAATGAATATTGGATGAAGAAGAGACACTCGTACTATTCCGGTGGTCGATCACATTAGTGCTTCTCTCCATATGAGAGAGAACTGACCTAGGTATAATAACTTGCTTCATAGGTGTGGTGTTGTCACATAAATGTTTCACTTCATCACGAAGGGCGACATTATCACCACGAGAAGAACTATAAACAATCTTGGGCCTTACTTGTGTCACAAATTCTATAAGCTCCTTATATGACGAGTGAAGAGAGTATGGTACACGATAAATCACAGATGAATCCGAATGTTTCACTTCTTTAAGTTGTTTCGTCGACCATCCAGATGGAATAATTCCCACAACCTTAGGGTATGATTTTCTGTGAAACATGATCGAATTAAAACTGACTTCCTTCTTTGACTTGACAAGTATACGACCCTGCTCGGGGTTGTGAGTGAATAATTGAATGGGAATAACGTCGCTCATGCATTCCAAAAGTTCCAATCTTTCTTCTGGAACTACAATTAGTGTTTTAAAAGTTTGTGCGAGAGCTATCAGTAACTCTTCCTTTCCCAAATGATCTACTGCCAATAAAATTCTAGTGTCTTCCGGAAGAGATTTGATAATTTGAATAATTTCTTGACCTGCCTCTTGTCGTGTTGGAAAATCGTAGACTGGATCAAGAAAGGTATCATCCAAATACAAGTGATCAATTTTCTTGTCTTTAAAACATGGAGCTTGCAAAATTCTGGGATCATATCTGAAATCTCCTGTAAAAAGAACAGTTCCAAAATAGCCCTCAAGTAAAAACATGATTCCTCCGGGGCAGTGATTTGCATCGATAACATTCACTTGCATGTAGGAAGCGTCACGATCATATGAATTGAATGCTTGAATGGTTTTGTTGGTTGTAGTGACATTATTTTGTGAGAGTGAGTGATTGGAATTTTGTGAGGGTAGACGATTGGAATGATGATGATCGGAATTGTTGTTTTGACCTGTCATCAAGGACGTTAAAGCAGCAACATTGGATTGAGATGAAGATGATGAAGAATTTGATTGTTGTGATGGTAATTGTCTAGTTGTTGTTGCGGATGCATTTGAAATCTTGATCCAATACGAAGGATTTCTCCACACATTAATATCACTATGAATATTGTTGCTTGTTGACACATAACCCGAACGAAAACTTGGATCTTCGTCATCATTTCCTGTTTGATGATCCTGAAACGGATTCGGAGGAACAAGAGGAATATAATATGTGAGATCCTCCTCCAAAGCAATGACTCTCTCGGGTTCTTGTAATTGAAACTTTTTCAATAACATTCGTTTTGTAATTTCGCTACAAAATATAATTCCGTTATTCCAACTCGGAGTAAGACCACTGGTATGGTCTGTATGAAGATGAGTCAATAAATAGATAAAACATCCCGGAATATATTTAAATTCATCAACAATGATGGGCGTATTGGTTAATCGGACCATGATGATGATGATGATGGAAAAATGTCAAAAGAATGAAGTCCGAAGGACCAAAAATTGTTATAATAATATACAATCAACAGAGATTTTCTTCCGATTCCGAAAATCAACCGAGAAAACTCATTACTATTTGTTGTTGAATTGCAAATCTTGAAAGAGCCGTTACACAAAATTTTTTTAAGTTTTTTTTGACGAAATATTGCTCAAATCCACGATTATCTGGAACTTGTAAAATTGTTGAATTCTCGTTCGAATTGTAATAAGCAATAGAAGTTGGTGCTCTCGAATCAATGATTTAATGTCATTCAGATCTGCATGTGATCGACGTGGGCTTAAAATTTCAAATGAAACGTTTCTTGAACTTGTGAGAAACAGTTGAAAACGATTCTTTATTGAAAAGTTCTTTACTCAACACTTTCCTTAATAGTTTTCGCAAGTTCACTCAATCTCTTTCCCTTAAGCTCCTCTTTCAACACACATCCATTTCTATGAATACAAACAGCAATCATTGCCTCCACATGAGCTTTTGAAGCAGTCTTCACACTAAAACATGGCTTTGACAATTGACATCCATAATAATGATATTGAGTTTCACACTTGTCAAACAATTTTCTGGTCGCATCCAACTGGGCATTCAAGCAATCCACTTCACAAGCCACACATTTCAATCCATTAAAAGGTGCTCTCGAATATCCAGTTTCTCCAGTTCTTGGTCCAACAGCTCCATCGTATTTTCGAACTGTTCTTTGACAATAAACTTTCGCTTGACGTGTGAGTTTCATTGGGAAATTCGACCAATAACGATTTCCCCAATACTGACCTCCTCTTCCACCACCACCACCACCACCACGACGTCCTCCTCTTCCACCACTACGAGAACGACCACCACCACTACCACGAGAACGACCACCAACAGAACGACCGCCGCCACCACCACCACCACCACGATGACCACCTCCATTCGATCTTGCAGGGAATCTTCTAAAGAAGAGAGTTGATGATGAATCTTCTTTTTCGACAGCATCATTGAGATTTTCCAATGAAGAGGAAGTATCCAAAGTGACAGCTGCTGTTGCTGCTGTGGTTACGACAAGAGCTGCTCGATTTTCAGCGCATGAGGAAACAGCGGCGTGAGAGTGTGAAGAACCAAAGAAGAAGAGGAAAGAGAGGATGAGAATGGTTGTGAGAAGAACAACGCGATGCAACCGAGAGTGATGAGAGTCAAGGTTGCTTGAGAGTGACATTTTTTGTTGGGATGGTATTTTGAACGCGAGTCATCAGTCAAATGTCAAAATGTAAGAAAGTGCTCAAAAAGTAGATCAACGACAAAATCGAACGGTAATATTTACGACTACTTTCAGCAAACCGAAATTTATTGATGTTATTATCACATGCAACAACACAACATTCATTTTAACAATCACACTTTACTATTGGAGAATTCGATGCTGGGAAATCGCCAACAAGTCACAAGTTCTGTTGAGTTCTGTTGCGACCAAACTCTCAACCACAAATCACGACACGACACTCAATGAACCTCAAATCGGGTCATTATTATTGAAACGTCTCTCCAAAAAATCTCACAAAAATGTTTTCCCAACACCATCACCAACACTTTCACACCATTTCGACTGAATTATTTCACTACTACTCTCCTTTTTCTTCGAATACCACCACTTCGACCTTCATCACCTCGACCACAACAACTCAAAGAAGAAGGACCCTAAAAGTTCATCCCCTTCAAACACCACCATGGATGACTCAATCGTGTGAAAGTGTTGGAATATTCGCCATGTGGTCGATCATGTCTGTGTTGTTATTCTTGTTGTTGTTGTTGTTATTATTATTTCACACGACCTCCGCCACCAAAATCCAACCTTCTTCGATCGAAATTTTCAAACCCATCTTCTCCCTTTCGAAGAGTCGACGATGGTTGTTCGTTGCTTCGGAACAAGAAGAAACATCATCCAAGTGGTCGACCATTATGGTGTATCCGAAACTCAACTCGACCATTCCATATGCTAGTTCCTTTATGAATTGGGATGTTAATTCGTATTCGGATAAAGACTTTCAATCCAACACTTCCTTGATTACAACGATTGGTTCGAGATCGATTGTGATGGTCACGAACTACATGACTGCCTTTATTTGGAAAAATGTCAGTTCCGAATACAATGTGATCAACACCATGGACTTTGTGGATTGGTTGAAAAACATGTCGAAAAGTGGAAAGTTGGCAAATTTGAAAATTGGAGTGGAGAGAGGATATCGGAATTTTTTACAATATGTTTTGAAGTATTATGGACTGTCAGAAGTCATTCCAATGGTTTCTACGTTTGTATTTTATTCAAGAAATTGTCGACCAAGACATGTTTTCGAGGTGAGTTCAATGATGATTCATGAATCGATTGTTTCCAATCTTATTTCTTTATTGTCAACCGTGTTGCTATTTACCCAATTTGGAAACTTTTCACAGGACTTTGATGTCATCATTACCCTTCCAACCTTCTTTTTTCAATACATTAGATTCTATCGCGATGGCACTGGAATTCGAAAACCCATCCTACCCAATGATCCAATCGCAAGTTATATCAATCCTCAAGATTTCATTCCCATTCGATTAGCTCCATATATTGTTGGCTATAATTATCCATATCTTCCTTGGTTTTCCATTACAAATTCCTATTTAGTGGGCCTAACTTCACATATGCAATTTTATGCCAATGAGGCAGATTTGGCCAATTATTATAATTTTGGAAATGTCACACAAGAGGATCTCGATTTCATTACCAATGTCACTGGTTCGACTCCAAATGTCGATCGAGAGGCCTTCGAAACCATGATTCGAAACACTGAAGCTCGATTAGGTGTCACTTTAACAGGTGAATGGACATTACAAGATTATTTGTCATCTCTGTATTCATCGGCCTATCATCGATGTGTTGATACCAATTGCAATGATTACAAATTTGAGGAAACAGACTTTTGGAACATTCCAGTGATTATCTTACTTGTCACTTATTTTGGATTATTGTTTGGAACGAAATCTTTTCTCAAACCAGCCTTAAAAAGAAGATTAATCATACCTTACTTGCCAGTATTCATCATTTTCTTTGAATTTGGAGCTGGATCTGAATATTTTGCAAATTCATGTGCTCCTGCATTGGGTTACGTTCGAATGTTTATTTGCTGTTTTTGGGTCGTGTGCTATGCTTGTATGGTCATTCGATTTTATTATTTGAGAAATTTGTACAAGATGCTTTCAAAAGGCGAGAAAGATATTGCACGAGTGAAATGGTTTTCATCCAACTCTGTAGGAATAGTGCTCATGTGTGGCATTTCAATTCTCATTTCAAGTATATTCTCCATTCAAGGAGTGACCATGTTTTTTGATATTTTCAACAATGAGAATGACATCATTCGTGTGATTAATATCAGTTTTGCTCTCTATTTATTAATTGGAACCTTTGTGGCTGCAACTGTCATTGCGATGGATGTGGTTGTGAATCGACAAATGATGTCACAAAGTGGTGGTTTGAGAAAGTATCTCTTTTTTGATGATCCTTTTTATGTGAGATTGGATTTGATTTTTTCTTCATTGATTTTTGTGACCATTTTGATTTTAGTGATCATTCAAGGATCAGTGAGTAATTTCAAAACAGGAGGTGTGGCACATTTCAACAGATTCTTGGTGTTGATGATTTATTTTTGGGCGATTTTAATTTGTGGAGGAACAGTGATTGCTTCAGAACTAATTTCCTTATTTAGAAAGAAGAAATCCAATACCTCTCTTTTGTCAGAACTTGAAAGATATTTGAAAATTCCAGAATTTAAAACTCTCTTTGCAGAATACACTGAAAAGGAACTCTCACTGGAAAATTATTTATGTTTCAAAGATTTGGAAGTTTTAGAAGCAAAAGGACTTGACAAACCTTTGAATTTGCAATTCCTACTTGAAATGGAACGAGATTTCATTCGAGATAATGCCATCTATGAATTGAATTTATCCTCGGTGGTACGACATCAATTCTACATGTTACTGGAAAAGTGTAAAAAATGTTCACAGGGCGTCGAACTTGTCGATGAGAATCGAAAAGGAAATTCGAATTCTCTTCATTCAACATTTATAGCATCGTCAGAATCGGAAGTGCCCACCAATGGAGATTTAAACAACTTGTTGCGTGATTCGATCATGTCCAACCTCGCAGATACTCATTCAAGATTCATTGAAACAAGGGAATTTAGAAATTGGGTGGAAATTTATGAAATTCAACAAAAGAATAACATTTTGTAAAGTCGAAAAAATGTTCGAGTCATTTATTTGAATTTGGAATTCCACTGTTCTTTTTGGTGTTGTTGTGAAGACGTTTGGCAGTCTTGTCAGCATAATCCAAAATTTGTGGTTTATACCTTTTCAAGAAATCACCAAAAAATCGTCTGTATTCTTTCAAATCCATCTCCAAGTCATCCCATTTAAATTCACTAATTTCTTTACATCCACACAATGATTGTTCCATCTTTTTTGTGAATTCATCCAAATGTGGACATTGATTCACACACACCAAGTAAATGACTTGTTTTGAATATTTGAGATAAAAACTTTTACAATATCCTCGATCGATGCAATATTTCATTTTCGAAATATCACTTCTCGAAAAGGTGAAATACGTTTCTTCATCCAACTCTCGAATAGCCGTTTGTGAAATGGAAGAATCTTCCATCTCGACTCTTCCTCCGAAATGACACCATCCCTTCTCATGTTCTTTCCCAATCAGGAAGAGAGTTTTATCCAATTCTTGATGATATTTGAAGAGAAGAATTCCTGCAGCGGTTGTGGGTTTTTGTGGGTCTTGTTGATGAAAGAAGATGATTTTTCTGCCATTTGAAATTTTAAATAATTCCTTGTTGTTAGAGTTCATCCTTGTGATATTCGTGGTGGTGGTGGCGGCATTTAGATTCCAGGACGTGTTGTGTTGTTCTTCCGAAGAATTTTCTTCTTCTTCTTTCAAGGAAAGAGCACTCCTCATTGAGAGAAGAAGAAGCGATGAATTGGGATCAAGAGTGGACCAATTGAAAGCTGGATCCTTTTCGGAGGAGGAGGAGGAGCAAACCACGACGTCGTCTTCTTTCACATCCGTGAGCTTGACAGTCGTGTTGGAAATTTTGACACCTTCTGAACTGAGTGGTTGGGTGGATGATTGCGACATTTTTATGGTTTCATTTCAGCAATAAATAACGATTTTGTCACTTGACAAAAAGAATGATTTCACAATGAGTTTATTATTGATGTTTGGACCACTCCATTCGAAGAAGGAGGATTGTTGTTGTTATTTGAACTTGACACTCCTCCCTTGGTTTGTTTCAACTTGTTTTGAATATTATGAATTTTCATTTGTTTTTGGAATTCCAAACTCAACTTGAAACGATGATGTGTGTCAATCATGACAATGGCAATTTCTTGTTCCAACTCATCGAAGAGTCTTTCAGAAAGAGTTTTTTCATCCCAAACGTAGAGACCAAAACTAGAGGTGTCTTGATCGGTGATGGAGGTTGTCGTGGTGGTGGTAGTGTTGGGAGAAGTGACTTCTTTTTCAATGCCACTTGTCAAGGAAGAAATTCGGTCCAATTCCAACTTGACGGCATCTGCCATTCTTTTTTGAAATATTCACCGAGTGAGCTCCTTCCAACACCAAAAATTCAGAATAGATCAAAGTGGCGAGTTCAAACTTTTTCTTTTCAATATCTTTCAAATCCTGTTCCGTGTAATGTTGAATATTTTTCTTCTTCTTTTTTTTACCATTTTCGGTAATATCCGAACTGTTACTTGTCACGGCTGTGGACACAGATACAGTGTCATCATTGGTTTCAGTCGAACTGTAATCAAACAAGATGGATTTGATTTCAAAACTCTTTGCACACAAATTCTTATATTCGGCAATTTTCTCCAAAAATTTGTAATTGTCCAACGAATGTTCTTTTTCACAATGTTTTTTAAATAATTCTCTCAAATGAGGATCTTGCATTGTGTCAATCAACATGATGGCATTTGCTTTTTGCAATCTCTTTCGATAGACTGCATCTCGATTCAGAGCACAAATCAATGTCAAAACTACGACTGGAAAGACAATGGCCATGGCCACACAAACAATGACAAGTCCGGCCAAAGCTCCCGAGGACAATTTAGTATTAGTTGCAAGTTCCTTGTTATTGACATATTTAACAATGGGTTCCAATTTGTTGGCTGTCGATGATATGTTTAAATAGTCATCGGATAGTAAAAGTTTGAGAGCTTCTATGGATTGACCTTGTTTCACTAACTAATGAAGCTGCTTTCGACTCCATTTGAATGGATGAACTATTGACATATATGGAAGTGTCATTCAGTTGTAAGAGTGTAATTTCATCTTGAGTGAGACTTGAAATGACTCGATTCAAAAACGTTGGAAAGAGATTCGAATATCGATTAAAGTTTGCAAGTTGTGTCTGTACCAAACTTGATGTCATGACAGCTGTCGTCGTATTGACACTTTTCGACAGGATCGAAACATTCAACGCTGGCAAACACGCCGCATACAAAGTGGCAGTTTTGACACTATTCGTAATGATATCTCTAAATCGAGCAGCATCGACTGTATTTTCCACAATTAGAAAATTATGATTCGCTTGCAAATAATAAACTTGCACTAAAATTGCTAACAAGACACAAAACGCAACAATATTGACAAACATGGAAAGAAGAGAAATGCATCGAAGACCAGACAATTCGATTTTTCCAAAACAGGTAGGGATGGAAAGAAAGGATTTTTCATTGGAGAGGAGATCTTGAGAAGTGGTTCGTAATCGACCGAGAAGGAAGGCTTTGGTTTGATGAGAGGAGGTGGGTTTCGAAGTCGGAACGGATGATGACATTTGGCACTTTTGTGATGTTTTGTTGTTAGCAACAATATGAAAGAGTGAGAGGCTCGAGGATGATGGTTTCAGCAAGGATAATTTTTCTTGTTGATTTTTTCGGAACAAGATTAATGACACCTTTAGATGCTCTATCGATATAAATTCGTCATGCTTTCCTTCTGCGATTGTCCTGTCAGTCGTCATCGAAAAAGGTTCACATGTATAAAACATCGTTTCTATTCCATTGAAAGAAGGACATGAAAGGACCAATAAGAGAAATTTGTCCTGAAAATGAAATTGTACAAGTAAATCTCTTTAAAGCACTAATTTTGAAATCTCATGATGGGAGATTTTTACAGTTCATTGAATTTGTTTACATTTTCAAAGGTTCATTGAAAATACAAGAAAATACATTGTTGCTGAGAATCCGTTGAATCGATTTTGAATATTATTGTTCATGAATCAATTTGATAAACCTTGAAATTACCTCAATATGAATGATATTAATTTTATTTATAATAATATATATTAACCATTCATACATGTATTCAGCCAAGTGCCAGGTTGTTATTGTTTCTTCAAAACTTTTCAAAACCCAAATTGTCAAAGACCCATCCATCATTGAATTTTCCCAATTCTCTCATTCTACGAAAAAAGAATTGGTACATCCGACAAGAACGAACCATTTTTAAAGTGAAAACAAAATCCCACAAATAATAAAAAAATGCAAATCTTCTTGAAGGAAGAATTACAGCCAATGGAACTTTCTGTTGCATCTTCTTCTCATCAACAACAAACCAAGTAAGTTATGGACCATTCACATTATGTTTGTTCTAATTCAATGATCAATTCGGAACCATTCATGGAGAGGAGTTTGAATTCTTTGTTGGCAACCACCAAAGAAGAGGCAAAGCTTGGCTTGAAACAAGTGTTGCAAGTTGCAATCACTTCACCGAAAAGACATGAAAAGTCTTTTCTTGATGTGCATCCTGTTGTTGTTGTTGATGAAGAAAAGAATCAAAAGATGTTCTCATCATCATTGCCATGTAAATATCAGATATTCACAAAGGTTGAAAAAGAGAACAACAACAGCATGACCTGTATCCATACCACCACCACCACCACAACCTCAACAACAACCACCACAACCACACTGGATGGTAACATACCATGTCAAATCATTTTAATGGACTTTGATGGATGTTTGGAAACGGAATGTGGCAACAAAGGTCTTATTGGAAGATTATTTTCAAAATTGAAAGAACAAATGGTGGTGAACTGTAAAAAGAGGAATCGAAGTTTTGAAATGAGATTTGATTTTATCGATTCGATTGGAGAGCATGGTGTCTATGGAAAATCGAACAATCAATTACATTTACCTCATGATGTGAAAATATCGTACCATCACCATTGTATTCTTGTCAGTGATTACAACAATAGAAGAATTCAAATTTTCGATTTATATAATAGACAATTTAAGGCAACAATTCCAACCCCATCCAAACACCCAATGTATTTATGCATTGAAGAAAACCATGATGGACACAATAATGACGCTCTTCTGTTTGGAAGTAACGGAGACAGTGGAGTTTACAAATTCCATTTAAGGCAATTGCTATGTAAAGCCTTTTTAGGTCAGCTCGATCGAACAGAAATGAAAAAGGAATACATTTGGAAAACTGATTTTGACACTCCACAAGCAATTGCAGTGAAGTATGGAACTCAATATTACAGGAATGAAATTTTTGTTTGTAATGGAACGAATATTACCATTTTAAATTCCATTTTTGGCTATGCAATAGATAGTATACATCTCGAGAATAGAGTTTATGGACTCAGTTTCACAAATGAGAATGATTTAATTGTGAGTGAAGCCTTACTCGCTCATCGAATTGGAATTATGAGAAAAGATCAAGATGGTCGATGGCAGCTCATGAAAACCATTGGTGACACCTCCGGAGAAGAGTTGGGTACTTTTAATTGTCCCTACTCTTTGGAGTTTGATCGAATTTCTGGAAATATCATTGTGTGTGATGCTCAAAATCATAGGATACAAATTTTTTCTCAGAATGGAGAATTTTTGAAATGTTTGTCAGGATTCATGCATGACGGTGATTGTCAGCAATTTTATCATCCATCTGGAATGTGCCTGAATGAAATGACTGGTGAGTTGCTTGTTTGTGACGAAGGTAATCACCGAGTTCTCATTTTCAAATGAATTTGATTTCATATTAGTAATGCGCCACACTAAGAATGCAATAGTAGCAGTCCATGGGAGGTCAATATTTTGTCGAGAGGTAATGTCATTGTGCAGGATGAACCGAATGTATACTTAATGTTGTAAAGCCATTCTCAATTAATACTCTTGCGAATTCAATAGGGGTTTCCATTCACAGAGATTTGGTCGTTCAGATGGCTAATATCCATGATAGTAATGATTCACGCGTATCATGTAGTCTTGTTCAACGTTGTCTGAAATGGGATATCCATGCTCTTTCAGTACGAACATTTTTACCTCGCTCATCATAGCCTGCTAGTTTTGAACTATGTCATGGTCCTATGAGGATCTAGTTTTGCCACTTTCATCACAAGCTCCTTGTCACATTTCACTCGATCAGAAACATAACGAAGTGCACCTCCAATCCCATTCTTAATTGTTTGAAGAATAAATTCTTCATCAACCATAAAAACATCTCGAACAAATGGCAAATCAGTGTTTCTCTTCATTGCCCTTATCACAACTTCTCTATCATACATAAACTCCTCATTTAACTCACAGTACTTCCTAACATGCATATTTTAGAATGAACTCTCTGTCATTTTTCAATTGTTGAGGAAAGTAGCTGATCACTGAGCAGTTCTGTTGGTACTCTGCCATGACAATTTCAGGATCTTCTCTTAAGGAACCCAAATATTAAAGATTTTTTGTCGAACTGCTGTCAATACAATTTCCTGATCCAATTTTAAAGTAAATGAAGCAAATTGTAAAGCATGTCCATTTTGTTGAACTGTCGCATCACCACTTGTTTGTCATCCTTCAAAGTAAAGGATGTCCACTCGAGTGCCTATCCATTTTGTTGAACGGCTTGCAAAACCACTTGTTTGTCCTTTCTCGAACCTAAAGCACTGCGAAGAGTATGTCCATTATATTTGAAAGCTAATATCGCCACTTCTTGGTCATTGTGTAATGTATAAGGTAGGCAAGAAAGAATGTCAGTTTTTGCAACACTTTCATCAGGACCGATAGGTTCTTCTGATGATCGAGTTCGACTATGACATGAGATGAACTTTCTTTGCATTTTATGTAAAAGTCAACGTGTTCAGTGTTGTAATGTAAAGATGATTCGCTCTGTGAAAAATGCAATACCAAAATAACAGTGACATTATCAAAGGTGTGAGTGACAAGAACGACTATTATAAATTAGCATTCATTGAACTGGTTCATGACTGTTTTAAATATCATGAGATCATACCAAATGTCAATATTGACAAGACAAGATGACTGTGGATCATATATTCCTGTCCAACAATGTGCATAATCAAAGGATCTCCATCCAATGACAACACTTTCTTTCATGTGAATGAATTCAACAATGAATTTCGAATTTTCACAAAACAAGAACAACAGAAAAATTTTTCAACCAGAAAAAAATGATTCCTTCACAAAGTGGGACATCATCATCCTCTTTTCGTGTTGGCGTTTCCAATGGCAATACGATGAACGCACATTCAACAGCAGGAGCTATGGTAGCAGATTATTATAATCGGACATTGGTGGTTTTGGGAGAAAATGTTTTTGATCCGAATCAAGCATTCGTTGAGGAGTTTGATTTGTTAATTGGTACGTAAGGATCATCATCACCAATCATAACAATTAAATGGGTAATATTATTTCGGTTCATAATGGCTGCTGTAATCAATTTGTAATACAATACACGTATTATTTAATATTTAAAAAATCATATAATTGGTGATGATCGGATTATTATAATAATGAAATTAGAAAGTAAGAAGGCAAAAAAGCAATTGAAGTACTTAAAACCACAATGGAGCGTTACACTTGAAACCATATTAGATCATTGTCGAATGGTGAATGATATATTTCCCGAAGAGGCAGGAATTTGTGTAGCACTCCAACATCACAGTAGCGAAATAGCCATGATGAACGATTGGAGTTGGGAACAACAAAGTTTTCTAGCGGTATGTTTTATGTTATCATGTCCAACCTCATCATGAAACAAATACTCGTTCCTGTCTGACATGATTTAAAAATTATATATATATACACGATACAAATGTAATGACATTAGATTTCAAGCAAACTTGCTACTGAAATTGACCAATTACACGGAACACCATCGGATATTGAAAAAAAGACTTCCCCATATCCATTTCCTACAATTCAACAGCTTGAAAGATTATGTCAAAATATATTTCTACAAATATTTTCTCACACCGATGTCAAAGCAAGAGAGAAGACCCAACACAATGTGAATTCTAGTTTTAAAGTAATTTATGTCACCAAGTGTTCATTGGAACAGCAAGAACATATGGAGCTTAAAACTCAATTAATTGCAAATTTTGCCACAATTTTTGAAAAACAATTTGAAAAATTTAAATCTGAAATTCGACAATTTATGCATCACACTCCGGATACTAGCTCGACCTTCAATGTTATGGAGTACCAACTCAAAATGCAACAATTTAAATTCTTTTCATCTTTCAGTGAGGAAGATCTCGACAAACTTTCATGTACCTTGGATATTATAATGCCCATTCCAAAAATGAAAGATGTTTTTGATCATGTCGATGAAGAGACAACATTTGTTTGTCAGACCTTCGATCAAAATACCTCACAATTCAAAATCAATCCAGCTCCATTTGCATCTGTAAAAATATGGGATATTGAAAGAGACAGCTTTGATCGGATACTACGTGAGAGAATTGCTCAAAAACAGTATGGACTTGTAGTTATTGCTGTACAAGGGATTCCCATGAGAGATGTCTCTGAAGGAACTTCAAACTATGATGTATTCTTGGCATGCAAAGGCATCACTTTTGATATCATTCAGGACGTGAATATTTCCTCAGGTGTTATCAATTTGAAGTGGGTTCGAGCAGATCCAAACAAAAGAACCATTGAACACTTGTACACTACAAAATCTGTACATAGAATTACGCCGATTACTCCCTACACTTTACCGACGATTTGTTTGATGCGACACTTGTCCACTAAAAAGCCCGTGACACTCGTCTATGAATCAGAATACAACAAGACACACAATCACTCACCCACTCATCTCATATTACAACATGGACAGGATGTTTATTTGCATGTTCTACATTTGAACAAGGTATTCCAGCCCTATGTTTCCATCTCTCAAAGTGAAGAAAATACCACAAAGTATCGAGTGAATGAATTTGTGGATGTCATTAATATCCACTTGGTGAGAATTAACGTGAAGCGAGACACTGAGAAGAACTCACGCACTACCGAAGATTCAGAGCATGCCCTCATGAAGCATAATAATTTTATTTACAATACTCCATCCAGCATTGAGAGAAGCACGAGATTCTTCCCACTGACAGCCGATGAGACCTCCATTTTAACATTTGAAAATGCTAAAGAAGTTTATCCAACTCTCTTCTCGAAAATTATAACACCTCTCATGAATTCACTCCTCAGAAAATCTCCTGAAAACTTTACAGAACTCGATAGAAATGATTTGGAAAAGATGCTTACCAAGTTTTACGAGCACTGCAAGATGAATGATGAATTACTATTTCCAGAGCTCAAAAATGATCATACCAAACGTTGGAATGCCTATCGAAAAGTATGGGGCGAATTACGGATGTTGCTATTGTCACTAGGTTTTAAGGAAAGTGGATTAGCTGTGATGGATCGATTGTGGCCTCAATTTTTCTTTGACAAGGCCCAAGGAGACTCTGACACTACCGGACGACGAGCCAAGAGAGTAGTCGAAGTGCAACGAGATCGTTATGGTAATATCATCTTTCCAATTCCATTGGGAGCATTGACAGTATTGTCGCTTGGAAAAGTGGTCTACGATCGACCAACTTTCCACACCGACAAGTACATTTGGCCAGTTGGATACAAGAGCACTCGATACTATACAAGTGTCAAAGACACAAACAAGCGTTGTTTGTACACGTGTGAAATCAAAGACGGAGGAGATGCACCAATTTTTGTGTTGACCTCTGATGACAATCCGAACGAAGTCATTGAGGCACCAAGTGCAACTGCTGCCTGGACTGCCATTGTAAAACAAATTAACAAGATTAAGAGTGAGGAATCTGGAAAGAGAGTTTTCACAAATGTGAGTGGACCCGAATACTTTGGTCTTGCTCACCCAACCATTATGAAGCTCATTTCACAACTGCCCAATGCAGAGAAAATCAATCGACCCAACGCTCCTCATCAACCTGTGAAAGCTGAATCATCAACGAATGAGCTACAGGAGAACAGTGACGATGAGTTTTCATCAGCAGTTAATGCTGGTGGTGGTGGTGGAATTTCAACGCCGACACCTAACGCACCAGGCTCAACCGGCAGTCACACACCAACTCCAACACTTCATCCTTCTCAGTCTCAGACAAGTCTTGCTAATACTTCTGCAGCTGGTGGTGGTGGCACTGGTGGTACGCCACAATTAAGCGATGGAGGTACCAGTGCTCAAGATGCCGCAACTCAATCATCGAGTAATGGCGCTACAGGTCCTGATCTTTCAAAGAAACGTGCTAAACGAAATGAAGCCGTGTTTTATGAGCGTGACATGGTTCGAAATGAAATTCAAAAAGTACCATGGACACCAACCACTAATTTACTTCAATTCTATGAGCAGAGAAATCAAAAGCTTGTTGGAAAGGCTCTAGATGGAGAAAGCGAAGGAGAAAAAGCTCTCTATGCACATTTAAATCTTCACCAGAGTGAGAAATCAAGAGACCAACCTTCCTCTTCCTCTACCTCAGGTAATCAACACGGTCATGCACAAGGTCAATATCATGGCGGTGGTTCTCGACAACGAAAATATGGACAAAAGAGAAAATTTGCACTCTATCAGTAGTGAGAGCATTAACTAAATGTAATTAATTGATTCATCAAATTGCTTGCATGTCATTCATCTCGACGTCGTTTCAAAGTAAATTCAATTCATAATTCGAATGGCAAATAAATTTATTTATCTTTTGATGGAAGTTCAAAAAAAATGCCAACCAAATCCGCAGAGAAAAAGTCCATTCCGAATAAACTTATTGCTGCTGGTCGTCATCATGAAGAAAGTGATGATGATGAAGCACCGGAAATGATACATAGCAAGGCCAAAATGGCTGTTGCAGCACTCGCTGAGCAGGAATTAAAAAAACAAAGTGTTCGGGATAAGAAATTGAAAAAGTTATCTAAAAAATCGGAAAAACGAAAACATTCGGAGGAGCAAGAAGTCCATGACGAAGAGAATGACATTGCCTCCTCCTCATCATCATCATCAGCTAAAAAACAAAAGAAACTATTGGATGCCTCTGTTTTGGATTTTTTAGTTCAACAAGATGAAAAACAAGAAGCATCCACAGAGTCGTCCACAACAAAAACACCACAAATTCAAGCAACCTTAGAAACGGCAGCACCTAAAAAATCACGTTCCAAGAGATTTGTCGATTTGAAATTGGAGGCTACTCTCGCAAAGGAGAAGGTGGATCCATTTACTGTGAAAACTGAGGTGGATCCGGCCGTGTTGAAATTTTTACATTTAGAGTTCTATAAGAAGAATCATCGGAAAGATACGGCAAAATTTGTCGATGCAAAGAGAAGTACCATTGTACCAGCTTCTGACTTTTTTGGAAAACAACGATGGTTGACAGAGCAAGTGTTTCTCAACCCTTACGATTTACAACATTAAAAACAACCTATTATCATTGAAGACCACAAATTTATTTTTTTGTGGAGTTCTCATGGAATTGACCGTTAGGTTCAACGTTGTATGATCATTTGCCTCCCTGTGACATATTTTGCCATGGCTACAACGTTACGGTTGTTAACAAATCACTTCCAACCTTGCTTGTTGCTATCGACGATCAAAATTCACGAATTTTAATTTTTTCAAACAAAAAAATAAGCTTATTGAAGAATGCCTACATTGGTTCCGCTGTGGTCGTTATGTGATCACGGAGAGTTTGAAGTCATACCTTTTAAAGAGGGAGGTTGTTCGGCCTGTAAAGAACAAGGATTAAAAAGATTTAATGCCGTAAAATCAGGAAATTACAAATTTATTACATTCGGCAAGCAAAAGGCTTCATCATCTTCCTCCAATTACCGAGGAGATGTGCTGTGGTGGTACTCTGAAAAGGATCATTCTTCTTCCTCGCAGAAAAAGAAAAAGAAGAACGTTGCTACCTCAATTCCACAAGATGCGAAAGGAACCATTCAAGTATTAGATCAAAATGTAAAACTGATTGATGAGGATCGACTCACGGATATTCTTGAAGTCACGGAAAGACATGAAAAGCCTCACTTTTACTCAACATCTTTGAACGAATTTTGGTCCATGATTTACCACTATGGCTCGATCGAAGAGTGTTTAAAGCATGTGGAGGAAGCTGAGTGGGAAGGAAGTGATGACGACGAGGAGGAAAGGGCCACTCGAGGTGCATTTGCCGATTTATTTAGCTCAATGATGGGCGGTTATGGTATGGGCGACAGTGATGAAGAAGATGAATATTACGACGAAGATGAATACGATGACGATGAATACTTTGAAGATGATGATGATTATGATGAAGATGAAGATGAATATTACGATGAAGAGGATGAAGAGGACGAAGATGAAGAAGAGGATGAAGAGGACGAGGAATTTGATGACTTTGGTTACGACATTAGCAAAATGCATCCCGAAGACAGAGCACACATGAGAAAATTACTCAACCCAAAGACTTACATGCAATCTCCTGAGAGCGATCGACCTTACAATCATCCCGAGTGGCTTAATTTCTTTTACCAAAATTCTGTTCTGAAAAACACAATGGAAAACACGAGCAGAAAATCCAGTACAGCACCCAAGCAAAAACAAAGTAAGAAGGATGCAGAAAAAGAACGTCAACAAGCTGAAAAGGAGTTATTCGATCTACTTGAGAAGGAGGAAAGGGAAAAGAAGCAGAAACAAAAGCAGCAACAACAACAACAACCTTCAAAGAAGAGTAAGAAGAAGAGTCAACAACCACAACAGCAGCAACAAGCTCAGAAACAAAATCAAAAACAACAACCTCAGCAACCACAACAACAACAGCCAAAAACGTCACCTCAAAAGGAGCAAAAACAACCTCAACAACAACAAAAACCTCAGGCCACCACTCAACAACAACAACCCAACAATAAGAATGGTCAACAAGGATCATCAAAAAAGAAGAAGAAAAAGCATTAAATATTTGTAGTAGTAATCTACTAGTTTATTTCAAAAGAAAGTCCTTTCAAATTGACAAGATTGAGGTGTCCCACAAAAATAAAAAAAATTAGAGTGTTCGGAAATCACACACTCCAATCAACAGAACAATCAACCAGCTCACCCCGATTTGTGGAAATTTCAGCTAACAACAACAATCGCTTCGGAGCAGCTGTAGTAATATTAATAATAATAATACTATTATTTTAATCGTGTTGTTGGTAAATTGTGAAACATTCAACAGCAGCTTCAACAACGAGAATATTTCATCATAAAGTAACATTGAACCCTCTGTGCTCAGTCATACCAGCACAACAAACAACAGCCATTCATCATCAAAATGGGACAACCCCAAAGCAATGGACAAAACGCTACTCTCCTCACATGTGGCCACAACCACGGAGGTCAATGTATCACCGATGACTTTGTCGATGTCTTTCAACTGCACAAAGTCAAACTACCCTTTCCAGATTGGGTCGAGACTGGCAATGCTCTCACCCGAACCAAAGTTAAGAAAGCCATTCGTATCAAGAAAGTCAGCTGTGGAGCCTCTCATCTTCTTCTCCTCACGAACCGACTCAATGAAGTCTTTGTGGTCGGAAAGAACACTGAATTTCAACTCGGACTCTCCCACAACAAACCAGTGAAGGATTTAACTAAACTTGATACGAATCGCTTTTTGCAACGCGGAGAGAAGATTTATGATTTGTATGGAGGAACTCTAGTTTCATATTTGATTGCTAGAAAAATCAATAATAGTAATGATCATCCTCATTCAGGCTCAGGTTCTTCATCTTCTTTGAGTAATGTATCATCATCCTCGGGTTCCACGATGAATGATTGTGGGGATTCCATCTATTTGTGCGGCACTCCACCTTTACAGAATTTATATGCTCATGCCTCTCATGTGAGTGTCGTCGGTAGTGGAGATGGCAGTCCGGGACTTGTTGGTGCTGGCAGTACGAGTAGCCTCAGTAGTAGTGGTGGTGCTGGTTCTGCGAGTGTTGGTGGTGCTGGTGCTACTATGACAGGCTCATCTAATTTAGCCTCTTCATCGGCTCAGCCCATTACCAATTTTACTTTTACTCGTTGGACACCCGAAGAAGGATGGAAACGGAATTTCAAAGTGAAATGTTTTGATTGTTCCAAAGTCGGAGATGATCATTGTATTGTGGTGAATCAATTTAATCAAATTTTTGGAAGAGGATCGAATGCTTATCATCAGTATGTGATTTTTATTTTGAATACAATGTGGTTATCTAATAAGAGGTATTTGAATTTATGAATTAATCTTTGCTTGATGTGGATGAAAACTTGTAATTATGATATAATCCTTGATTTTTGGAATTTATTGTTAATTATTTAATTTTTAAACATTGGATTTATGAATGCATGATTTTCAAAATTGATATTATTGAAATTTAATTTCATTATTTTGGATTTATTATTTGAATAATTGACGATTCAATTTAAATGAATGTGGCATTGTAAATTGCACTATTTGTTCACATCATTTAGATATGGACGAAATTTGGAGGGTCAGAGTTTTGCCAAGCTTACAGAAATTAAATTGAGAGGATACGAACATCAGCCACCCAATGTGAAACTTGTTGCTTGTGGAGGGTATCACAGCGTCATTGTTTTGCATAATAATGAATATTTTTGCTCTGGACTGTAAGTATGCACGTTAGAAATGTGTGATCTTTTCTAATGTTGACGTTCTATGTGAAAAAATTATGTACCTGATGTGGTGATGAAATTATGAAATACATTTCAATTGTGATGATGAACATTTTTTGCTGAATTTCATCGTAATTTATTCTCTAAAATATTTTAAGAAATTGCCACGGTCAACTAGGATATGATGTAGACTCAACAATTTTCGATTTTGCACAACCAAAGGACCTTCCTTTTGCAGGTCGAGAAATTACCAATGTTGCCCTTGGATTGTATCATACAGTAGTGGTCGTTGATCATTGCGACATTTTTGTGTGTGGTGATGGAAGATATGGCCAATTAGGAAACGGTGAAAACAAATCAGTCAATTCAACCTTTATACGTCTGAAACTTGAGGCAATTTCTCCAGTCACTGGAAACTTTATCAAACATATTAATACCTTTGTGACGGGCTTGTCATGTGGACTGACACATACAGTGATAATAACGAGTGACCGAAAGGTGTGGAGATGTATGTATTCTATTGAGATGTTTTAATTTTGGTTTCTAATTTTGATTATTTAACCAATACTATTATATGATGAATATTGGATCGACAAAATATTATTGGTTTGAATTTCATGACGAATTATGACCTGTTTCAATGTTTCCATCATCATACACAGGTGGAGGAAATGATTTTGGACAAATTTTTCTTCCCAATGATCTCCAAACATGCAGTTTTCGTGTCGTTTTTGAACCTCGATGTGAAATCAATCAAGTCTCTTGTGGAGGAAAATTCACAGCCCTCTATCTTCAAAAGAAGGTCAATTTTTATGAATACAACATTGAGAGACACATGAACATTTTCCAAGACAAGCAAAATATGGCAGAATACTATGACCTGAGTATTCAATGTTTGAAATAATATCATTGATCCCTAATCTGAAAAGTTTATATAAAACTATATATAAAATTGAAATGCACAACCGGAAAATTTCCATGATCCACTGTGAATGCAAGTTCATTCCAGCTCAACTCAAGGAAGAATTAAAAAAAAATGTTTTTGCTGACCATTGCGGCTCTCGGAGTGGTCGCATTCTTGGGTTATCATGCCTATGACACGTTTGTAGGAAGTAAGTTAGTTAATAGGAATTATTTTGTAATCATCAAGGCGTTCAAATATTGTTCATGATTGGTCTTTTGATCCCTACCATTATAACAACCACAACAACTAATTCAAAATGATCATGGTGATGATGGTGTTGATTCTCATCTATACCCACAGGAAAAAGAACCAATATTAAAGATCTTCTTCAAAACCGTAAATATGAAATCCGTAGCGTGGAAGCTCCCAAGCTCACAGGAGCTCTTTTTTGGTTTTTCGTTACCCTGATGGAGTATTCTCCATTGGGTGATTTGGTCGTTCCATTTATTATGAAATCCTCCAATTTCTCTCTCTTAGATGAATTGAGTGTTTATAATGCTCCAAAATTATATCCCATTCCCGAAAGGAATGAACAAGAACAATTGAAGGATTGGAAACATGCTCAAGATCATGACGGAATGTCCATTCAAGAAATTCAAAAGAAGGAAATTGAACGTATTCTCAATGAGTATTATGATCAATGTTCCGATGAACAATCTTCCTCTCCTTCTGTTTGGAAGAGTTTGACTCGATTTCATAGACTTTACAAGGAGAAGAAAACCACTCCGTTAAAAGTGGCTCAAAATATTTTGGATGCAATCAAGAAGGGAGATTCTCTGAATCCACCCTTGTGTGCTGTCATTAAATATGATGCTGATTTGTTGTTGAAGCAAGCAAAGGAATCGACAGAGAGATATGAAGCAGGAAAGGAAATTTCTGTGTTTGATGGAGTTCCTGTCACAATCAAGGATGAATTGGATCTTGCTGGATTTACTTCAAGTAAGGGTATGAAAGTGACTGAATATTCTGATCATGTCATCACATTGGAGGAGGAAAATAATATTTGTAAATCATTGCGTGCTTTGGGTGCTATTTTTGTTGGCAAGGCAAACCAAAATGAGATTGGAATTTGTCGTAAGTAGAACAAGTTTGTGTTCGAGTGTTCTAAATTTTTATTGACCACACATGATTCCCCACAATAGCTCGTGGTATGAATTTAAACTTTGGAAGTGCAAGAAATCCATTCAACATGAAATGTGACACTGGAGGCAGCAGCTCTGGAGGAGGAGCATGCGTTGCCTCTGGTCTAGTTCCATTATCGATTGGAACAGATGGAGGCGGTTCAGTTCGAGTTCCTGCCTCTTTTTGTGGCCTCTACGGTTTGAAACCTACTCATTTCAGAGTCTCAAATCATCAACACAGTGCTCCAGTTGCTTTTTCAACATGTGTTGCTGGCCCTTTGACTTCATCTGCAATTGATTTAACTTTATCATTTGCTGCTATTGCAGGTAGAAGAGAAAATGATGCATTTTCATGGTCACAACCTCGAGACTTGAGATTGAGTGAAATTCGATTGGCCGATAAGAACTTTTATTCCCTCGAGGGACAAAAAATTGGTATTGACAATGCATATTTTAATGACGTCAAAGATCAAAGAATTGTGAAATTGTGTAGAGATTTTATTGAAAATGTGTTTTGCAAAGTGTATGGAGCCAAAGTCGATGACTCTATTTTCACACCACTTCTCGAACCCAGCAGAGTTTCACATTTGGTTTGCATTGCCTCTGAAATGAGAAATGGAATGAAGGACTATGGATACTTTGAGTATAGCAAGAGATCGTTGCTATGTCCTGAAACTAGAATGAGTTTACTTTCTCAAAAGTACATTTCATCCTCACAATTAATAACAGCTCAAAGAATCCGTTCTCATCAAATGGAAGAATTCGAAAAGATTTTCCAAAATGTGAATGTTTATGCAACTCCAACAATTGCAGGAGTGACACCAGAATTTGTTAACGAGCAAGTCATGAAGGGAGGATATGGCGTGAGTGACTATGATGTCTTGTCACAAATTATGAAATTTATTTTTATTTCCAACTTTTGTGGATTCCCTTCAATCACAATTCCTATTGGCTTTATTGATGGAAAACCAGTTGGATTGCAATTAATGTCCAAACATTGGGATGAAGTCACTCTATTGAAGTATGCCCTTTTGGCTGAGAAATATACTGAAAAGAAGAATCCAGAGATGTTGTTTGAGATTTTGTAATATTCAAAACCTTAATTTATTTGTAAACCACACATGCATTTCGCTGCGTATTTATATCTTTTAAAACAGTTGTTAGTTCCTCGACCCGACCAGAAATGAACCATGTGAATCAAGGAAAACACTTTTAAATTGTTTGATTCCTTTTTTCATTCAACACTAGCTGTTCATTATTTCTTCTTCTTGGATCTTCCTCTAGAAGAGTGATGATAGGCTGGATGGTTGGGATTCATTTGATTGGATCTGTTCTCATTGGAAGGGGTTGAGCCTGATCTGGAAGAAGTGAAAGCCCTATTGTTTGGATTAAGCTGATTCCCTCTGTTATTATTCATTTTGTTGTGAATTATTATCATGACATAAAAAGAGGAAGATCAAAAAAAGAGTTTCACCTTTTAATGATGTTGCCAACTACAAGATCAATGTAATTGTTTCACTCAAAATCAACACATTAGTTGGAAAGCAATTCATTCACTTCACTGTGTATTGTTTGGTTGTATTCAAATTACCTTTGGCTGCTTATGGATGCTGAACATTTTAGTCACCTTTCAACAGATTCACAATTTCTTCTGTAATTCCCATGTTCAACAATGAATCAATCCACAACCAATTTCCTTGAGGATTACATTCCAAAAACACCACATTTCCATTGTGAGGATCCTCAATCAAATCATAGGCTCCAAAATGCAATCCAGAACGATCATGATATTCCAGTAAACATTGTCTAGTTTTCGAGTCCAAAGCATTCTCTTCAATTTTAGTAAATCGTTCGGATTCGTGTTGATAGGCTCTCCAATCGACGCCTCCTCCTTCTTCCTCTTTCTTGATCTCAATTCCTGCAATGAACATTTTCGCTTGCTTTCCTTTTCCAACAATGGTAATTCTAAAATCGCGTCTTCTCTCAATTTTGTGTTGAAAAATCATGGGACTCAATGAGAGCTCTTTTTCTGAGAGTTGATTGTACGAAATGGGAATTGTGAACATGCTGTTGCAAGGAGGGGCCACACAGAGACTCAAAGTTTTCATAATCATTCCATATCGAGGAGAAGAAGAATGAAAAGAAGGCATTTCAAAGGATTTCAAACTTTCTTTTCGATTCGTAATGCATGTCCATTCAGGAATTTTCAATCCACACTCGTGAGCTAATTTCAATTGAAAAGGTTTGTTTCCATTCAAGTTCAAAGTTCCAAATGCATCGATCCATTGAGGTCCATTGCCATCCTGATGATGTGGAAAAATGTTCTCTAAGGAGGACATGACTTGTTTCCAACTTGCTTTTGAAAAATCACTTGCCAATTTTTCCATTGGATGTTTCCATTCAATCATGGTTCCAAATTTCATTCGATTCCAAACACGATCGAACTCTTGAAAATTGTAATAATCGGTTTGATGGTCCATGGTATGAGATATTTCACAATGAAATTCGGATCCTTGAAATGAAAGAGAAATTTCAGGATTGTCGTTGGGTGAAAAGTGAATCACTTGACAGCCCTGTTTTTGTAATTTGGTGCCAATCGTCTCGGTGTGAATTTCCTTATCGCCAAGAATCAAAATGTTACTTGTCATGACACTTTTATAATGGTTTTTTTGTATGGAATGGATCATTTTGTGTGATCATTGTATAGGTCCTTTTATTGTGTGTGGAAATGAACAGCAAAAGGAGGCGTTTGTTTACCTTTCGATTCAAAACGTGTTTGATCTTTCTGAAAAGTCTGTTGTGCACTTAAAAACGTGATCGAAATTGATTTCATTCGAAAACAGGTTGCCCCTTAAAAAACGTGAACGTGCTTCATCCACCAAAAGGAACTCCATATTTGGTCCTTAATTTAAACTTGATGAAACCCTTAATCTAAAAAAAACAATTCGATCACACAGTATTCTCAGCCTTTCTCGCAGCACCCATTTGTTTATAAATTAAATCAAGATCCATCTGTGTGTGTGTCCTTTCACAATTACAAAAAATGTCTCTTCCAAACACCACTGTTGTTGTTGTTGTTGATCCAATTCATCTTGCTCCACCCGTTGGTCATCTCAAACCTTTCCACCAACAAATTGAACAACAAATTGAACAACAAATTGAACAACAAATTGAACAACAAGAGGATATTCACATGTCATTGCCTTTGGCTTTCAAGTTTTTGAGTCCTACAACAGCCTCTAACACCGCCTCTGGAGGTACGACTTGGCGTTTTCACTTGCAACAAACGTATGGTGAGAATTTTGATAGTGATCAATGAAAAAGGTTTTCGCAACTCACACATGGAGTTCAGGTAGTCCTTGTTGTGTATTATTATGATCAGGTCAAGAATGGATTACATTTCTCTTGAAAAGTCAATAAAACCTCTCATTTAGATAAGAAAATGCTTTAATCGAAAATTTTCTAAACAATAGATTTGAGTGCAACGCAACAAAGAAAATAAGGAACTGCAGTGAGAAATGATGTCGTTTTCTCTCGTTTAGAAGCCAAATTGGTGTCAAATTCAGGCAGAATCCCAAACATAAAGCTTAATTCCTTTAGAAAGCCATAAACAATGGAAAATAAGTTCATAAAATTGGAATGTTGATTAGAATCAACTATCATTACATTAACTCTTGTGTGAATTGTATGTTACTGGCTGCAATTGTGGCAGTTGTTGAAAAGGTGTTTGGAATGAGTTCCACAAGAGAACATAGTAAATCAAAAACGATGGTTGTCTCTGGGGTGGTTAAGACTTTGTAAAGCGCATTTCGAAGCTGTTCTTGTTGGTGATCAATTGCTACATCGATGGACGGATGTGGAATTACTGGGCTCGAAGCATCTTGATGATGTTGAATGACTTGCTTCTCGAGAATGAACTTAATTTGTGGATGACTCTTAATAGGTTCTAACATTAATTTTTGAACTAAATCCAATACGCGTTGTTCCTTTTCGTCAATCAATCGATCATTCTTGACAAGCTCTCCCTTCTCGTACGTTTGTAAAAATTTTCTTCCTTCTCCATCTGTGTAGTGCAATTCGCCATGTAATTGGCCATCCAGCCATTCACCCTCAAGAATTTCTCTTCGATTAGAATCAATGAACAAGATAAATTTGCCTTTTCCATCAAATTTACCACTCTTCCAGTATCCTTCATAGGTATATCCTTCAGAGGTAAATGTACCACTGTGTGTTGTGAGAATTACAGTTTCGAATTGGCAGTAATTGGTAGTACACAGGAGCGGCACGAAATGCACACGATTCATACATTGGTCGATGGTTGTAAATCATGCAAAAGTATTTGTTGACATTCGAGAAGAATTCAATATTGTTCATCGTCAACGATCATGATGAGAAAGCTCCATAATAATTACTTACTATCCACTACTGAAATCTTGTTTCCACTCTCCCTCATAAACGTCACCATTGGCATACGATTGTTTACCAAATCCATGGCGTTTATCTTGCAACCATTCACCCTCATAATGGCTTTGATTGGATGCAAATTTAATTTTACCCTTTCCTTCTCTCAATCCATTCACAAAATGTCCATCATAATGATCTCCAGATGCATACTTGTATGTACCTCGTCCTGTAATGGTATCATTTGAAAATTCACCTTCATATTTGGAGCCATCGGCCCAGACCATTTTACCATGGCCTTCTTTCTTGTCATCTATAAAATTGCCCTCAAATACGGAGCCGTCATGAAACATGAGAATTCCATAGCCATGTTTTTCTCCTTTTGAATTAGTTTCTCCCTTGTAGAAAGGTTGACCTTCTTGCAAAATTTCTGGTGTTTGATCACCTCCACAAGCAGATACGTCTAAATGCATGGAACTTGCAGATGGCGTTCGTTGTAATGCAATGCTAGGTACAGTTGAAGTAGATGTAGTGTTGACGGAATTATTTGAAGATGAGCTTCTTGGACTTGTTAAGGGTGAAGTAACTGCCTGTAAAGCAGCAGTCGTTGTTGTGGCATCTGTAGTGCTGGATAAAATCTCTGACACGAGAGAGGATGTATCAAGAGTGCTACTGTCACTATCAGATGGCTCTGTGGTGAGTCGGGTGCGTGGTGTTGCTTGTTCTTGCTCACCAAATATTTCTGGTGCGAATACAATCAAGGATTTTATGACATTGGTGGCATTGGAAATGTCACGAATGGTCAACATGGGATCTTGATCTTTCAAATAAAGTACATTGGGTTGGAAAACGATGGCAATATTTTCTGGACTCATCAAATTCTGTGGAGGGGGAAATGAGAGTGTGTTGTGAAAATTGGATTGACCAAAATAATTAAAAAAAACAATTATGGAACAATCATGACGACGTGATCATGAAATGAGGAAATTGTTTGTATAATTATAACATTACCCAAAGTCTTCATTGACGGATTGGTCTGTGACTTACCTGTGATTGAAATTTTGTGATCTTATTCAAAAAGAGACACAATCGTTTCAAAAGACAATAATTTGCGATTGGCAGAAGAGAAACCACTTGTTGCAATAATCTAATTTTTCTATTGTTTTCTGCTTCTTCAATTTCAGTAGCAGACAAGTTGGCAGTTTCACCAGCATCAGAACATCGAGGAGATGTCATCTTTGAGGTTGCCAAAAAGCTTTCGTACAATTTGTTGGTAAGAAGAGGTTCGTTGAGCTTTCTCAAATAAACCTTGATAAGAGAAGCTGCCAAGTGTATGTCATGATACTCTTCAAAGTTTACAGTTGCGTTTTTGGCTCCACCAGCTCTGAACTTTTCATCAATTTCTTGCATCACTTTATCTTCCCTGCTTTTTGACGTGGAGTGACGGAAAATGCCAACAGTCTCCAATCCGTGTCTCTCTAAATAATCCATCGCACTGAATAGAAATTCAGGTATTTCTTCTGGATCTGAAGGAAAGTGACCCCAAACTGTTGATGCTTGAGCAATTTTTTGTTTGTCATGTTCTTTAATCATTTGTTGTAGTGTGTCGAACATGCCTGTTTTTCGATTCTTCTCGGTGAGTGAAGCAGTGGAGTCGGTTTTGAATAGAGCAACTGAAGCCCGACCTGGCTCCAGTTTTATTTTCGAGAAGAGACGTTTCATGGGTTGTCACTCTCTAGGTGGGGTTGCTTTAGAAAGGATGGAAAGAATCTTGAGAGTGAATTTTTTTTGAAAAGTGAAAATAACTATTTGGTAAATCACATTTCAAAAGGCTCGTGTTGGACGCACCTGTCGTCAACTTCAAAACAAAATGCGGAGCGAAGAAATAGACCATACTGCAAATATTGACTTTGAGAGGAAAGTTGTTGTTGTCCGCTGGGGTTAGCACTGTTTGTTGGCAACTTCGAAAGATGTTTTCGAAGAATATCCATCACTTTCATTAATAATTCAATTCTTTGCTTGTTTCTTGGTGTTGTCGCTAGTACTTTGATTATGGCAAAGACTTTTCGGATTTGGAATTGTTGAGTGAATTTGACAATAATTATCCAAACTTACCATCGTGAAGTAGTTTTTGCGAGAAAACAATGTTGCATTCTAACACGTTCAGCATTGCGTCTATTGTATTGCTCAACACATTTTGAAATGCTTGTCGTGATGCAGACTCGAGGGTTGTGGCTTCCTGTTTTTGTTTCTTCTTTCTTGGTTTTTCAGAATGAGTGGTAATCTGAGGTGTGGTGGATGATTCCATGACTCCAAATGAACGCATTTCCTCTTCAGAGCAAGTGGCTATATTGTGAATAATCGTCAAAAAGACCTTCTTTTTCATTCCGTCAACTGTCTCAATCAGGGAGTGATGACTAAGGTTCGCCAAGGAAAGAGGCTCAAAGAATGCTTGAATAGCTTGCTCCAAATTTCTTCTCAAGCTCTCCTGGAATGTCACTTGAGGAGTGATATTTCGATGAAGGCTTTCAAAGAGAAGTTCAAGTTTGATTTGTGAGTCTTTGCTTTCGAAAGAAATTTTTTTGAGGATACGACATCTTCGTCTCACATTTTCAGAAATGGATCCAATCTGCAATGATGGCGAATTCTTTTTGTCACACTCGAACAATGGATCAACCAAATAACTCAACATCATCTCCTTCTGGGTGTCTGGTTTGATAAAGAGTTGGGATAGGTTTCTTGCCAACTCCTCAAACGACTGAGGTTGCAGCATCAACAGGTCATAATTCTGCAATCGAAACATCAACGCCATCATGTAGAATTGAGAAAATAGTGCAAAAAGTTCAGGATCGTTATCAAGGCTAGTGTAGTACGACAATGGATATTGAAAGGGAAATCTTCATCATTATTTCCAGGTTTTGACTTACCTTAGTGGACCATTAGAAACAATCTTTGAGAGAAATTGTTCTAATTTCAACAAAAGCTCTCTCACCGAGTGTTGGTAATGATGAGAAATACATTGAAAAACAAGTCCCCTCTCATCGTAGATGCATGATAAGGCTTCTGAGAGCAACCAAGGTAAACTCCGTGCCGATTCCTCGTTTAAATCCTTGGATGCCCATTCTTGCATTCCTTTTAGAATGACGATTAAACCTTTCTTGATACGATCCTCCTTTGTTTTCAAGAGTTCAACCCAACGTGGAAGGGAGTCCTCATTGGAAACATTGATAGAGGCAGTTTTGTTCTTCAATTCAAGTTCATCCTTAAACCATTGAATCCACTCTTGTAATTGAGAGATTAATGTGGTGGAAGGTGCACTAAGGTTACTTGGATGATGACTGGATCTATTTAAGATCATTGTAGGATCCAACTCCAATATTGAAAAGAAAGAAGGCTTCTTACCTGGTCCGCAACTTGGTGTCCATTTTGTTTGTTTTCAAATTTTTTTCAAATATTTTTTTTTTTGAAATTGTAAAGAATGTTTTCAGCAAACAAAAAGAACTTTAAAAGTGTGTTGAATGATAAGCATGTCCTTTTAATCGTGGTAAAAACATTCAGGACATGGTGCTAAGTTTGTTTTCCACTACTTTCAAACAACACATCGATGGGGTAAACTGTTCTTGAAGAAATTTTGAAGCAATCATCATTTTGATTGAAAAAATTATCGGAACACTTCGTATCTCCTTTTGCCATCTGATCATCATGAGCGAAGAAGTCCAACAAGAACAAACACAACAACAATACTCATCACTAACATTGAAAAATGATCAACAAAATGAGAGCAACACACAAAAATCCCCCTATCCCGATAAACATTCGTCCGATACAATTTCTCTCAATGATTTCTATTCATCGTTGGGCTATTCGGAACATACTCTAAATGAGAAACAAAAACAAATTTATAGCTTTATGGAAAGAATGAATTATTGTCATCAGCAAGCAGTAAAAATTGCCGGAGATGCAAAATTGGGCCAAGTCAATGTGATTGAGAAATTGTGTTCGGTGAATTTATTGAAAGGCTCTCAATGTTTGCAAAAATATGTTTCGTTCAATGCAGAGGAAAGTCCAACGAGGTTAAATTCATCCAAAGCTGAATATGCACAATTTTATTATAATTTAATGCATTGCCAAGAAAGTGATCCAGAAACCAAAAGTAAATATCATCAATTTATGGCGGATAGAGAAGCATTTTCTGGACTTGACACCAATCCGTTGAAGGAAGTTTTATCTGACGTTTACAATAATTTAACATTGAAAAATATGGCTGCATTGAAGGAGGTCTTCTCAAAAGTCGATCCCAACAGTGAAGATCGAGCTCTTCGACTGAATGACGAAATTAGAAAGCGATTTGCTCAGCCTCAATATGACAATTTAAGAAAGTGTGCCAAAGAGAGATACTTTAAAAGTACCAATGAAAATGCTACAGATTTTGGACTGAGGGAAAATAATGTGAATGAGCTAGCTCACAAATGTTTTGTGCCTTACATGGAGTATTTCACTCGGATGGGTTCTATTCTTTGCAGAAGACAAATCCAAAATTGTTTGGGCTTTGGTGGGAAAAATGACATGAAGAATGAGCCAGAAGATATACAAGCGGGTACAACTGTCTTTTATCTACATTCATGCATGAATGAACAAGCAGTCGTGAGTGAGTGTTTGAGATATCCTGAAAAGTATTTCATTCAAAGCCTGGATGAATAAACAACACACTACGTTACGACGCAGACCCTACTTGCTCGACAACTGACTACTGATCATGTTTATAAATCTTCACACAACCGTAATCAAGTTGTTTGAACTAAGGCTCTTTATTTGGGAGCTCATAAACTATTATTTGTATGCATACCATGTGACATAAGCCTTCTCTCCGAATGCCTTCACCTTAACCTCGTGCTTGAAAGTTAAAGAAGATACTTTCACATCATCTTCAATATTACCTCCACATCGCTGTTCCTAAAGTCAAACTATTTCGTTTGGCTTGAATTGAGCAACACTTTACAAAACAAAACACCACCCAAGAAAGAAGCCACGCACAAGCCCAACGTTGAGAGCTGTTGCAGTTGTTCTTGTTTTCGTCGATCCACAACATATTGCAAAATATCCAAATAATCCCACAGGTGATCCAATTTTTGAACTTGTTGTGTTGTCACTCGCACGACCACCTCTTCCAAATTATTGGTATCTCCATACAAAATAGAAGCATCAGTCCTCCAATTGAAGAGACATGCAGAACTATGGTAATCGTATGGATTCAACTCAATCAAAAAAACCTTACAAAATGAGGAGGTTGTTAAACCATAAGGAGATTGATCGTCAATGTCATTATTGACGGCTCTTTCACCACTCAGCAATACCATCACATCAAATACATAGGATTCGAATTGAGTTTCCAGACGTCGACTCAATTCTTTTTCAAAAAACTCTTTCACAGCATGAATATATTCCTCTTTGTGCTCACACACATGTGGATGGAAAACGTGTTGATCGTACTGAGAAATGGCAACCAGTTTCTTCTTGTGTACAAAACATCGAAACTCATTTCGCAAATTCACATCGTCACGCCATTCGCGAAGTGCAATATAGGTGTAATTGAGTAAGGAATCTTTGTGATGGTAGTAATTGGTTAAAATCCATTCGAAGCCTCTTCGAATTCTCTGGCTCATCAAAATTAAATTCACACCATACATGATGTCGTCTGAGCTCACTTTCAATAATTGTGAAAATTCTTCTCGTAAAATTTTAAACAATTCGTTTTGAATATTAAAAAAGCGAGCAGGAATGTCACGAACACGATCTTTCGAATATTTTCGATACTCGTTTTGGAGTACCATGTATTCCTCAATCAATGCATGATGTTTCACCAGTTTTTGATATAAATGCTCTTGATTTCGTTTCATCTTTCGATGTTCCGCACTATCTTTAGGTGAGTTTCCACTCAATCTTAAAAATACTGCTTTTCGAGGAGGTTTCTTTTTTGATGATTTGTTCAAATTATTATTCGGTAAATTTTGGTCGTCATGCAGTGGTTGCGATAACTCATCACCGGCATAAAAATATTTCTCTATTTCTTCAATAATATACCGAATCACAGGTTCGGAATCTTGAAATAAATCTTGCAAATCATTGAATGAAGTTGCTCCCGATTGTGTGCTAATTCTTCGCTTGTATTCTTTCATTCGGGCTTGGTCTTGCATTAATTTATAAAGAAGGCAAATTTGCTCTAAGGAGAGAAGAATGAAATGTGTCGGAAATGTTAATAGAGCGTTTGTTTTGTTGTTACTTTCATCGATATTATCAAGGGGAGATGTCATGACCAAAGGATACCATCGATCTAGATCAAAAGATTTCCAGAAATGAATTTCTTGATTGGAACGAATTTCACTTTCCACGCCGAACGGTGATGACGACATTTTTTCTGTGTTAAATAACAAGCAGAATTTTCCTTGTCGCAATTTCACAAAAAACCGAGATGTTGCCATTACAGATAGCTATCAGCCTGCTCATTAGAGAGTAACTTTTCAAAATTTTCTTCGAGTCCTTCGATACTTGATCCTTCCCCAATCACTTTAACCACTTTTGGAGGTGAGCGAGAATTCTTTTCAACACTACTCTCTGAAATGACTCGATGCATGACACCATCCATAAAGTGTTTGGCTTCTTGTTGAGTTTTTTCTTGCTCCTTTGTGGCATTCCTCCATTTTGAAAATGGTTGATTCATCCACACATGATACAATCCCAAAGATGCCATTCCAAGCCATAATTCCCATTCTGCAATGGCTCTTGGTAATCGGTAATACAGCAATGAAATGATATATCTAATCTTTTCCAAATAATACATCCAGTTGTGTGGCGTCTGAGTGAATTCATCATGAAAACTCGCATTCAATAATGATAAATCCTCTCCATTCGCAGAAGAAGAGAACACTCTTGGCAATCCAGCTTCTCTTCCAAACAATGATTGAGTTCTGTACTGTACAAAACCATATCCTGGCAGTGTTGATGAGTTCTTCTTCTTCTTCGTTGTCAAAACTTCATCTGTGTAGGAAGGACTAAATTTCCATTGAGGATGAAATTTCAAAGTATCATCACGAGACGAGGATGCTGCACGCAACATGTATTGATAATAAGAGGCTGTATCATTGAGATAAGGCTCTGTACTGGATCGCCATTTTGAATCAATTACTTGTTGAGAGGATGAGTTTAGGTTCATGGAATTTTGATTTCTTGTTGATAATGATGATGATTGAGGTAATAACGCCATCCATTCATTGAAATATTGAGAAGGCTTTTTTCTAAAGGAAATTAATTCATCAAGTCCATTCTTCTTCTTTCTATATTTATAAATGAACACTGTCATGATGATGAAGGATAACCCCGACACTACTACAATGACAATAGTTATTAATTTTGAATTCCATTTTCTTCGTGTTTGTTCTCGGACGACCGGTGGTGGATGATTTGTTTTTTCAGCACTAGGATTCTCGGACGTGAGAAATAATTCATGATTATCCAAGGATGACAATTCCGATGATTGTTGCTGTCCCAATGGTGGTGATGAGCATTCGAGAAAAGTCTTTCTCCACCATTTAACAGCCGTGTTGAACATTTTTTCTTTAAATTTTTGAAATTCTCTTATTTGAGAGTATTTCTTTCATCTTGAAATCAACCCTGAAGATGAACTATGCCCGGACTGGTTGAAGTCAGGAGAAATCCTGATGGAGGACCTCCCGCGGTGCTGACGTGCAAATCGCTCGTCCGAGCTGGGTATAGGAGCGAAAGACTCATCGAATCGCCTAGTAGCTGGTTCCTGCCGAAATTTCCCTCAGGATAGCGGAGATCTTCAAATAGTTTTGCCAGGTAAAGCTAATGATTAGAGATCTTGGAGGTTGATAGCCTTCAATCTATTCTCAAACTTTAAATGGGCAATATCCAGAACTTACTTAACGGAAGTGCTGGTTTAATAAGGATCTCTAGTGGGCCGTGGTTTGGTAAGCAGATCAGGTAAAGCGGGTTCAACCGTAAACAATAAGGAAAGGCGTCCAATACCGGTTTAATACCCACTAAAGGGTGTTAATTCATGAAGACAGCGGGACGGTGGCCATGGAAGTCGGTATCCGCTAAGGAGTGTGTAACAACTCACCCGCCGAATGAATTAGCCCCGAAAATGGATGACGGCTAAGCCGGTAGCCGATCCTTAGTCTCTCTTCTAGATTTCTTGAAGAGAGGGTAGGCAGGCGTGATGGTTGCTGCGAAGCTCTTGGGTGACTGGGAGTGGAGCGGCCATCAGTGCAGATCTTGGTAGTAGTAGCAACCATTCTTACGAGCTTCAATCCCCATAGGCAACTATGGGTTTAAAAGCTTTGAAGGTCGTAGCGGACCAGGTTTCCCTACCTCTGGCGCTCATGTAGGGGTTAGTCGGTCCTAACTTGGTGGTTAACACTAGGAATAGTCCTAAAGTAGGAATTACCAAGGAAAGGGAATCAGGTTAATATTCCTGAACCTAAGTCATGGAGGATACTTTCGGGTATCAAGTCTAACGCGGCGACGCGGAGTGTGGATTAGAGCCATGTGCGTGGAGCTCCGGTAGGGTTATCTCTTCTCCTTAATAGCCA